CTGCACTTACTTAATAATCAACCCCTCAATTAGGCACCCTCCTTCCAAAAAGTGCCCCCCCTTTTAGCTGAGATTTTAAATAAGCACATGCACACTCTTTCAAGGAAATATGGTATTTAGAATTATATATATAATGTAACTGCCAACATACCAACTTTTTCAGCTTTCTTGTGCACCAGTGGTTTTAAACAGCGTTTTACTTGACAATCACTCTCATACAGTGACAACCATTGATAGCATGGGAAAGTCCAAGATTTTGATTTCTGAGGGTTTGTCACTTGAATTTCATCCAGGAACCATCCTTGTTTCCGCTCACGGCCATCATGCTGAGAAAAAAAAAATTGCACAATTGAGTCTTCATGACAAAATCACAAAATGGGCATACTTTAATAAAATTATTAATAGCTATGTGACAAATTCATTCATATTCTAATCTTTGGTGTGTGTTATAATAAAAATACATGTATGTTTTGTAATAGTAATTTGGTAACAGTGGTTTGGTGAATTGTATTATTGTACCATGTCTAGATGTATTGTCTTGTACTTTGATACTGAAAAATAAGGAGATTTTCTGTGTGAGAAAGAAAAAACAGCTTCTCCATAGGAGCAGCTCATCTTCTGACTCAAGTTATACGAAAAGCATTGCACCAACTTTTGCCAAGCCCAAAAAAGGCTCCAAATATCCAAACAATCAGGATTTAATGAAATTTAGTAAAACAGTTATTCCATTCACCCTTGTTGGATATGAGATTGGTTATAGCCAACCTCATATCCAACATGTACTTAGGGATTAATTTTTAAATATTAGCAGTGAAAGATTGGTCAATATAAATCTTGTACCTGAATAATAAGCTGTATAAGGTCACCAATATCAGGTCCCTTCACAGTAAAAGTCTCAGTGCTTCCTGAGTGGAATTGGAATGGTGGCAGTGTTGCTATAAATGCTGATGGTACAGCAGAATCCATTTGGTGAGTGAGTTGTCTGGTAAATTTGCCTTTTGTTCCCCGAAATTCTGCAAAAACCTGTGAGACAAATCAAATACAGTTATTCATTAAATTGCTGGAAGCACCTATGGACAATATGAACAAATCTTGTGTTCTGATTGGCTACCCAAGGCAGGCATGATGGGCCCATCTTGCCTGTTCCAGATTGCCCATTTTGCTCCAGCACAAGAAAAACATTGCATGGAATAGACTTACAAAGTTTACAGTTTTTGGACAATGTTGACAGTGGAGTAAAAAATAGAATGAAGACAGTCAAAAGAAAGAAGACATAAACAACTCTCCAGGGTTTATTGTGCTACAAACACAGTTGGCTCTCTTTCTTAGCTCTCAAAATAAAAAAGTCATTCTTGATTCTTAAGAAAGCAAAACCTTTTTGCGATATTTAATTGATAATGCTATAAATCAATAAAGGCTATAACTGCAAAGTACCGCACAGAGTGATAGCTACAATTAAATGTATAATATATACAATTATATACATTGCATCATATGCTTAGCTTGTGACATCATTTTTTTTGTGATTTGGGCAGAAATCATACTACATGTATTAGTACAGTGATATAAAATAAGTCACCTAATAAAAAAAGTGAGAGTGTCAAACCTCAAGTAAACTGGTTTAATTATTTCAAAATTAGTAATTCTGGCACATTTAAACTGCAAGACTATCAGATGTCTCATTCCTCTCTCTCATACCTTTGCATCTGTGCCACCATTTCTCTTGGCTCCAGTTTTCACTACAGTTTTGAATGTAACTCCACCTGCACAAAATATATTGATTGAAAATTGCATTCAATGGGAATGATCTTGTGGAGGGAAAATGGTAGAAAGATGAGGGGGTAGGGTTAGGGTATGTAATCTGGTTTTCTTGATTTCTCAACGTTGTAATCCTTCCCTGCAGTCTCCTAACAGCTAAATGTTTGCCTCTTGCCTGCTAGGATTTCTAATTGCATCTCTGATTGTTTACTTTGGATATAAAATGCCCAGTTGGAGAGTGGTCAGTTATATTTACCAGTGCATACATATCACCAAGGTGAACACTAACCCTTCAAGCAAATTTAGTTCAATTACATTGTTAAAATTGACGTCATTATTTAATGAAATACATGATTGCTACTATTGCACATGGTACATGACTTGTACAGCTGTACTTGTGAAATAATATGTTTAAAGTTCATAAAAAAAGAAGAAAAATCTTGATTCAAAACCTTTTTTCTTTGTCTTTCCACTGGTACTTCGTCTTCCCTAATAAAAAATCACAAACCAAACATATTAAGCTCTAAGTTTAAACTATTAATACTACTGCATGCACAATTGTCAAGTCATTACCTCCAAAAATGAACTGCACATGAAATTCCTAAATAACTAATTGTGTCTTACTATAGTTTAAGTACATATTAAGTACTTAAAAATTAATATGGAGAAGGAACTTCACCTTCTGTTCCTAATTCAGATACTTTACAAGCCTTGTTCATCTTATGTCAAACCCATGGGTCATTTGTACTTTTTTTCTTTCAAAGCTTGAACCCTATTGGTGACCAGCATCTAATTTCTCCTTACAACATCATCACTGAATCACACATTTAAGTTGCAAGATTTTAGGAAATGATTATCAACTAAAGATGCTCCAGATTGTTAAACAAACTCTCCTTGTAAGCACTTTGGGAAATGTGTAGAGAACAGTATGAGGAATAGACATTCTGATGATAGGGTGTAAAATTGGCTGACAGCAGTCTCTTTCAAACATCATCTGAGTTTACAATTTATGTCAAGTGGAGTTTTAGCAGTTGAAAATGAGTTTGAGTTCTCCTTTTGATTTTTACTGTCTCTAATTATTTCTGATGTAATATATACAGTATTCATTTGCCATGACCCTTCACAATCAATTGAATTTTCTTTTGACGTGAAATTCTTCTCAGCAGGAACAAACACTAAAAAGTTACACACACCCTTGTTTTAGATGGTCCTGACTCCCTCAAAGATGCACTTTTTCCAAACTTTCGTGAAAAGTATGGGTTCAAATGAGGGTCACTCAGAGAATTATATGTTGCTGGAGAAAAGTCTTTTCCACGCAGAGTGGAACTGCCGCCAATTGTAGCTCTTGGAGCAAAGGGAGCCTTTTTACTTGTCTTGCTCTCAAATGGGGTGTGGTACAGGCTCACATGGAACTTTCTTGCCCTTTTCGGTTCAGGTGAGTTTGGGTGTCTCCAACGAGGTTGCTGACTGGCAGGGGGTGCTATAAACAAGAAAGGTTACACACTGTCAGTCTTTTTCCCAAATGGTGTAGGAAAAATTGGCTGCCTTACTGTGTTGTAATGCAACATTTTGGGAATTTATGCCAAATTTCTCGGCAATATTATTTCACTTGCAGTCAACAGGCTTGTCCAGGAAGTGAGCTTGATGATTTCTAAATTATAGGCGACGTGAAAAGCACCCTGCGTTATACAGTACTGTTAGGATCAACAATGTCCAAAGTGTCATGTAATTTTATACTACGAAGAAAGAGTTAAATAATGAGCTCAGTTGTCAAGTATATAAAGACTAAGGTAAAATTTCCGCACAGCCCCATACTACATTATGCATTCAGTTCTTGGATAGAGAAAACAAAGACAAAAACAATAGATTGCTATTGGGAAAACAGATTTGTTTTACAATAGTATGGGGCTGTGCGGAAATTTTACCAAGACTAATTTAGAATGGCTAACTCAGCTTAAAGCCTCAAGTGTGCGAAATCCGTAAGTCTGAGGTTTGAATCCTTGTGGGGTTCTGGGAGTGACAGTTTCTTTCCTTACAAAACGAATAACATCTCTCAATTAATTCCCGAACTCAAAGTCCACCCTCCTTTTTTTGTCTAATTAGAGCGCGTACATTTGTATGTTAAGCAGTGTGAAAGAGGCGAGTGAAAAGTTATTAAAATACGTATTGTATCGCAATGAAAACTAAGCAACAGTTGAAATCAGTCTTTCATTATCTGGGAAAATCCTCTCAACTGTCTAACGTAAGCCTTTCCACTTGTTCTGACTGAATGTTTATAAACAAATAAACACGCTAGGTTGTTAGCTTAGAAGCTTACGATGAATAACTCACCTGACACAGGTCTTGGTCGCTGATTAGTTGTTGTTTTGGTATATCGCGTAGGTTCTGGTCGATTTAGACTTGTAGATAACAAATGAGTATCCTGAAAAACACTTTTCACAGCTTCGGAGCTCTGCATTTCTCCAAGTCTTATCCGTCACAACTGAGAAACAACTTTCTAGCACCACTAAATCTTCTTTGTTGATATATCGTGACGAATTCGAACAAGAAACCTCACGTAGAAATTTAATGAAACATATCTACGAAAGTATTTTGTCAACAATGCACTTTTTATCGTAGTCAGGAATCTGGTTTCGAACCTGAGTGAGATACATTTAAACAAATGTGTTTGAACAGAAGTCACACATTAAAGTCTCCATGCCAAAGCAATTCATTGTCGTCTGCAAAGTTACGATAAGTTTGTGTATGTCACGCCAGTGTTCTTTTCAAATGTCTTCTCTATGAAAGTTTCACCTGATTGGTAATTCGTCATATATTCCAACACCACTGAAGAGACAGCTTTTTGTACGAAAAAACACCTTCAATTCAGTGCCTAACTTTTTGAGGTAGCGATCGTATGCAAATTTTTTCGAAGCTAACAACGAACTCTGTTACTCTACTGTTACTCGGTTTCTAAAGCATCATTAGCAGCCAAGCCTCCTGAGCTTAGTCAAATACAACAAAAACGATCCCCAACTCTCTCCCCTAAGTAATCATTTCTATTATCCACTTAAACTATTTGTTACATCAATTATTTGATCATTAGCACTCACGTTATTTCGAGACCATCGCCAAATTAATTTAATTCTTGGTAAAAATGGAGAATAATACTGGCGACATGTTTTTATCTTAATGTTTAACTTCAGTGACTTCACTATGAGAGGGACAGGAGGAATATCAGCTCCCAAAATTTGGCGCGAAAAATTACAGTGGGGCTTTGTTACTTGTTATTATGCAACTACCTCATAAAGAATACTCGATCAGCAATAATGCCGAAGAAACATCGCGATTCAAGTCCTGGACTGTCACCAAAATCAAAGAGACTAAAAGAGGTAAGGCTATTCGAGCATAGCTTGTCGAGTAAAACGATTTTGTTGTATTGATCAGTCATCTGACTTTCCGCTGAACGGATCATTCATTACCCAACCCTGATCAACATGAGCGAGGCAAAATTCGCAAACCAAAGGGTTCGCTGTTACAGTCTTCAGTCAGGGAATCAGAAACTGTCTATTTAATATGAATCAGTATGCAATTATACCTGTAAGGCACCGGCAATAATATAATGTGTTGAAAGAAATCTAACAAAATCAGCTTCGATTTTACCGCAATACAGCAATTAGAACTGGGGATGTATGTACAAATCTTTGTGTCTATGAATATACATCTGTCGGGTTACTAACCTTAAAAAGAAACTTTTTGGGAAGGGAAATTGCCAGATGATCAGCAATGAATGAATTTCATCCACAGTCATCAGTTTGTTGTTTATGATTGCTAAAGCTTTCTGTTTATGTTTTCATTATAATCGTACCATGCAGACATTTCGAAAGTGTGTTACATAATCATTTTTAAGTTCAAGGGGCATGACAGTAAATTTTATTTGACAGTCTTACTTACATCTTCTGTGTTTGCCTAAGAATGCTCATGGCAGCGGGGAATTGTCAGAATATGAGAAAAAGCGTCTGGAGAATATCAGACAGAACAGTGAATTTTTTGATGGCCTTCAACTTACCGAGGTAATGACTTTGCTGTTATGCCATTTTGCTTTTGCATATACCCATATATTTATATATATATATATATATATATATATATCTGAGGAATACTTAGTCATCAGAAGTGTAGGGCCACGTTCACTGACTATACATCAAAATATCAAGGCATATCACACTTCAGTAAAGAAGAGTGGCAATACCAATACATCAGAGCAGACTGAATTATAAAATGCATACTCATTGTGTGTGGGAGACTTGGTGCCCTTATATTTACTGTGCTGGAATCCTGCTTGAGAAGTCCAAGTCATTGTGTTGTGTTCTTGGACAAAATATACTCACACAGTGCCTCTCTTCACCCAAGAATTTAAATGGGTACCAGCAAATTGTCAGAGAATCCTGATGAAATTCTGGGGGAAGGGGGGGGGGGGGGTTAACCATGGAATAGACTGGCATCCCATCCAGGGGGCAGGAGTGATACTCCTAGTTACTCCAGCTCTAGCTAGATCACTGGGCGATGTCGCTCAAGTGCAGAATTTTTTTTTACTCATTGTTTCTGCTTTTCCTTTTATCTTACTCTTCCCTTCTTAGGTGAAGAATGAATTTAACCAGGCTGTATCAAGGCCTACTCCATCAAAAGTGAAAGAAAGAGGGCTGACAAGGTAGATTTACATTACAAATTATTTGACACAATTTCTAAGAAACCAAGTATTTGTAGTCACAAAACTCATCTTAGGAAATGATTAATACACAGATTTATTATATCTGTCCCAGGGTTCTCCCTTACTTTAAGCATGACAGGTAAAATAAATTTTCAAACCAGTAAAGCAATCATTTTACTTGTTTAATTTTCAAGAATTCCAAGCAATTTTAAACGGTATTAAGAGGTACTACAGGTGGTAAATGTTACCGGTTACTGCCTGAAAAGGAGAACACTGCTGTCAGTGAGTATGATTGGTTAATTTTGGCTGGCAATATTTCACTTTACTGCCCACTAAATTCAAAGGGTTGATTGAACTGAAATTTTCTTCTACTTTTTGAACCAAGAAATATAGTGATTATCTTACTATCTCATTCTCTCAGTCTGCATCTTACAGTACAAACCTTCAACTCAATTAGTGAGAGGTAGATATGTATAATTATAACATTCAATTTGATAGAAAGACTTAAAAGTTCAGAGTTCTGAAACAACTTTCTTGGATTAATACTCAAAATTGTTTTCCCAAAGGAATTGTTGAAAAAGAATCATGCCATTCAGACCAATGCAGAACTACTATGATATTTCTTACAGGCCCAAAAAGACTACACAAGCTGTGCCTGCACTTCCCACACGTCAGTCACTTCGTATTCGCAAGAAAGACCCCAGTGGTGAATTGCTTCCTGAGCCATCAAGTTCTGAGATCTACCAAACTGTTGATGAACATGTGAGAAGTTGTTTAAATGTTCTGTTTAAAATTTGTGTGCAAACTACAAACATATTTCAGGTCACTATACCATGGATTAAACTTTGGGCCATTGTTTGGGTAAACTAAATCTTGAAAAAAGGCAAACGACTTTAACTTTCTCAGTTACTTGCTGGAAGAGATCTAGACAAGGTACACCTTCTTCCAAGCCCTAAGGACAAGCTGGGTTTTGGATTTATTTCTTTAATTTCCAAAATGTTTTTCTTTCCCCCATCATTCGGAAACCAGAAACCTCTTTGTTACGAGAAAGCACCCATACCAGTCAACACACACAAAAAATTAAGGAACAATTAATTTATCAATTACAAAAAAGAGCTATTCATCATTATCTTCATAATACTTTTCATTTTCAACTTTTGACTTCCTTTTTAACGCTTGATGTACCTACTGGTTCTCCACAAAAGCCAATTTTGCGAATAAAGATTTGTTCAAGCTTAAATTCTGGTCTCCCAGGTCTATTTTCCACATCAAATGCATCTCTCTGATACAACTTTTGTTTGCCCTTTTTCATTTAGAGAACTTTTCGATATTTTCGTCAACCTGCACTTAAAGCTGTTGGATTAAAGAATATTAACTCATTGATAGCATCACAAACTGTCTATGATTCTGTAAGTAAGGTCATAAAGCAACAAGCTGTAAAATGATAGTCAACAAAACTTTCACCATTCCACTTTATAAGGTCATATATATACAAATGTACTTACATCAACTTTGAAAAGGTTTTTTTACTCACTGTTCTTCCAGCCACGTAAGATTGGACCTTTGGAAATGGAGCCTTGTAATAATGTTGAGCAGACACATTCACAGGAATTTATTGATGAACTGACTGTCTTGGCAAACATAGTAAGTCTTAAGCATATTGCAAGGCACTAGTTGGATTCACAGGTACTGTGGGTGGCATCTTCCTCTGTTTTTGGATTTGAATGATGCCAATTTTAGGCAGTTACTTCTGGTCTCAATCTTGCTGTTGAGATGATTTTTGTATTTATAGGTCAGTTAAAAGTACAATGTGATTTTAAGATACAGCATTCATGTGGTCACTTGCTGAAAAGAGGGTGACACCTGCAGAGGCCAAATGGTTCCTGTGGATGAGATAAATGATGCCATCTTTTACTCCTTCCCATCCTTGTTACCTGATCTCTGGCCACTTACAGTAGTTGTGATAACTAACTTTGATTAACTTGGACAGCTAATCTTAACTTACTGATCAACTTGCATTTTCAACCCAAACTAGTTTACCAGTGAAGGCATAATTATTCTTACAACATCTACACATATTTCACCTTGCAAAATTGATGTCAGTGTTTAATTGTGTTGATTTATTTTTTCAATAAATAGTTTTGTTTGACAATTGTCTCTTCCCAAGAACCTCCCCTTATGATATCATTTTATAATAAGCTGATGATGATTGCCTTTTGTCTCTCGCAAGCTGGAAAAGTCAAAGGAAAATGCGGATGATGATGCTGCTATAGACCCAGATGTTGTGAGGTTGGTTACTTGATCAAGTGCAGTGTTGACAGGGTCAACTAATAAGATTTGAACTGAATAGGGTCGTTGCCTGGATGCTTACATGTACATATATCCATTAGAGAACTTACATTCCTTAACCCTTTAACTCCCAGATCAAATTTGTAATTTTCCTTTCCATCAACAATACAATTCTTATCATGTTAGTTCAGAGAATTTAGTATTGAATCAACTAATTATCCCCAAATTGATATTTTTCTTAATTCTCATCACTTATCTGGTTGATATTGTATTGATATTGTAAGGAGAAAATTCTGTCTTAGTCACTCACGGGAGTGAAAGGGTTAAGTTAAATCTTAACTCAAGACTAGGATACTGATTACATATATGGGCAGTGCTATGACAAATTGTTTTGTACTCACCTGATGTTTGTAGTTGGTATTGTTTGCCAAGTCCAGTTCTCTCATGCCACAAGCTTCACCAGGCTTGATTGCAGCAAGCTTTCATTTCCATTGCTTGGGGCAGCAAAACATACATAATTTTCACTGATTAAAAAAATTTATATCATTCAGGAATAAGTACTTCTCTATAGAGGTGGCTACTTGCTACATAAGATAAACTGACTAGATATGACCTTTGATGGGATTCAGACTCAGTTAGATGTGGTTGCCCCAAAATCTAACCCTAAACTCAAAAGTTTTCTCTCTCTTTTCAGCTACAAAAAGGCCATGCAATCTTTAGAAATCACAGAAGGACATGTCGCTAAACTTGTTCCACACAGAATCTTTTCGATGGCTTTCCATCCTGCCAAATACAAAACACTTGTACTGGCAGGGGACAAGTGGGGGAACCTTGGCATATGGGATGTGGTAAGAAATTGGTTTTAAGTTTAAGAAGAATTAGGATGTTGTGGCATGCAATTTTAGATTCTGAAGAGTAACATGCATGAATATCAATGAGTTAAAAAGTTAATTGTGGATGTTACAACTTTTAAAATTGCTGAGAAATCTGCCTTACCAATGACATAACAGATTTAAGGACACAACATGGCTGAAGTCAAACTCTTTGACGTTGCTAATTTGAAATGGGGTGCAAGCTAAATGAAAACTGGCACAGTTGGCTGGTTACCAAGCTATTTGTGAGCAGCACGTTCCAGCCTGACTAAATGGTGGCATCTGAAGTCTTATTTTCAGCATATTGGATTACATTGGAGGACTGTTTGAAAAATGACAGTCTCCTCCTTAAAATCTTGAAACAATTCTATTAATAAATTTTTGCATATACTTTTAAATGGTATAGATAAAAATTATATGGTTCAGTTCAGGAACACACTTCTCCTTTATGAAATGTGAAAATATGTTGGACAATTCCCTGAGATACAGTAATTTTCCAGCTCCTTTTTATCTTTGACACATCTTTATGTTTGTTCTAGGACTCTTCAAAGGGAGACGATGGTGTGTACCTGTTTGAACCACATTCTCGTCCTATCAACTGCATATCATTTGAGCCAGGAAACTATGGAAAACTTTATTCATGTAGCTACGATGGAACACTGAGGTGCGGCGATTTCAGGGCGGCTACTTTTCAGGAGGTAACATAGATATGACATCAAGTTGGGATATTCAAATTATAAAGAAAAGCGAAAGGATATCAACTCTTAATTTGACTACCAAGGGGTAGTTCCAATGGTGTGTTTGAAAGCTTGTTTGCAGCAGGAATGTGTACAGCTGTATAAGATACTATAACTTTTTTTGAAAATTGCAACTGACAACCGACAAAAATACGAACTTTCCAGAGTTTCAGAAGCACTTTAAATGTGACCTTGGCTGCCTATGCGATTCTCACCTGTTAATTTTCTAATTGTTGTCGTCCATTTAAACAGTGGATTTCAGAGAAGATTCAACTGTCCTGTGTAGCGGCGAGTTTTGGGTGCGCCGTGGCCACTCATTACTTCAGCACACAGAAAAGCTTCAAATTTTAACGCGTTTTTCAGTCTTCCAATTTGACATTCGTTTCAGGTTTACTCTTTTGATGATGACGACTATTCTAGGTTCATGTACTTTGCGTTTGGCTCGCCCAGCAGCAGTACAATCTTAGCGGCGACTGACTCTGGTTATGTCATGGTAGTTGACACAAGAACAAACAGGTAAGATTGTTGACATTACTGTGCCTACAATTGGCTCAATACCGTCCTATACAATCTCACCGATATGGTGTTCAGTTTACGTTTGAGGAAACATTTGTGTTCTCCAGCACAATAAAGTTAAGGAGCAAATACTTTGGAGCAAAGTGAAACTAGCCAGGGTGTTTCCAAGCTGAAATCGAGTGTTTTTAACCGTCTGACCAAATTGGACCAATCATCGTCAAGTAAGCGAAAAAACAAACAAGAATGCTTCGTAATAGACTTCGCTCACCGTATGGTCTCGGTGGCTCAGTGGTAGAGCATTAAAGCGCGGAATCCGAAGGTCTGAGGTTCGATTCCTCATGGGTACTCGGAATTTTTGCCTTGTCCCATGCCCGTGACAAGACGAAGAACATCTTTCTCTATTTCTTGACCGAGCTCAAAACTTGCCATCTCTCTTAATCTATCTTTCTATGCGTACTCGTCTCTGATTGGTCCATCCTGGTCACGTTGTCGAAAATAGTCTATGCTGTTTGGTTGACATATCGCTTCAGAGTGTCTCAGTTTGAAACAACCTCTTCAATGACAGAGTTGCTGAATCAGGCAATTACTAACAATCAATGTCTTTCAGCAAAACCATAGCAGAGCAAAGTTATGGCCTTCATGACAAAGTTATCAAGTGCATTGATGTCCATCCGTTAAACCGTAATCTTTTCCTCACATCTTCCACCGACGGGTAAGCTTTTGCAGTAGGCTGTGGTTTGAGATATATGTACAATCTCGGCCTTCTGGGTTCTCAGTATTGTGCTTTAACTCCCAAAAGTGATTAACATGTATCTTCTCCCGATAACCAGCTACAGGGGAGAATTTGTTTTTGTTGTTGGCTGAACTAATAAAACTGAACAGTAGTAACAACCAGAAGCAAAATCCACGGATGGGAGACGGGAAAATCAGCTTTTGGCCCTATCGTTAGCCTACCGGCCACTCCCACTCCTTTTTAAACCATCTCTGGGCATTCCTTCTCTCTCTGACAGCGTTTTAAGTCGGACACTTACAGTTTTGAATTTTTTGTAGGATTCTACAGTCACCAAAGCCATCAGTCGTTTGTAAGCCGTGTTCACCCACGGAATTTTCTCATCTTCTCTTTTTCTCCTGAATTTTAGGTCAGTAGCATTCTGGGACATACGGAACATTAAAAACATGAAATCAAAGTTGAGCAGTTTACAGCGAACCCGTGTCACTTCCTCAGCTTATTTTTCTCCTTTGACTGGCAGTCAGGTGTTGGTGACGTCAATGGATGATTACGTTACGTAAGTGATAGCGCAGATTGAATTTTCCCCTGTGAGAGTGCGGCTAAGTCTAGTAGTTTCATCACTTACAGGTCGGAATGTTCATAGATAATTTTTCCCTCTAAATTTTCGTACAAAAAGGTGATAAGAAGATAGAGAAACAACAACAGGGGACGGCCTATAGCGAATATTTTGTATTCAAGTCTTGGAAGGGAAAGTAGTAAGTAAAGTAGTATATGGGCCCATGGGGTCGGTGCTTAACTCCGGTTTTCTTAGCATGAAGCGGCAAGGAGTATTGCTACTCCCCCCTGGATGGGATGTTAGTCCATAGCACATTTGCTGGTACCCATTTGTAGAAGCACTGTGAGAGTAAAGTGTCTTGCCTAAGAACACAACACAATGACCCCGGCCAGGGCTCGAACCCGGACCACCCGATCCGGAGTCGAGCGCACTAACCATCAGGCCCCGCGCCTCCACTTGGAAGGGAAAGGGTTGCTGTATATTTGTTCATCAAGGCGCAGCTTCACTGACCTGATACAGTGAAGCTCTAACCATATATTGCCTTCTCTATTTTGTTTTTTAGTATCAATGACGTTGACGCTTCTGGTATAGTCTCCACTGCAGCCAAGTGTTGTTTCAGGTAATTCGAATTGAGAAGATCAGCTCCATTTCCGTCCGTGTTTGGTTTGATAAGCTCTTTTCTCTGCCATGATCGTTTTGTGTCATATTATTAAGGGCTGCTGTACTTTAACAGCAGAAGGAAAATCGCGACGTTAGCCAACAAAGAAGGACGCAGTAGAGCGTTCATCGTTATGAGTAACAACATACAGTTAAATTAAGTGTCAGAATCATTCCAGGATTACGTTGGGTTCTCTTCACTTTGATTTGTGATTGGTCGTAAAATTTCGTGCCTTCTCTCAAGCAATGAGATGTCAAACTAAAACTGGTCTTGACTCACTCGTTTCCCGCGTTCGAGGTCCAGTCACTCGTGTCTGAGTTCGCTTTGAGCTCTCAGTGGATCGTGGTGATATTTCCTTTGTTCTGATTGGCCTCGGTGACTACTTTCATTTGGTTTATCATTATGACCCTCTACTGAATAACGCTCGTCTTTTCACAATTAGAAGACGAAAAAAGTGTATTAGAAGACAGTAATGATCAACGCTTCACAAGGTCTTCGTGTTTTGCTTTGGCTCGTACATGTTCCGCTCGTGAAGACAAGTCCCTTTGCACTATTACTCACCTGTGTTTCTGGTGTAATTTTTGTTTTCAGACATGACAATCAAGTTGGACGCTGGCTCACTAGTTTTCGTGCCACTTGGGATCCTAAATTTGAAAAATATGCGGTTGTTGGGAGCATGAGAAGACCACGACAGGTTAATATCACTATTAATATCGTATGAAAATTTATATTCGCTGTGCACCACATTTCTTTTATAGACGAAATTCTTCTTCTCGTCAACGAAATACAGTGCGTTAGAAGGCTACCGAAACCCCTGCTTTGGATGTTAATGCTCAGGCAAGTTAAAACTTACAATCAGCTAAGCACTTACCGTGGTTAACCTTCTTTGATCTTCTTTTCGGCAGATTGATATTTTTTCCTCCGAGCTAAAAAGTAACGCATTGATGCATTTAACCCATGAGAACCTCAACTCTGTGAATTCCTTAAATGTCCTTCATCCCTCGGTTAACATGCTGGCTGGTGGAAACTCAAGTGGAAAGGTCTACCTATGGACTTAATAATTGCCCATCGTCTCTCCATTTATTCACTCACGTGAATGTCCACGAGTAAATTCCACGCAGGATGTCGAGCCGTTAGAGGGTAAATGGAAATCGAAAATGGGCTGGCTAGCTTGCTGGAATTAAAATTAATTCTAGACTCCTGACGGTCCGAAGAACTGCACATCCGTTTTAAGCAAGAAATGGAGAACAAAGCAACTATATCCAAATGAAAATGAGAAACAATTTTTTGGAAAATTAGGGACTTTACACTTCGTGTGGGGAAGCGTGAACACATGAGTATTGTTCCGATAATTACACAAGTAATCGATAATGATCAATATGTTGTGTTGTTACATTCTCACCGCTGTTTTTATTCAAATTCCCAGGCCAGTCGTATCTTTTTAACCTATTTCAAGTTATGGTAACGGATAATGGATGAGTAATTCTCGAGGGTTAGTTTGACAGAGACTAAGCAAAAACGGTTTTTATTGATCGAGTTAGTTGTATTTTTATCCCCATTGTGTCATGTGATATGATGCTACAATTATAATGACTGGACTTTGTTACAAATGCATTACCCACCCAACCCCTGACGGAAACTCAATAACTTAACAATGTAATAAAGTTGTTAAAATTATCCTCGTTTTTCAGTGATTTCCGTTGATTTTTGTTTGTTTTGTTTTGTGTTGTTATTTTTGTTTTTTTAAAATAATACATCAGAGTGACGATTCAACTCCATGTTCAAATGCAACCCTGTGGCAGGTGCTCAGTACGGTCATGGCGGCATATCAACACCTTTGCTGCACCTACAATTTTTCCATTGTGAAGAATCAGTGCGAGGTCATGTGAATGAGATAAAGGTGTTTGAAACTGACCTGAATACTGGTCTGTGTATGAGTTACCCTACCCAAACAAACAAACAAACAAACAAACAAACAAACAAACAAAAACTGGCCAACTGGCAGACTGAAAGAATTTAAAGCAGCACTGGCTAAGGCTCATCGACTTTGCCTTCCATTGTTTTAACGAAGGCGATGCATCTCTATTTTCACAATCTAACAACGACGGCACTAACAAAGTTCGTTCTGTTTTGTAGTCAACCGTTTATACAATGTTTCAATTTACAAAAAAAGCAGCTTTTCAAGAGCTACGAAGTTTCCAAGATTCCCGAAAATCATTTCGTGTGCCACCTTTAGCTCCCAGTTAAAGGAATTCTCCCCTTCAGATAACTGGATCTTAATCGCACGTAATTCCATTGGCAGAGTATTTCATCCCTACCATATGTGCCTACAATTCTTCTGCCAGGTCCTCTGTGATAAATCTGGCAATGATAGGGGTATTTTAAGGCGTCTTCACTCATCCGTGTAGTGTTTTAGCGATAGCCGCGGTACTATGTTCATGGACAAAAGTTCTTGGAACAGAAGTTTACAAGCGTAAGGTATTTTTAGAGTTGAAATATTGTGAGAAGATGAACAGTAATGACACCTACAAAAAAAAAATATGCAAGATAAAATTAATCGTACCCCATAATCATACAAAAATGGCAACATTTCACACAATTAAAAGCGGTGCAGGTGGCCTACGTGTAGCCGAAACCTTCCACCCTCCCAAGGAGAAACGTTACTCCTGGGGAGGGGGGAGGGTAAGGCTACACGTAAGCTTAGGTCGGCTTCATTTGGTGAAAAACCACATAGTAAGTAAAAGTCAGTTACCATGGACAAGCACACTGAGACACAAACACACCAAGAAAGTACACATTTCTGTTATTTCACAACGAAATGCCATTAAAAATAAGTTTTGTAAAACGTAAAACTCTGCAATTCAGGGTTTTCAAAATTTTTTCCTTATCTATGAGGCCAACACTGTACTCCATTCCTACTGTTAACAACAAAAACACATGGATGGAAAAAAAAATCCACTAACTGTTTTCTCTTTTAATAAAGACCATTTCTTTCTTGATAATTTTCATGCGATTTATGAAAGCTATAAAATGGTCTACATTTGTCGCGAGCGTAGAACACAATCTGACTTCCTTTTGGTTCGATTTCCGTCTCTCGCCTGTGTTCGGATCATTTGTTTGGTATTCGTTTTTCCCCGAAGAGAGAATCTTCGGAGAGGACCAGCAGTTAGTTATTGAGCCCGAGTTCCGCTTATGATTCAATTATCGCATTCACACGAAGAACCAACTGAGCGACATACAACCTGCCAGTGGGGTAAGCCATAAACTAGGTTTAAATATCAAGAATCTAAACTAAAACAGACAGCTGATATAGTGTTGGCCACTACATCCTTACCATCCTGAGTATCCCATAAGGCCACACTCGCTGCACACGTCTACTTCAAAGGCGTCACTTGATATCATTAGTCTTTCAAGAAGGAGCATGCTGTTCATGGGAAAAAATATTTGTATTTACAATTGGTAAAGAGAAGGAGATGCAATTTTATTTCTGAGGAAAGAGATGGTTGATTCCTCTGTGCTCGAATTTATTCTTGTTTACTTCACTCACCTGGCACCGTAAGCTATCAAACAGTCTCGCTCCATCTCTCCCAGCCTTAATCCGCCGTCCCTGATAACACAAACAAGTGTTCGTAAGAAACATATTTACAAAGAGTCTGTCTGTAAAGTTACATCTTGCCGATTACTGCTTTCTTTTTGGATTGAGATAGGCGCCACCCACTAAGTCAAGTCAAATATAAAAGAACAAATAACAACAGTTTGGTCGAACATGTTTCCTCGCGCGTGACGCTGGGCATCTGACTGATTTGCTTGCTTCTTCTTCTGAATTTTCCCTCTTCTTTGTCACTTGTTGTTCTTTGTTCCCGCAGAAGCGTTCATTTTTCCGATGCCCAAATGGGAACTTTATCATACAGCTACAGTTTTAACAATAATCTGGGCTTTTTCCTAAGAGAAGGTTAAGGTATTTCTCACCGTGATCGTCCTTCTGTTGGTTGTCTCGTCAGCACAGCTCGGGGACCCTGAAAAAATCATGAAAAACAGTAACAATAAAATACAACACCGTTCTTACAAGACAGAAAACCGGCTCACGCTCAAACCCACGAGACACGCGGATACAGTTTCGTCTGACGGGAAAAGAAGGAAGCAAAAGATAGGAGCTTATTGGGGCTAATGCCCGCTTTATACGGGTTTGACAAAAGTGAGTAGACTTATACTAGTACCCTTAGAATGGCTGATTATCAATTCAACATAATCACTATGATAAAGTGTGTTTTTCTCCAGTGAAGGTATCATATTAGATAAACAATAAATAAACGATTAATTTATTTTTTTAAAAAGAAAACAACACTGATCAATTTAAAAGAAACTTTTAAGGAAAGATTATTCTCGATTACCATCAGCTTTGATTCAAGGCTTCGCTGACAGAAATTATGAGAGAATTAGTGTAACGAAATCATAAATGATATGTTTAGATTAATGGTCTTTAAAGATGAAGTAGCTTCATGTTTAATCTTCAACGTTTAATACAGTCACTGAGGGATGCAATGAATCCAACCTTAGCACGGGCATGCATCTTATCCAACACCATGTGTTTGAGTTTTTGATAATATACCGGACCGAAGAATATATATGCTGTTAATGGCTCCCTGAAATGAAACATTAGGCAGTGATGAGTATGTTATTTATATCATTATTCCTCGGCTACTACATATCCTTTTTTATTTAAAAAAGTATTCAAATAAACGGAAAGTTCAGCGCCCCATGCAGTTCCAATCTCTTACTGGTTACTACTATACACTTCAATACCAGTCCCTCTCTAACATGGGTAACGGATATTTGTCAGGGTTTTCGTTAAATCACAGCTGAGGGATAAAGTAGCTTTAATTCAAGTCAAATAGGGGTATAAAAACCGTAGCTCAGTGGTAAAACGCAAGGCATTCCCAGCCTAAGTGAGTCAGTTCTGGCCAGCTGCGCGCCATCATCTGGCGAGTATGTAGAACAAAAAGATACGAAACAACCGGTGTCAAGCTCCATTAAGGAAAAAAGATGTCAGAGCGTTCATAGACGTTTGGAAAAGGAATCAAAAGAAAGGGAAGAAAAGAGCGAGTATTCCATTGATTTGTCATATTCTTTCGAGTTAAACCCCCTAAAAAATATTCTTAAGACAACTTGGTTCTGACTTCCTAGTAGCACGATGAAGGGCAACGAAAATCACAACGACTTTGCCAACGTTTTAAATTGCACTAACAGAGCGTTTATAACGTGAAAACTCGTTTCACTTCCAACTGTTACCCATATAAATGACTTACCCTGTAATACCAGACGTGACAAATTCCTTGCCAGAGTAATTAAAGCCATGGTCTACAAGAGCACCACAAACATCCTCCACTTTGTCGCCTCCAAATGCTGAAAACAAGTATTAATTTCAAATAAGTATGTTTGGTTTACCTTAAAAAAAAGTGGTTTCATGCGTTCTGAGTGTTTACCTGTTCCATAACCGAAGTGTCCTTCGAGGACCCCAGCTTTGCCTGCCATCAACTCTATCAGTTTTCCAACAGTCATCCGCGATGGAAAGCCGTGCGGGTTCATGATCTGTCATACAAACCAGTTGTAAATTAGTGGAACTACTAAAAATTTCGTTAACTTGACCCTCCATCTTCCAAGATCTGAATGTTAATTCGCCCCTCTATTTGTTACACATTTCCTTGTGAATTAGTCAGAATTTAGTGTTTGATCAAGATTACAACTTCTACCTGACAAGTTCTCATTACCTTTTTGCTAAATAATGTATGGATATGAAAGGGAGAATTCACATGTTTATCACTTCTGAAAGTTTAAGTGTTGATTTATTGTCATCTTATATTTGTTAATCCAAACAGCTTTGTCCACAATGATTACAAACCAAACAGAACACTGTGTAGATCGAAACAGAACCAACGAAGAACCAGACAAGACGCTGATAGTCAGGTTTTCCATTAACAGTTCTTTGGTTCTTTTTTCTCTTTTGTTTTCATACCGGTTGCTTTGTTGTTTCCGTTTCTCCGTTTATTCATTTATTTTTTTTTACATTTTTGCTTGTTTCCTAGAAGGAAAACTTAAAAAAACAAAACCAGACCAAACAAAACAGAAAAAAAAAGGATCAATATCAGTATCTGGGCAACGGCCCACCTACCCCTCCCCTAACCCAACATTCACCCTAAGTTATTATCAATTGACTGCTGTTGGGTTAGGGGAGGGGTAGGTGGGCAGTTGCCCGGATACTGACATTGATCCAAAAAAATTTCTGAATCGGTGACAAAAGAAAGATGATACTTACAATATCAGGACAAATACCCTAAAAAAAAAAGAAGGAAAAACTTCTAAACATAGAACGTAAATGGAAAAGAAAGAAGCAAATACCAGAGATGAATATTTACTTTCTTACCAAATCAGTAAAAGGCATATCTTCTTGATTAACGATTAAACCACAAACGCTGAAACAAAAAACAAACAATTGATTACTGCTGGGTTTTACACTTCCTAATATTACTATAACCTGCTGTAAAATTGTGTAATTATCAGTAATTACAGAGACTTCTGCAATATCTGTTACCAATCAAGACCCAAATCTCAGGGTAGAATGCTCAGTGGCCGTCTAACGGTACACAGGAGCTACGGGTTAAGAGACAAGGCCCGGCAGCATGGTCTGTTATTTGTGTCACTCACCCCTTCTGGCCGTGTCTACTGCTGAACTTGTCCCCAATCTCCGGTCTCCGCGTCTGTCTTTGAAGAATCTTTATGAGGAATGCCTAACAAAGAAAAACCAATAACTTATTAGTGTAATATTACGACAGAACAAATATTGTTAAGTAAAGACTGAGTTATTTTATTGACGCGTATTGTCAAGACACTTGTCATTATTTGAAGTACTTAAAGGACATGACTGTAGAGATAAACAAAATTCCACCTCTTCAGCATTTGAAGTCACCAGCACACGTTCAATGTAAATATCTTTTGGCCCTTTGTACCTATAAGCAGAACAAATAGAAAGGGGAATAAAAACACGAGTTGAGACGATTTTACATATGAAGAGAAAAGAAGAACACAAAGGAGCGCACAGCGATTAACAAATTTGGAAGTTTAAATAAAATTGTAGGGTTTCTTAAAGCCAAGAAAATGGTGCCATGATAGGATCTAATAAATAATGCATATCAAAAAAATTACTTACGACACTGGTACATCTCTGTATTCAGGTTGGGGAGGTGGTTGACCTGGTGTCACTGTGACAGATAAAACATTATATCAATAAAAATGATTTTCTTTTTCAAATGTAAACAATAACGATAGCACGGCCATACCTGGCTGAAGCCCTGAAGCAGTGACAACAGGCATGGATTTGTTGATGAGAACTTGTTTGTTTTCTACCCTCTCACCTAACAAAGAAAGAAAAAAGGGAAAAAAGATACCAGGTAAGACTGTTTTGTATCTGATTGGTTTAGACGATACAGCGGTTTTTGCGAACCAATCAAAGGCAACGTGAAGTAAAAAATAATCAAACTTAATAAACAGCACTTCGAGGAAAACCCTCGATGGCATTCAAATTTGACACGCAATTGGGATCAAAATTCAAGTTGGGTTGATCTTGGGGTTACGTTCATCATACTTTGAACATCCAAATCCAGAGATCTTCCATACAACACACAGGATAACAAAATAAACTGAAATACCTGGAGCGCAAATTCCATCAGCGTCAAGAGCTCTGTGTCTCCAGATTACCTCACCCGTCGCTGCATCTCTACTGGGACCTGAAAAATTCACAACACGAAGGTCAGGTAAACCCTGGTCCATACACTAAATGAGTTCTTATTTAATTGCCGGGCACGCCCTTTTTATCAGATTTTATCAGATTTTACCAGATTGCTCAACGACATAAACCTCCCTGGTTGTTTACGTTTGTTCACACGTTAGGACAATATCATAATTTTTCCGTGTTTCCCTTGCACTCTTGATTATCAATGAAACACATAACACATCATTAAACACAAACGCAACGTCTATCAGGAGCACATGTTAGAGGTTTGCGAAGTTCCTTATTATCCAAGATTGATAGCCCGTATATTTTAATGTGCATTGCTTATTGTAGCTTGACTTTTAAAAGCAGAAGGAAAGTAAGTTTTGGTGAGGTTGACAGAAGGAAAAACTCTTTGTTACATAAGGCGCTTCGTTAGTAAGTTGTTACATTATTCCTATCTCCAACTACTGAAGGTAAATGGTAAAACCCCCTGCGAGTATTGGGCCTTTCGAGTTGTTATTCACAGATTTTTGAGGGGCTCTTTCCAATTCTTTACTCTTGTTGTCAACATCGGTCACCAAAGTGGCATCCTACGCTGCAAGTTATATTCCCAAAATTGTTTTCAACTCAAAAACTCACTGCTTGAAGCACTAAATACAGTCAGTAACGAATTTGTACTTCTACATCTAACTAATTACTCCCTCAAGTGTTTTTGGTCGCAATCTGAAAACCCTTGTATTGCCCCAAATCACGGTTGAAGATGTTTTGATATACTGTAATGATTACAGTCTAAAGCACTATTGGCATGCATATCTTTCGACGGGAAGTTAAAATTAAAATTAGAAGACGAGTCTTACCCATAACACGATCAAATGTCTTTCAGATCCAATTGAAGTGAAAAGGATGACGATACAAGAGAGAAAAGAAAAGAAAGGAAACGAAAAATATGTTAGATATAAAAAGGGGATCTTTCTAGCGATCAAATACGAACAGTCCTTTACACCGAGATTTCACCTTTGAACAACAGACGAAACCTGGAGGCGAGAGGAAGCGAGGATACCACAGAGGTTGAGATGGGGTTTGAAATCCTCACGTTAACAGATATCCACAGAACCTGTTGTTCCTTTGTTAACAGCAGTAATCTGTAGTGTGTCAAAAATCTGATTGACGAACAATTTAGCGGCAAAACTGCCCAGATTCGTCTCTCCTTTTATAGCAACCTGTCCCTCAAAAATCACAAAAAAACATCTGACTTGGTATTCACCTGATTCGCGTATCTTTTTAACAAACACGTTTGCTTCCTGTATACCAAGCAGCGTCCAAACCCTGTACCACGAGACAAAATAATTTGATTCAGGGTTAAAACGGTCTACTGTTGGAAACGCGTTTTAATTTCAGTATAACACCAATGGTTGATGGTACCTCTGTCAACAGACGCTTTGTTTAGTATCAGTGCATCCTAAAATAAAAAAAAAACCTTAAAGTTATCATCTGAGGAAGCTTAATACTAAAACTAATGTAAACCACTTGGGGAATTCATTGAACTGTCTTTACCTCAATATCATAACCACTGTAACTCATAACAGCCACTGTTGCATTTTGACCTACAAAACCAACAAAAATAAACATTCACAAACCATTACAGAGGTACACAAAACTGACCAATCAACAAGCAAAATGTCCGAGAAATAAAAAAAGTTTACCAGCCGGCAGCTTGTCGAATTGGATCAAGTCTATAGTCTGAAAAAAAAGGAACCATAAAGCAAAATTGGTTTTTCTTTTCCTAATCTCTTCATAGATTGAAGCAATTTTTTGAGGTTAACAGAAAATTACCTTAGTTCTCACCAATGGCACCTGAGGGTAACACAGGAAATACAACAGCGTGTCTATTCTAAAACACAAAACAAACAAAACATTGAAACTTTATGTACCCGCTGGATCAGTTAATATATGATTTGCTTATAGCCGTACAATTGCGAAAAAAACGAGTACAACTCTCTCCTCTTTGTAAAGAAGCTCACCATGGTATTTATTTCAACACGAGAAATGCACGTTACCTGTTACGCTGGTTGTACCCAATGGAACCTAGAAATTAACAAAAAATGGAAAGATTAAAACGGCATAGAAAAGTAACAAATATAACAAATAGTAACATAAAGCCTCTACCAACAAGTTCACAATGTTAATAGTATCAGGTGAAGGCATAAATCAACGCATGAAAATCACTTCGTTATGGGAATTTATAAACGCACGTTACCACCTTACTGCCTTTATAGGTACCAATAAAATAGTTATGTCTGTCTGTATACCTGTCTGACGCCTGATGGTTTTCCTGCCAAACTTTGTGGGAATACTGGTTTGATGTTTCGACCGTTCGGTGTGTTTGACTATCAGAGGGTTTAAAGTTCCAACTGTCTACCTCTCGAGCAAACTGTCCGTCTGTATACGAGTCTCTTATGATCAGTCTAAAGGTTGTTCAGCCGGTCTTTTTTATGACTACCTTGCTGTCTGTCTGTCTGTTTGTATATGCAAGTCTACTATAATCAGTTTGAAGATTGTTCTGCTTGTCTTTGAATGACTATCTGCTTGGTGCTATGTTTGGTCTGACTTTCCGACTTTCCCCCTGCTTGTCTGTCTGTTTGTATATGCGAGTCTCTCATAATCAGTCTAACAGTTTGTCTGTTACAGATTACTATCAGCCTGGTGCCCTGCTCTATTAATCTGAATTTCTCTTCATTCGTCTCTCTGTCCACACCAATCCCTCCCATGATTGTAACTGTCTGGCTGCAATTGTACGATTGAGTCGTTTTTATTTGTCCACCCAAAGTCTAACCCTTTGGCCTAATACTCGTATTTTTCCTTCTTAGTGTATATGCTCATATCTGTGCCAGAATTGTTTCATAACCACTGCCCCATTTTCCGATACAAGCAAAGTAGCAGAACAATGTACACACCCATAGCTTGTTTGCCCATAGCACACTGGTAAGTGTTCCGAGGAGACTGATTGTGGTGAGGATATGGTATAAGGCCAGCACATACCCCTAGCAGCGTGAACGGTTCTATCTCCAGATGTGTTGTCTCCCTATAAAGTCAAGTGCTACTTTTAGAGAAACATGAAAACAATTGATACAATTATTCGCTATTTGAAGAGAGCGACACTCTTTTTACCATATAGTAAGTTCAGTTAATACTATTAGTGATCATTAAATTTTCAACTCCGAATGTTGCATTTCTAGTGTTCTGATTGGTTCACTAAACTACGGTTATTAGTTCATATCCCAAGTCACCTCGCATGGAATTGAATTGCGCCAACTGTTGCGGAGCTGAAAAAAGGTTCCAAATATCCAAACGTGAAATTTAATAAAACAACGATTTTATTCGCGCTTGTTGGATACGAGATTGGTGATAGCCAACGAGGTCCAACGCATGCTCATGGAATAATTGCTATTTATTCAGATGTATAATGAAAATAAACCGACCAGTTGGCTCGGCAGAGCGTTGAAATTCTGTCTATAAAAACGATATCTCTTCAGTTGAAGCATGCGTAGATTTTTGCACAAAACCATTAACTTAAATGAAGACCGAACTGGAACCCTGCGATGCAGATGTTATACACTGCCTACAAAATGATTTAAGTCAGTCTTGCCATACTTTGTAATTTCCTTCTCGTACAAAGAAATTGCGCAGTCATTTTCTTCGTTGACATCTAGATACTCAACTAGACCATCATGTAAGAAATCTTCGAAGCTCCTGGTCAAAACAAAACAAAAATATCATATTTACAAGAGGCCACGTACTAAAATAACAAAAATAGTCAAACCTTCCGTAACTAAACCATAAGTGGAGAGATGGCCGCTCAAAACAAGCCATGATGAACGAACCATTTTTCATGCAAAGCTTGCAAAGTGTTTTATTTCACAACAGACGTCTATTTGAGCATGTTCAGATCATGTGACATGCATGGTCAACATTACCAAAGACCTTTGCAAGTTTTGAATCAACAGCGCTGAAAATGGTCCGAGTCATCGAAAAGAGGCTATATCTACATTGACTTCGGTGATAAGCAAAACTAAGGTTTTGGAACGTGCTCGCTGACGTATAGTGGAGGTTTTCAAAAATGTGAAAACATTAATATTTTAGTTTGAAGGAAGGCACCAGGGGATGACAACAACGCCACCATATGTATATGAACACCTAGGAAACTAGGAAAAAACTCTCACCTGAAACCTTGCACGAGTTCTTGAATGTGTTGATCAGTCACTTTAGGTTTTCCATTCTTAACAATAATGTAAGGCCTAAAAATTGTTCAAGTCACATTGTATTAGACTATAAACGATACCGAAGATTTTGTAGGGGGGGGGGGGGGGGACAAAAAGTCTATGGAATTACCTGCAAACTCGTCCTCCATCAGATGCAATGTTAACAAATCTGCAACAAAAAATTCTTGGTTACTCTGTTGAAAAAGGTCAACTGAACAAAACTGACAGCAAATTAGCAACATTTTAGGAAGCTGAGCTACCTGTGCTGGTGATTTGGGCAAATGGAGACAAATTCACTGATGTAACCAGCTAAAAGAAACAAGACAATACCATGAGGAAAAATTATCTTTAAATGTGTGCTGAGATGTGTAGGAGTGTAGAACATGTTTAGGACAAAAAGGGCTGTCGGAGTTAAGAATAAGCTCCCTTCCTAATAAGACCCAATCCCCACTCCTTTGCAAGTTGCCGCCAAGTCTAGAGCTTCCAGTTTTGAATACGTTCCCTTTCTCTTCCCCCTCTTCATAAAAAAAGACAACAACAAACAAACAAACTGAAGGTATCCTTATCTTCATTTAGGACAGAAAAACGTTTCTGTACAAATCACACTTGTATTTGAAAACCTTTACAAATTTCCTTTCTAAATATTGTAACTTTTGCGAAGTGCCTGGGGTGTATACCACACACAATATTCTAACTGTGGCTCTCATCAGTGCATTCCTCATCATAACCTCCCTCTGTGCCCCTCCAATAACCCGACTTCATACTGAGCCTCCCGTCCGTTAAACCTATTTTCACAATCGCCTTCTCCTGCCCATCTGAATATTTTCAGGCCGGAAAAAAAAGGGATCAAAGAACTGCTAACCAGGCTTGTACAAAAACTACCAGTCAATAACAAAACTTTTGACACGCTTCGTGTAAGTAGTATCTTTTCAAACGAATTAGCGTGACCAAAGAATATGGAAATGCCGAGGACACGTACAGCTGTATATCATAACAACAACTAATTCCTGAAAAACTGCTGTCTGCATGCAGTTGTCCAGTTCGAAAACCTCACCTCTCCTCATCAGACGGAACGTTTCAACCAAGCGCTTGTAGTTCTTTACAACACCAAGAATGTTACCTAACAGAGAAATGCGGCTTAATACATAAAATCAACTTTTATAATAAACGCAAACGTAAACTACATCAAGAAAACGAGTAAATATCATGAAATAAGATTTACCCTGAATTGAGGGGCTGGCTACCTAAGTTTGCTGGCTTCTGCCATCGTAGATAAAATCTCACTCTATGTATTATTAATCGCTCGGCAGAGCCGGGTAAAACAAACTAAGCTCAGGTTAACTGTAGAAATGGCAGGGCAAAGAGAAAAAAAAAGGAATAGAGAAAGAATCCAACTCACCGTTCAGGAACACAAGATAAACTGAAGGATGGCTTATCTCCTCGCCGGACAACATATTCAAATTCTGGAAAACAACACAGACTGTAATGTTGGACTTGTGTACAATTATAACTATGATATATTTACGAGCAAAAGTGACAGAAACAAATTAGATTCTTCCACTTCAAGGTCTGATTCTACATTCGCTGAAAAGTTCCCTTTCTATTTTTTTTTTTTTTTTTGATCCCATTCCTGAGGTTTGTCTCTGGATCAACTGAAACTCTTGCCAATCTAACTTTAAAAAAAATCCAATTAATTAGAAAGCCGTTGCTTTAGCATTTGAAACGGGAAAGGGGCTTCATTTTTTTACGCATTGTACGACTCTACCATTTGGCTGATAGTTCTTAGTTCAAACCGCTACTAGTTTCAATTACATCTTGGACTATGGCACATAGAATAAGCTCTAATTTCTGACACTGCAAAAAACCTCACCTCTACTCCCAAATTATAAGCTAGGCGAATAATGGGTTCTTCATTCTGGTCTGTGGTAATATGTGTCATCAATGCAAGATTCTTCACTAAGCCACAGGCCTAATCAACATACATAACATCCTTAGTCAGTAATTTTCAAACAGCACTCAAATCGTTTCAAGGTGAATACAAGGGTGGGCGCCTTTTTAATACGCCTTGATTATTGCTGAATTTCCAACAAAATGATCAGCACTAACACTTGATAGCTGCTACCATCAAAGTCTTGTTACGACTAAACCTGGAGGGCAATGGTTGTAAGGGTAACAGGGACTTTAAGCTGTTCCGTGTTATGTATTCTGCATCCTTTGCCAAACACGGACTTTCCTTTACCCACTCTCGAGACTATGATGAACATTATATTTTTTGATTGATCCATGTTAAGTACCCATTACTCACCTCTCCTTCAGGGGTGTCCGATGGGCACAACATTCCCCACTGAGATGGCTGCAGCGACCGAGGACCACTAACTTTACGGGTCTTTTCAAACTGGAAGTAATGGAATAAAGCAAAGATTTAAGTTCAAAGTGTCCTTTATTATGAAAGTTTGAAACTGAAAAATGAGGAAGTCTTATGGTGACCGAAAAAATAAAATCAGTCGCGGGGGGGGGGAACTTATCTGTGATAATCAGAGTTGACACCAATATTTTCAACTTTTATCCTGGTATTCAACATTTCTCCTCAAGTTCTTAAGTACCATACTCAAAGATTACTTTCACTCTCACCTGACTGCTTATCCTTGTCATCATTCCAAGAGCAGAAATAAATGAAAGCCGCGAAAGAACCTGGAAAAAAACATTTTTCGCACAATGGAATCAGCAATCTTAATTAAAATTGATGTTCCACAGCGCAAAAGTCTAGCAAACGGCCTAAGTGACCGGTTATCCCCCCTTCCACACCCACACCCACACACCCACCCCCAAAACCCCCTTCCACCCCGATGGAAGACTGAAAGGTTTTCTGAAGTACAAGTAAATTGTAAAGCAAAAATTATTTAGTTCATTACGCCTACCTGTGTGACCCCCGCACGATTCATGTTAAATCTCTTTATGATCCAATTACCCTGCCACCAGAAACAAAGGATTTCTCAGCTCTTAATATAAACCTCCTCAGAAAGACGTACTAATTTCCCACTCTATGAGCAAAAAATACATGACTGGACATAATACTAAAGCAAACATAAAAAAAAATTCCAACATTCTTATAAATAATGAAGTGCTTGTAAAAGGTTGGCTATTCACGAAAGGTAGTACCCACTTTTTAAGGAGTATAATTTCAGACCTTAAATATGCTCCACATCATAACTTACCCTTCCCCTATCTCCACTTACCCCGTCTATTCTCAAGGTTTTCATAATGACATCTCAAAAACTAACTATAGGTACATTTTGACCAGAAAGGAGTCAGAAGTCCTTGGGGTTTTTACTTATTATCATTCTACATTAATTAAAGAAGCTATTGAAAAGACATGCACAAATGAAAATAAAAATTGAGTTCCAGGCATTTATTACCGAGGTGATTGCATGAACCAGACCATGGGTAATTTGATCCTGACGCATGTGCTTCACGATGTCAAACTGTACACAAAAAGTAAATCATAATAAGCCAATCAGCCAGATCAAGTCTTAATCTTTAAAACCACAAATATTTCATTGAGGCAAAGACAAACGTGACAAAAAGTCACTGTGACAGGTGTCTGCGAAAATCTGCTTTGTGTGTACATGTTCTGCGTTTATTTTTGTGCGTCTTGTCGCAAGAACAAAATTCTGTTCCAGGGATGCAGATTTTCATAAAAGAATTGACCATGCTACGAGAAGTTTGTGGTTATTCGTCATGCTGAAGACACTTGTAACAAAGTATTATAGTTTGCCTCACGTTTAAGTCACTTCCGCTGTTGATAGCGATGTTTCGATGTTGCATATTCCCAGTCTCCTTTAAGCGATGTGATCGACAAGTTATGTGTCGACTGGTAAAGCATTACACCCCACTGTGATTAGTTGGTTTTCGGTTAAATTTGAATTGTTTAATAGCGGAAAGCTTAGGGAACCCAGCTTGGGAAATCGGTCAATCACTGTTGTTATCAGCCAACCAATCAGGACTAAGCATAATGCTTCGTACCATGATAAGTAAATGGTCGGCTTCGTCGCCTTTTACAGAAAATCGTAAGAGTTTTAGAGCTTTAAAAACTCTTCGCGGTGGATTATTTACGTTATCAAATAAGAAATAAAAACAAATTATTCTGTTTTATCCCCACCAAGCACCACAGTTTCTTTTTAAACTCACCCCTTTAATCATTTCTCGAAATATGTTTGGAAGTTACTGAATAAAAGTTTTCATTTAAACTCCTAAAAGCAGCATACACCGAGAACACATCACAGAGAAACTGAACGAAACAACGGAATACCTGGGCAGCTCTTGGTTTTGGAATTGTTTGGTCTGCAATTTTCTTAAGCTAAAAACAAACAAAAAAACAATATTTATGAAGGGTACAGCAGGCATACGAGTATCAAACAAGTGTAAAGCGGGCAAATACAGGATTTTTGTTATTCATTAAGTTCCACAGGAGGTGGGAAGACTAATTTGGAGGAAAATACACCTCAGTAGACGAAATAGACCTTATCGCTTACCTCTGCATTAAATCTCTTGAACAAGTCCTCGAAGAGAAGAGACAGAAGCTGTGAAAAGACAAACACCAAGTCATTATTCAAGTGAATCAGAAGCTTGTAACTAACGTGCTTCTGAGAATAAATAGACAATAAAGATGACTGACAAACTTCTCTAGTTTCTCGTAGTAATTTTATCATTTTTGCACAAATAAACAATAGTATGGAAAGAAGCAAGGATATCTGTATACGGGAAGCGAATAGTTTTCCGAACAGTGCTACATACCTGGCCTGCGAGTTCCAGCCGCTTGTTACCATAGTAATCACGGTCATCTACATGGGCCTAAAAATATGACATACTTGTACAGATGAACCTTTATACACAAGTCATGATAGCTAACGGTAGGCCTGAAACTATAATTATTTATTGTCTATCTTAAATTTTTTTGGTGAATGGAGGACAGTATAAATTGCAGAGCTGACTCTGAGGCAAACAAGTTGCATTCATGACTGTGAATATTTTAAAAGAAATGAATCGGAAAGCGATCTTCGCAGTTAAGAATACTACTTAACAGTAGTGAAAATAAGGCCTGAAAAAAATTCAGGCCTGTACGGGATTTTAATCCATGACCTAAGCTATACTGACCGGTGCAGTGCTCTACCAACTGAGCTAACAAGCCAATTGGGAGCTGGTTATTAAGTTAGTTCGTAATAAGCCCGTGAAGTGATGAAAATAAATGACTGTTAATACATGAAAAATCATAAATGTGAATTGCGGGTGAAGAGGTGAATGAGAGCGATCTTCGCAATAATAAAAACTGAATTCAGCTTGAAATTTTAAGCAGAAATTATCTTAAATTTCAAGTAAATAACGTTTCGCTTCCTCTTGCAGTAATTCTTCCCCAAGAGCCACCTTTAAAACAGACAATCAGATCAGGTCGACAGGTTCACTTGGCAACATACCTCGTCGCTGCACGCGAGAATGACTCTACGCACCATCAGAGCTAAGAATACACACTTGGCTTTGAAATCATACTTGATAACCTGAAATAAATAAAATAGAAAAAGTCCAAGAACAAATACCTTCAGTAAGCGTATCTTGTCTTGATGCCAAATAAAGCCAACTGTGTTGTCATCAGTTATATTATATCTTTCAGCTACATGTAGTACTGTACCTGTACATGCATTACGATTGGTCGATTTAGGCAGCTGTATGTAACTGCACGGCCCGCTAAATTCAAAAGTTGTTTGAATTAAAATATACCGCCTCTATCTGAACTCAGAGATAAAGTATAGTAGATGTTTCTCTCTAACCTTGTTTCCCCGCGTGTATGGTAAGTTGCGGAAAAAACTAAGCCGTAATTTACAGTAGTGACGTCGAACTTGGTTAGTAAGAGGTAGAATTATAATCTTACCGGAACATGAGCGAGCATAACTCCTGCTAACAACTCCCTTGCCTCCTCCACTTTAGTTCTGCTCTTCCCCCAAGTTGCACGCTGACGCACTTTGGATCCAACATACTGCAAAGCCTGTTAATATAATAAAATCAAAACATAGGGCATATGTTATTTTAATGCAGTTTACTTTATGCTGGTTAATTTATATCCCTTACAGTTTGCGTAGATAGACAGTTGGACTGGTTTTAAACAGGAATTTTGCCTATCCTGCAATGAGGTTGAACTTGCTAGGAGTCTAAAAATGAAAATCCTTACTGAACAGGAATATAAACCCTCGCCAGCTGTGCTTACATGTACGTCTCAAGGTGACAATCTAGAGAGGTGTAGCACACACTACGCCACGTCATTCCCAATCCAGAGATTAATGGTACACGCTCCTAAAAGCCTTCCGAGGAGGGGTGGGTGATAGGGGGCTCATTCATTGCCAAAGTTTCCAGACACAGCAGTTATCACTGAGGATGGCTTCTTAAAATCTCCTTGATGACAACAAAATGTGTCTTAATGTTTCTTCCAATGGTCGCTCACTTCAAAAAAACCGGTGTGCAGCATGCATATCATTACTTAAACACGCCTCAAATGCTTTAAATAGAAACTAATCAATAAAAAGCATTTCAAAAACGACTGCACTTTTACTAAAATGCTACAAATGTACCTCATTGTACTTCTTCTATCGAGTTACTTAATATGTAATCTATCTTATGACAAGTTATAAGATGCCTCGCTATGTTTACTGAAGATGTACACTGTACGTGTAGATGAGGCTGAAACTGATCTCTGTGGTAAATTCCATGGTATATAATTATTTAAATCTTTGTAATCATGTTTGCTTGATAACAGTGGTGTACCTGTAATTGTGTGTAAATATTTAGTTTGTGACACTCCTCAAGAGATGGAGCAAATGTTGAGATCACTTCCTCCTCACAGCCAACCATTTGAACGATTTCTTGTTCACATTCCATTCCCATGGCTTTGAAGATCACAACAACAGGGACATCCTATGGGATTAAAAAACTCTGTCTACTAACGGATATATATATATACACTGCATCTTCAAGCTATCAAGACCTTAATTGATAAATCACATCTGAGTGAGAACTGAAAATTCTAGTCTCATACCAACTTAGGCCTACCTTGCCTATAAATTTAAACTGAACTTTTAAATTAAAAAAAAAATGCATTGCATAACAAAAGAAAACTCAAAGAGTAAGAGAAAAGAGAGGTCTAAAGGAATGATCCTAACTTATCTAAAACCTTCAATTGAGAAAGGGAAATACTCAAGAAAACTATGTGCTTGTTGAAAAAATTTGGACATCTTCAAAAGTGACAAGAATTTATACAAAAATTCCAGACCTCAGAGAATAAAGAACTCATATACATGTACTTGTGTCTTTGACCAAAGGAAGTTGGAGGGTATACAAACAGAACTATCAACATAAAATGCACATTGAAATAAGTAAGGAAACTTACCTCTGACATAGCATTATGTTTCAAACAAAACTTGTTCTGTTTGGTCACAATACTTGTTCTACTTTTCCTTTCAGCTGTTGAACTGAGACAAAATGCAAACAACAAATAAACTTTCATCTCTAAAGGAAAATGCAGTGCACCCTATTGTGTGTGTAAAGGAGTTATCAGTAGTAAATGGTAGACAGCTGTGAATCACACACCTTGTAACAGAACATCCAATATTTCCTTTTTTGTCTACTTCCACAATGATACGATTCTTTGACAACTGTTCTTGAATTAATATGACCTTTTCTGTTCCATTTGCTATAAAGTAACCTCCTAAAAATTCAAAATCATCAACAATTGACAGTTTCTACAATAATTGATTCTTTACAGCTAGCTGTAATTCAAGAGAGTGATCAAAGAATTCTAAAATTAGAATGCCTCTTAAACAAACCATCATAACCCTCTCTATGTACACTGAGCACCAACCACATAAACAACAGTTGTGTTTAACCCTTTACACCCTAACATCAGTATACATACACAGATTCTCCATATTGTTCTCTATACATTTCCTAAGGTGCTGACAAGGAGAATTTGTATAACAATCACAAGCCTCTTTAGTTGGTGATCATTTCCTTTATTCTCATGACCTTAATGTTTGATTCAGGGGTGATATCAAAAGGAGAAATTAGACACCAGTCACTCTTAGGAGTTAAAGGGTTGAAGTGATCAACATGGGTTTTGTGGGGAAACTGGCTGAGAAACAGTTACATGTACTGTACTTAGAGGAGGTAAACTGCTCCCATCCAAATTCAATCCAAACAGCATCTTACACTTACAACACCTAGCATAATAATAAACTAATGTATGGTATCAACCATCCAAAGCAAAGAATGACACCACTCTTCAGCTGAGAAACCAAAATGAAGCACATTTCAGGATTTACCCCCAACTACTGTACTTGACATAATGGTTGGTGCAGGATACCCAGCGCAATACTGAGGAATCACCATAAAATATTATACTCTAACCAACCTGGATCAATAGGGCACTCATTCAAGGATGCCAACTCAGCTGGACTTTTACCAGTCAATACACAGTTAGAACTGCGAAGCATTATAGGCATTCTAAAAATTGATAAAAACAAACATATTTTGGCCAAAATTATTTCATATGGCACTTATACAAGAAAATAAAATTGTAAAATCTCAAACAAAATCTCTTAAATCAATGTTGATGGAAACCAACTTTATTGTTAGTTACATTGTTTGAATCTGATGGCTAATTGTTGGCAACATTTTCCATATCTAATCTCTGATTACCCTTTGTTTATCTTTTGAATAACAAGCAGTAAACCTAAAACAAAGTTGATTTGAAGTTGGAGGAAAAGAAATGCTTAAATATTGTCTACACGCAGCTTTTTCTCCTCTGCTCCCAATTGAATTTATTAGTGTGGACATCACGTGCCAGTTATTAAACAAAGTTTAGCTGTTGTGTAACAAAGCCATGGTCTAAACCTTTTTCAATTTAGCAGAGCCTTTAATCTCACTTTTTATTTCTGTGAACAGTGTCAAGAAAGCCGAGTGCTAATAGTGGAAGGACTTTTTTTTAATGTAATCAACCCTCTTACAGAGAATCCTGTAGGCACACTGCTTGAATGTGTAAAACCACAGATTGGGTTAGATCTCATGCAAATAACCCACCATGCATGTGTTACTCAAAATATCAGCTAGGTCACACCTACCTCCCTACTGGCAGGTTATGTCTCACCACACGCTGTAAAACAACATTCCAACAACCACTTAATTAGTGGTTAGTAGTCAGGTTTTATTCACCAACATAGAAGAGGGCACTTCATCCTACTAGATGGTAAACTAATTACATTTCTGACACTATTCAAAACCAAAATTCCCCGGCACATCTGCTCTTTACAAGGCCACCCTGCCAGTATTCAATATCACACATACAGTACACCCTTCCTCAATGATACAGAGATGCTAATCATTATCAAGGGGAAGTTGCCCTTGTAATACAAGAAAAAAATTCTGTCAAACAAATCCAAAAAATCTATTTTACACCCAGAGAAAAAGTCAAGAAATGTTTGGCAGTTCAGAGCAGAGCTACAAGGTGACCACCTCAACTTGCACAAAAGGGCCAAAGTATTTTTAAAGTTGCTGTACCAGATGAAAAAATTTCAAGCTACAGTCCAAACTGTATTAAGTGGTCACCCTGTATTCCCTGTAGGTAACCACTTACAGGTTACACTGTAACAAAAATTTTAATTTAAGCAAATTTGAATAATATGCACACAAGTAAATTTAATAACAATTATATCAAAAATTAGAAGAACTGCCCACTACTTTAAACAACTGGGTGCATCAGAACAACACAATTAAATGCTTCTTATTTCCCTTATAAAGAAAGGGAGCAGAGTAATCTAGAAAATAATTATTCCTCTGAGCAAAACAACATGATCCTTACCTGACTGCCTCTAGTGTACTCAATGTCAACCGTTATTGGTGCTGAGTATGTCATATCCCGTAAGCGGCACTAAACAATGATTGTAATTACAAGTAAGTTTGGACCTTTCATAGCTTTCATTCATATTTGCAGTTGACTCCTATTATAACTTGAAACCTTTGTAATTCAAAACTTATGTTAACTAGAACCAAAAGGGATTACCTCCTGGATTCTCACCACACCATGCTATGCACTGATCAATAAAAAGCTTCATTCTTCTCCCCCCCTCCCACTCCCCCTGGGCAACCCAGTGCCCAGAGGGAGGGGGATTTAAGCCTTGCCAGGGTAGGGTGGGAAATTTGAACCAGAACTGTGAACCCCTTCCAGCATATTGACCATGTTTCATCTTTTAATAACGAGGTGTCTTAAGGTAAAAATTTCTCTTCCACTAAGGTTGGCACTTGGGGCATTTGAATCCAATTTTGAACCTGGAGATAGGACTTTAAAGAAAGCAATCTTAAAAAAGGTCAAATCCTCAGGAGGTTTCCCAGTAGGGGGAGGGAAAGAGGGAAGGAAAGTTGAAGCTTCAAATGAATTGACACATGAATTGACCCAGTTCATGAATCTCAAACCCATAATGGTCTCAACCATATCAGTAATCAGTTTGTTGTTAAAAGGACCTGTAGAAATGTTCTGGCATTCAGCATCCAGATTATCCAATAAACTTGCCTCATGAGGTGAGATGGGTTTAGTGATGTTAAAAGATTCCTCCACATCAGGACTTCCAACGTATATGTTCAGGTATTTTAGATACCACACTGGATCAGCATCAGTGGTGATCTTCTCATTTGCTTTAACAATCTTCTTTATCTGAAAAGTAGGGCAATACAAACATCAAAATACAACATCACCAGTATTATCTCCCTCCATCCAACTGAAAAATAAATCCTCACTCAACTCTGATGATGAATTCACCTAAGTCTTTAGTCAGTCACTGTTACCAGCTACAGTCCAAGGGCATAGCCAGGATTTTTCAAGCAGGGGGGTCACACTGTGACAAGCAGAGGGTACACACCAGATTGCCATGTCAATCTCCATGCCATGTTATGCTTACAAGGGGGGGGGCCCACAGGAAACCCTGGAATACCCCCTCTCCCAGCTATGTCCATGAATTCCCTTCAGGACTACTCTGACCCTGACAATTCTTGCAGAGTTACACTGTTGACCATACAGTCTCTCCTTTGCATACCTTAAATTTCACAAAAACTGTACAATCATGTAGGAATACTGATATTAGGAAGACTAAGAATTGAACTTACATCCACATTTATGAAGTAATTAAAGGAATCAATGTGTTGCTTGACAAGTCCTTTCACCTGCAAATTTAAAATTAATGCAAAAAAACTTGATGTGTAAATATTGAACAAATATGTTAAACTGTTTCAGGAGAACAAAGATGAAAACAAGCAGCCCACATCATTTTGTTCAGCTTCCCCAAAAATTTTTCCATATCCAGAAGAACATGTACCCTCTAATTCAGAGTCCAAATGGATGGTTTTCTTTCCTTTAAAGACGCCATGAACTGTGGGTATCTAATCCTTATCCTTATTATTCTCTGAGATGGGATAAATGTGTCTGCAGTTTCATGAGCAGAGAGGGATACTTTACCTTTAAAAATGCTGGTAGCAGTTTCCATTTATCCTACAAAGGAAAAAAAATCAGTTGTCACCAAAAAAAGGTGACAAATTAAGACTCCTTTAAAGGTCTCATAGGCCAGACATATGAGCTGAAACTCATGTCAGCCATGACAAGTAATCACAGCACTCTCTAAGAAAGGGGTGCTCACAGGAGCAGCATACAGCTGTAAGTATTTACCTCCCTATCAAGACATATCTAAGGACCCCACTGGCTTTATATAGGTGTAATACAACATGCTAATCTGAACACCATTTCAATATCTCAATAGAGGACTCTTATTCATGTAACTGGAGTGAATTGGCAGTCCTGCAGCTTCATTCTGGTTTATGTTAGTGTCACTGAGCCTCAAAGTTCATACATTACTGAAAGATGGGTAAGTGTGAAGAAGAGCTCCTTAAGAAACTCTGTCAGCTGACTGTTGGCCTACAGATAACCAACAGGTCACTATCAGGCTACCCACAGGCTACCAATATTGGCAATGCACCCAAGAATAAAAGGGAAAAACTAAATTTGACTGTACTTTATGTACACTTTGGTCTGGTTAAAACTGACCGCTGACAATTGGCCACCTACTGGCCATCTGTTGGCTGACTGTCAGCTGTATGTTGACTGACTGTTGGCCAACTGTTAGCTGATTGGTTTTTTTCAGGGAGTTGTTCTTCAAAATTAACAAAAGATGTAGTAATACAAATCAAAGGCACCTCAACTGTCTTGACTGGCCTGGAAACATCTTCCAGGTTTCCTGTTTTGTTTCCCAATGTTTCAAATTCCATTACTATCATTTAATTGTGAGGTGCTTTCATGGTTTTTACAAATTAAAGCAAGTAAATTCTTCACCATAAACATCTTCTAGCATCACACAAGGGGCAGACTTGGAAATAAAATGCAAAATAAAATTAGTAAATTAATGCCGCGACCTACAGATGTATCCTTCCTTATGCACATTTGCACGGTGATTAATATTTTCTCTGGTTTAAAATTTTTACATCCAGTTTTATCAACAAGTTCATTTGTTTCGGTAATGATAAATAGAATTCACACTGTTTTATAACGTTCTGATAAGGTGAAAACTTAAGCAACATGAATGTGTTTGTAGATTTTGCTTGGGCCCCGCACGAGCTTCAACACTAAAGACTGGACACTGCACGACTGTTTTCAACAAATCATTGCGAGCGTACAGTGTATATCTTCAATTCTTCAACCGATTGTGGAAGTTTCATATTTTCATAGCCGCGGACTGCTAGTACTACGCAGTGTCAATTCAGCTGCTGTTGCGCTTGGCTTAACTGTTCAAACTGACATTAACCCATGTACATGTATCAATGACTTCATGCAGATAGTTAGGAACTACGCGAGCTTCAAACTCAAGGCAGGAGGCTGTAATTTTTTATGGGCTATAAAGTCTCGTCAAGTTTCCAGTGACATTTGCTAAAATTGTAAGTACAAGTCTACTCCACGTATTGTTGAGCATTAGCATTGCAACACGTGTGTTTACAAAATCTCACCTGACTTTAACCGTGCCGCCATCTTGGTCCTCACAAGTTCCCAGGATTAAGGACCGCTCATGGCTGAGGGGAAACAGGGAACGAACAAGTCTCGTCCCCAGAGTCCTCTCTTCCACCCATAGGAAGTGAAAGACCTCATACTGACAGGACAGCAACGCAGAGAATACGCTGATTGAATAATCAGTTTAATAATTTGTAAAGAATCCCGTGAATTTCTGGATGAGTTCACCGTTTCTCTAGGCATTTCTGTCCTCAGACTACGCAGATTTTTGCGAATGTATTACGCTTTCAGAGAGAGGACCAGGCAAGTGTGACACATGCCAACCCACCGGCTTTCAAACTTTCACAGATTATTAGGTTCAAAAAGTTATTCCAGAATCCAAAGTAGTTTGGGTTCCCGTTTAATCTCTGAGGCACAAAAGCTCTTAAATCAAAACCCAGGGATGAAACCCCAAAGTCTGCTCGAAAATTGTACTTCGATAAATATCTCCCCAACGTTTAAAATGTGATGGTAATTTTTTAACTATTCCTGAAAAATTAGAGCAACTGGAGCATCTAAAGAATTATTAAGGTACATGTGGGTTGGTTTGTGAGACAAAACGTAGATCGAATCTCAATAGTTTTCAATGGGGTTGTCAGGGCATAAGAAGCAACACTCAGGCGCTCAGATTAGTAGAAGTTAACATAACGTTGTAAAGATATGAGAAACCGGCTACATTGAAATGTTATTTATGGTTAATATGACGAATGACGCTCGTGATGGATTGTGTATGTTCGTTAGTTGCCGTGGTAAAGCACTAACTTTGAGAACGTACTTCAAGTCTTGCAGATGTTCTCGGACTCTCATTTAATTTGTCAAATCGTTATTTCAAATCGTTATTTCCTCTGGAAGCGAATTTGATAAATACGGGATATCTGACTAAAAGGCTGATACAAAAGATAAATGCTGCGTACAAGTTTATTTTGAAGCGAAAACAACTGATTTAAAGTAGTTATTACTTTAAACGAAATATCTAACAATCTACTGTGACTAAATTTTAGTTACTGATGGCGAGAAACGCGCTATAGTGTATCGCTGAAAGCAAAAGGCTTTAAACCATCAGTGCAGCAAAATTGTAACGTTGCATCAATTCTCAGCCGGATTGGTGCGTTTTGTAAGGGCACTGGAGTATCCTGGCTTGCAGCAGCCTTTTTGCTGAACTAACCCTGGTCGGCAGCACTCCTGAAGACCTGGATCGTACAGGAGAGTTCCACAGCAACCCTGGGAAATTAGATAAAAGAAGGAGATTCCTCATGGTTAAGGCATGATTCTCTCAGAGCAATAAACCTGTAAGTTTATGACACAAAACCTTGAAGGAAAAGTCACCGAATTAACGAGCAATTCAACAAAATGAAAATACTCACCTGGGTCTTTGGGTTATACAGACTGTTTCCACAGCAAAGTGCAGAAGTTAAACCCCATGGTTTAGGTATGATTCTCCCAGAACAACAAACCTACGGGTATAAGTGTATGAAAACACAATGTTGCCGGAAAAGTAGCCGAAAAAACATATAATTCAACCAAATGTAATACTCACATGACGGCTTGGGTTATACGGACGAGTTCCACAGCAATTTGGATGTGATACACCCGTTGGGTTAGGAACGATTTTCCCGAAGCAACAGGCCTATGTGTGTACGACAGACAAGGTTAAATGCAAGTTCCATGGAAGATACGAACAAAATTCACAATAGAACTTATTTCCGCAGGTGAAGAGACTATCAAATGAAATATTGGTCTCAATTTATAGGATGAGACTAAAAGGAAAATTATATTTTAAAGTTCTCTTGAGCTACTTCTACATAAAGATACCTCTCCCACTCTCAAAAGAAGTAAGGAGCTGACAGCGCAGAATTTTTTCTTTAAGAGGCTATGAAAGTATGCAATTTTACCATTTAGATACAACGTTATTAGAAATTTCAAGTTCGTTATGTGCAGCTACTTGAGGGAAACCTACCGCAACAATCACGACTCAAAATCTTCTTTAAGTTTATGTTGAGGCAAAAGTACGTGAGCCAGAAAATACCGTTTAAGGTTTGTAACTTGAAAATAGTTAATGAAGAATAATTATTAAAGTTATTATTATCATTTTTTTTTATGTTGGTACACAATGTTCACCATCAATAATGGAACGCATTTTAAGTGGCTATCGTAAATTAAGATCAAGGTTATCACCTGACCAGTCATGCGAGAAAGGTAAGTATATAATACGGACCCAACGAGACCTCAAACTAACAACAACTAAATTGCTTTAACGCAGAAAGACAAGAGGGACCGAGTCGCGATTGCCTTTTTGTTTTGTTTTTTGTTTCTACATCTGACTTGTAAAGAGGGAAAAGCGGAGTTTCTTTGACCAACTATAACCACAGTGATTCAGAATTAATACAACCCGAATTACCCAAGACTTTGAAACAAGATACAGTTTTTTTCTTGGATAGAAAGCATAATGTGGAGTCACCTCTTTGTATGGGTTATAAGCTGCAGTTCCACAGCACCGCGCGTACAGTGTTGGCCTAGATATGATCGTTCCAGCGCAGCAAATCTGATAAGTGGAGAAGATTAGTGTGCTGCCACAACAGCTCGTCGGTCCGCAGTCTCGGCTCGGCCTACTAACAACACTTCCCCCACAGCATGCCTATAATTCAATCAATTATCGGATAAAAAATCAGTTTCTATTAATTTATCCCTACCTGAGCCGAAGATTCTCCCAGAGCAACCACTCTACAGGAGTACGAATGAACAATGTTGAAGGAAAAGTAACTGAATCAATATGCAGTTCAACAAAATGAATACTCACTTGAGTCTTTGGGTTGTACGGACTGGTTAAACAGCAACTTGGAAATAGTATACCGGTTGGATTAGGCACAATTTTCCGGGAGCAACAAGCCTATATGTGAACGAGAGACAAGGTTAAATCCAAGATCTAGGGAAGATAGTAACAATAAACAATGTAACTTATTTTTGTTCCTGAATAGACTATTTATCAATTGAAATATTGGTTTCAATTTTGTCAGTTTTCACAACGACTCGTCGGTCCGCAGCCCGTCAGCTTATCACAAACAGTTCCCCAACAGCATATCTACAATTTACTAAAAATCAGTTTCCATTGATACATCCTTACCTGAAAAGAAGTAGCCGATCGAACGAGTTAAAATTTTTGAACAATGAATTGAATGAACAATGTTGAAGGAAAAGTAACTGAATTAATACGCAGTTCAACAAAATGAATACTCACTTGAGTCTTTGGGTTGTACGGACTCGTTAAACAGCACCTTGGAAATAGTGCACCGGTTGGGTTAGGCACAATTTTCCAGGAGCAACAAGCCTATATGTGAACAAAATACAAGGTCAAATGCAAGATCTATGGAAGATAGTAGCAATAAACAATGTAACTTATTTTTATTCCTGAATAGACTATTTATCAATTGAAATATTGGTTTCGAATTTTATCAGTTTTCACAACTACTCGTCAGTCCGCAGTCCGTCAGCTTATCACAAACAGTTCCCCAACAGCATATCTACAATTCACTGAGAATCAGTTTCCATTGATATATCCCTACCTGAAAAGAAGTAGCCGATCGAGCAAGTTAAAATTTTACAAAGATACATATAGACATTGAGCCATTTTCTTTACATATATACCTCTGTACTTCTGTTATAAACAGTCAGCGCCCTAGTTCTACAGCAACCTTGACTTAAAGGGTTGTAGCTTTGCTCCCTGTAGTAACGGAAAAAATCTTACTTAGTGCTTAAGTAACATTTCGAAACTAATACCAACAAGTGATTAAATTGAGAGAGAATATTGCACAAGTTTCCACCACAGTTCCTCGCCCTTGGAATCTCAACCAAAACGAACGAAAAGGAAGTGACCTTGATTAATTATGACTGATAGCAAATCATTCAAGGTACAAACCTAAAAAAATAGTTTCCTTCTACAAGTGATAGGAGCGACTTGATGTAATAGATATTACTGGCCCTTAAATGCAAACTTACCCACAACATGAAGCATGTACTTTGCCAAAGAATCTTGGATGAAGTGTGCGAGAACAACATAAATGTGTTCTGGTGTTGTATGAAGTATTTCCACAGCAAGCATTTTTAGAGCCATTCCTGGATGATATGACACCTGAACAGCAAAGCTGTGTCCTTGGGTCATATTTTATCCCACCACAAGTTGGGAGAAGTCTTAACGGGCTCGCAGTCTGATTCAGTTGACAATGGCTCTCTGAAACTGTAGGAATCATAAAATTATGCTCATTATCTTCATACAGTGGTAAGGTATGAAGCGGACTCAAAATTTGAATTTGAATGAAGATGGCTTTAAAATTATAAGAATCATTTATTTCTTTCCTACAACGATCAATATTTCTTAGGACAGAGAATTATTTAATTGATCATGAAAAGTGATGCGGAATATCACCAGTTTTGTTTCAATCGCTTTGCGACTTTTCTACTTACCCATGGCCAAAAGAACAAAAACGATGACTCCTGACAGAAAATTTAACTGTGTCATGGTGGGTCTTGGTTGAGCTGGCACTGAAAGATAAGCTACAAAATTGTACCGGTGAGAAATGAACAAATGCATGATCTCAGGTATATATTGCGCTCGCAAAAGATTATCAAGCTCTTCCGCTTTGTGTGCTTAACTGAGGAGTTTTTTAAACAAATTTTAAAAGTAAAAACGATCGATCTATAAACTGACCTTACTTTGCTACCCTCAAAGTAAGGTAATGCCAAGTAGCCTTTTTCTCCTTAATTTTTTTCCTTTCAGTGGCTCTCGTTTAGAATTAAGGCGCTATTTAAAGTTCTCGTTAAAAGTGTGCAAACCAATCACAATTTAAATGAATTAACATTCATTTGACCTGCAGATGAGAAAAACGTAAAGCAATGATCCTCGTGGCTGAGCTACGATTAAAGGGACTGCTAAAAAGAAGCCTAAAAAATTTAGGCTTCACCGTGATTCGATCCCGTTCCTTCCCGATATCGATACTCGTTGGGCCCCACTACCAAATGAACTACGAAGCCACACCTAAACAACGAGACAAATTTTTAGAGGGTTCATCTTTTCCGTATAGTTTTGTCCAAAGTTGGGCTTGGTCTATACGCTTACCTGACAACTTAAAGGGTTTGTCGACTGTTTAGAGAAGCATTTCAATAATGATGAAATACTTACCTACCTTCGTTAACTGAAGAGCTGTTGAAAGTTTACCTTCTCAACTCCGACTGGTAAGAGTCACTCTCTGTACTCCTTTTAAGCCGTCACTTAAATTCGAACCCGGAACTTGATAGACAATCGACCATAGCATGTTTTGATTGTTAGATGTTGCCAGTAATATCAATGAACAATCAAAACAGGAAAAAGTTTTGTTTAAAATAGCTGCTAATTTGAGTGGTTCGACCTAAGTCAAACTTGCCTTCTGTGGGACGATTGTTCAACTTGCTCTTATCTTAACTACGAAGATCGACACCAGGCAACCTTGACAATTGTGGTTAATGGGCAGCAACGTCGTGTTACCACGTGTGTTGACGTGCCTATCGCAACCTCATCCTGAAATAACTAATATATTTCTTTTCATACCAAGCGATGGTGAAGAATTTCAAAAACGTGCACCTGAGACAATGCGATGTCCAATCACTATATGACTGAATAAAGTGGGTACGTTTCTAGAGAAACCGTGGTGCTGCGTCGGTGGGAGAGTATAACAGGGTAATTAAGCATTATAAACTAAGTTGATAACGTAAATTGGCCACCGTAAAGAGTTTCAAAGCTGACGTTTAGCCCTTCGTCAGAGCAATTCGTCCGACGATTCGATCTTCTTCGTCAATCGCTCTGACAAATGGCTAGCACTCAAAACATCAGCTTTGAAACTCTTTACGGTGGCCAATTTACGTTATCAACTCAGTTGATAATAATAAATCACCCAGTATATGATTGGACTGTCTGAAGCAACCATGAAAGCTGCGTTTGTTAGGTGCCACCGGTACTTTCAACAGCGTAAAAAAAAACTACAACAACAAATGGATTCAAAGTGACTTTTTTAAAATTTTTTTTTATTTTTGCAGAATTAGGATTTTTGCGGAACTGCGTTTCATCAAGAACCTTTGTCTAACAAGCCCTTGCGTTTGTTCCTCTGACGTTAGCGCTTTCCTGAATCAAAAGAAATAAAGATATCTGATGTCAGTTTAGAGCCCAACAAAGACAAAATAAAAGATCACTTATAGCTAGCTATAGTTGAACCTTAAATGAATGCATGACTAGTTATGCAATATACCATCAATATGGCCCTCTACAGATTTATTTTGCTCTTCAATTCTTAATGTTTTCAGTTGCTGTTCTTAAATTTTGTCCGTTTTCAAGCTGAAATATCGCATAACAAAATTAATCAATTTTCCATTTTGCCATCATAACTTAAATGTTGTCCGTTTTCAAGCTGAAATATCGTATAATAAAATTAACTAATTTCCCATTTTGCCATCACAAATAGAATGGTTTTTAAAAGCGATTCAAAAGCGATAAACCGTATAAAAATCAACGAGTTGTATTGTATTTTGACGAGCCTGCATGGTGAGATTAAATACAAACAACGAGTAATAATACTCAGCGATCCTGCACACCATAAAGTTTTATAAGTTATTTGTTATCCAACATCTTTATTCATTTCAAGGGTGAGAAAAGCGTGGCTGAAACAACTCACGCAAGCGTAACGAACAATAACCGTACAATATCGTGGGAGATTTGTACTCTATTTATTATTGTAGTTAGAAAATAATTGAAATTTACTTCCGTAACATGCAATCGAAAAAAAAAAAATTTCTGCATATCACCTCTTCCTTAAATGTCTCAAATGTTGGCTTTTAGTCGGAAAACTTTCTGCATATCACACATTTATTCAAGTTTCCAAGGTGTCTTGAATAAAACGTGTTTAGAATAAAAAATTGTCCTCGTTGCTAACGCTATAATAATAAGGCTATTTGTAGTATTAAAAAAATAGACGGTACATTCCAGAACTGAGCACAAAAGCTAAAATACCATTTTTATCACAATGAGAGGCCAAGATCAGGAATCGCTCGACCAGAACCGGTGTCAGTAAACAGTTTGAAAACTAACACAAGAATTAAACGTTGGAGACTTAAAAAAACATTTACGATAGAAATTTGCGAAAATTTATTTTCAAAAACTATTATAAAAAGCGAAAAAAGCTAGAAAAGTCAACGACCTTTCGATGTTACTTTAAACGTCACTGCTAAGTCAAAAAATGATAAAAACCAGGGGCTATAAATACTAGGAAGGGCAAAGGTGACAAAAGCGGAAAAACTAGCAAACGAACAAAAATTAAACCGACAAGCTGAACACAAAGTTTCACACGTATGGAGACCGTCTAGACATTAAAATTAGGTTTGAGTTTCTTGATGAAAAGCATTTCAAACATCATACCTTTTCTTGTCAATCCAACCCGAAACTTAAGAGGTCAAGTTTTCAAGTGAAGTAACCATGAGTTCAAGTTCCGATGCTATTGTGGAACAAATATTTTTCCTGTTTTTGGTTTTCTGGAAACTGTCGAATACCCTTTACCCACCAAAGCTTGACCATGTTTTAAAACTTTTTTTTTAAGGCGGTTTAAATTTATTTATTCGTGGAAGCTGGGTATCGGGTATCTATCGGAGGTCCAACGGGTGGGGAAGATATGAAAATGAGTTTCAACAATTCAATCGTACGAAATGAGTTATTAAATATCAGAATTGTGAGCCACAACACCGTTGGATGTCTTGGATGTTTGTAGGTTTTGATTATACACTCGATAATGTTACGTCGAGACAAAATTATTCCTTCGTAGGCTAGATCGAATGAATTTGTTCGCTAGTTTCAGCATGATTGTACCACTATGGTCTCTTAACCATGTAATTGAGATATTAAAGTTACAGTCGATATGACAAGTCCGTTTTAACTTGTAATCGGTCCTTCTGAACACAGCTGTTCGTGAGTCTATTGAATCACGTCAGAGGGTTGGTTTGCGACGCAACACGTAGATTAGATCTAAACGGAAGTTTTCCACTGAATTCGTCAGTGCTCTGGAAGCAACAGGGAGAATCGATTTGTAGAAATTGGCACAACGTTGGAAAGATAAGAGAACATGGAGATAGTGTTGAGTAATGAGTGATAAGCCGGCGAGAAGGGTTGTATATGTTTGTACATGGTTATGGTGCAGCTCTAATTTTAAGAATTTATTTTTTGAGTCTTTAATTTGGAGGTGACGGAATGAAATGTTCAACCTCATTTAATCTCTCAAATGGTAATTTCTTCTGTAGAAAAATGTAATCAATGAGGGATATCCGATTGAAGGGATAATAATAAACATACTAAAGAAAGTGAGATCAAAACTGCGAGAAGGTTTAATTTGAATTAAAAACGACGTACATAAAATAGTCACTGCTTAAGAATCTGCTGTGGCCCAAGCACAAAGTTTGAAGGCGACAAACCTGCTTATAGAATGTCGCTAAAGCAAAGCACTTCTAAATCATTAGGTACAGTAAAACTGCAACATTTCGATCAAGGTTGTAGGAGACAGGGTGAAGACAGGGAGTTTCCATGGCAGCAGCCTTTAAGTTGAACGAAGCCTGATCTGTAGCAGTGGGTATTTGCAGTGGGTATTACGGTACAGATCCGCAGCAATGCTTGTTGGTAAATACGCTGCCTCCACAGCAGACCTGAAAAGTTAAACAAAGTACAATGAAGATCTTTATACTAATGAATTCAAATAAAAATGTTTTAAAAAATTCGTTAATGGAATTTGATTTAGCACCGGCGCAACTGCAAGATAGGTCTTGGTCCACTAGTCAATCCTCTTAACATCAATGTAGCTGTTATTTTGTTGATTCATTTGTTCATTCGTTTATCTAGATATTACATTTGAAGAGAGGGAAAAAAAGGAGGATAAAACATTTTATAGCAATAATGACAAGGCAAACTTGTTCCCTTGATATTTGAAAGTTGCAAGAATCGGTGGCAAAACCAAAACGGCAACGAATTGTAAAGACAAAATAAATGAAAAGTCCGCCGATACTCGTTTACGCCAGTCAGAACAGGAAAATTATCAACAATGAATTATTTAATTTCAACTCCGAATACTGCATTTCTATTGTTCTGAAAAATGCCATATCCCGCCGAGATTTCGCTCGTCACCGTTTTGCATTTGACCGAAAGGAGTGGATTTTGAACGTTACGTGTTCCATATACTGGCAAGGACTTTGCATTTACAAAACAAAATTCTCAAAATTATCCCTATGACCATAACTCCGATTCGCAAATGACTTTACCCGTGAGTCTGAGTGGTAGGGTCGGTTTTCACCACAATTTGGAGTTGATACACTCCGGGGTTTATTTTAAATTGTTTCTTGCCAGTGTTGGCTGAGCAAGCAGTTTTATTTACAATTTTTAATGCTCTCAGCTGCAGGTTTCTGGAAAGCGTGAGTACCATGAACAAGTGAGGACTTAGAATATATAAAAACAGAGAAACAACAAACCGAAAGCGAGAGAAATCAATTTAAAAATTGCTCAAAATGAAGCGTTCGACCATATCCAAGAATTCTCAAATGATCTTCCTTGAGTGATTGGGTTATAGGGTGTGGTCTTACAGCAGCTTGGATTTGATACATGAAATGGTTTACTCGAGATTACTCCTGAGCAACAAACTACCAAAAAGAACATGAAAAATAACATTTCAGAGTTAAACGTACCTTAATTTTGGATCACATAGACGGTAATTTTCGGAAATTTAACTACGGTGATTATCGATAATCAAATACGCTTTAGAAAGAATTAATTAATTACTGAGAGTGGAAGAAAATGAATCTGTCAGGGATGGTTTATGTGTGGTTTGTCAGAAATTGTTGTTGTTCGTTTAGAAGACCCTCCACCAATGATGGGTACCACAGTTTTGCCACTAAAATAAATATAAGCCGCTGAGCATTATTTTTAATGCATGTGGACGAGCCCATTGCACGCATGCGCTGCCTGATCAATAAGTTTTATTTTAAATTTTTGAAGTTCTCAGTCCAAGGTTTCTGAAAAATGTGGGTACAATGTACAAGCGAGGAAAAAGAATATACCAAATAAAAGAAAAAAATGAGAAACAGAAAGTTAGCTCTAAACATGCTCAAAATAAAGCTCAAGATTATTTCAAGAAATTCTTAAATGATCTTACTTGAGTGTTTGGGTTGTAGGGTAGGGTTTTACAGCATCTTGGATTTGATACACCGTGTGGTTTTTTGGAGATTACTCCTGAGCAGCAAACCTACACAAGAGCATGGAAAATAGTATTTCAGCGCTAACCATGAACTTTATCTTTTGTAGATATCACTGAGACTGCTAGTTCGGGTTGACAACACGGGGAGTATCGATGATCAAATATCCACGGGGAGGAAAGAAGTACTGAGAATGGAAGAAAATATTTTGCCAGGGACAGTGGGGAGTCTGCAAAATGAGGGTCAAGCTTCTGTAATTTTGGGCTTTAATCTGAAAGGTACCCCACCGATGAAACGAAAGACACTGAGCAGTATTTTCAAAGTTGATATATTTTTGCTATCGATTCCCTTCCATGCATGCTCTTACATATGTAAAAGCAATTTAATCGCAAGGAGATGCTTTTTTTTAGTGCTCCTTGGGCAACAAATTTCTATAAATTCACTTTCGGTGACCTTAGCTGCACGTTTTGTCAGAGATAAACTTCAATACTTATCTACCTGAGTTGATGGGTTATACACTCTATTGCCGCAGCAACTTTGATGATTGGTGAAGATCACTGTGGTGCCACAACAGCTCACCGGTCCATGTCTTGGTATTGGATGAACAACACCACCACAGCATAGCTGAAAATTTAATCGTCGGAGAAAGTGAATATCAATTTATTTCAAGTTGTTTCATGTATTCCTCTAATTTATCTTTAAATACTATTTTACGAATTGAAGACCACGAGTAAATATGAGAATCAGGAAAAGCAAAATGATCTTAGACTTGCTCTTTTCTCTATTGATATCTTCTTAAATCGAGATCTCTTAGTATTTCTCTAAGCTTCTCTATTTCTCTATTTCATCTATTATGACCCTGGCATAATAGCGTAAAGATGGCAAGTATAGTAAAAACAGTGAATAAAGAATTATCTGAAATAGTGCTACCATAAATATTGATAACTTAACGAGGGAGGGAGCCTACGATGTTTTCGTGCGAGTCTGTAATGTATTAGAAATCACCACTTGAAGAATAAAAATGAGATGTATTTCTGTAATCTCGATTAGTTATAAACTGATCATGTTTATATTGTATAAATTCACCATCTATCAAATCATTTCGTTGATATCTACCTGGGTGTTGGTGTTATAAACTCTTTTTCCACAGCAGGCATAGCCTCTGATTTTCTGAACAACCTTTCCTCCACAGCAGAGTTGAGTAGAGGTAGAATATGGCTGTCTCCAAGCACAGCATCCTTCGGTGGTGGGATTATAGCGTGCAGATCTAAAGACCCCAAAAAAAGATTCCTGATTGAGATTTACTATCTTGCTCAGAATTTTCTTTGTTCCACGCTGACGCATGACAAGACGAAAGAAACATTTTTCTGAACAATAAGGATTAATGCAAGAGTACAAAAGTAAAGTAGTAGGATCCAGAGCTAAAGGGAAAAATTTTTTAAGGATTTGTATTTTACTCTGCTTAACAGTTCTGCTTTAGATTTGAGTTGAAAAAAAAAGCACTTTTTTTTGAAAACAAAAAATTGTTAAAATAACTTGAAAGAAGTTAATTCAGATCAAATAATACTGCATTTGTACTCGTCTGGTTATGGCTACATGAACATAATTCATACTTATTATCAGAAAACCCGAATGAAATGCAAAAAAACCCTGATAAAATCCATCGAAATGATGGCGCTTATTTTCGAAACCGCTCAAGTCATCCTGCAGATCTTGACTGTTTAAAGTGAGGTAATTTGTACGTATCATATGGATTTCATGTGGAAGAATCAAACCAGGCAATGGGCACACAAAGGCGATCGTATGTTTCAACAGAAGAAGAAACTGCCAATTTACAATGACACTATTAAAGGAAGACGAAGAAATACCGAACAACTTATTCATCTTACAAGTTTATCTCAGCCATTAACAAAATGATGTTACAAAAACGAAAACCTGAGACCCCTCAAGTGAGTAAACTGGCTTCTACGTATAAAATTGCCTTTAAAATGCGTTCTTACCCACAACATTTGGCAAGAGTTCTGCCGTAGAATTTTGGAAAGATGGATTTAATGCAACAGATCTGTCTGGTAGTGTCGTAAGCTGAAGTTCCACAGCAAGCGTTTTGTGAGTGACTCTTTGGTCTCACGACACCTGAGCAACAGAGCTGTGTTCCAGTATTGTAGAAAGTTTTCCCGCAGCAAGAGTATTGAGGACCACTAACCGGTTGAATAGCGCCTGAACAGCACAGCTGTGAAAGTGGATGATAACTTATTCCGCCACAGCAGTGACCGTTCGTGTGGTGCGGATCACAAAGTAGTATCAAATTCTCGTGTTCAGATTGATCAATAGGGTCCTGACAGAGGACCTTTATGGCTTCAAAAAAAGAAACAATGTTTATCAACTACTGAAATGAACGTGAGGCAATGAACCGACTCAAAATTTAATTTTGGCAGAAAACTATAAGCCATTCCAATTGTAACCCGTGTTTCCCTACTCTTTGACCTCTCGTTAGCTCTTTCTGACAATTTTCTTCTCTCTCTTGTTAGCCGTCGAGATTGTTGAGGCTTTTGTTTTACGACTCAGCAGAAAAGCACTCAAAATTCTTTTAGCTTCGGTCGCCATCTAGTTGAGAATCTTGAAAATATCAAAGATAATTTTTGCTCCTACGTTTTCGAGCACTCGGATAAGTCCAAATGTAACCACTGCCAGACGGCCGGATTATTACTGCTATAGCCATCCGAGGATCGCTGATTTATAATTAGAAGGAAGATGATCAATGCTGATAAAAAGTTTACTTCCTACCCAGAAGGACAAAAACGACGACTCCCAACAGACATTTGACATGTGTCATGGTGGCTCTATGATGATGGTCGGTTTCTGCCTGGTCTTTGAATTAGCACAAAAGGAATTTCTGAAATGAACAGATGAGTGAAAATAATAAGTTCATCTAGCCCGATCTTGCACTCAGAAAAGACCAAAAAGATTCCCAAGCCTCCTGTGCGTCACTGAACAGCTAATAAAACATATTTTTTTCGATTGACTGTAAAATTCTAAAAGTGGCGAATAGTCTTGAAATTGAAATCACTGAGCAATCCTTAAAATGAACTAACACCAGGCTGACTTTTTTTCCCTTCATTCATCAACCAAGCCGGCTTCAAGAGCTTAGAAACTCTTTACGGTGGCCAATTTACGTTATCAACTCAGGTGATAAAACCAAATTATCATGTTATTCCCCACCATTTACGCAGCACCAGATTTTCTTTAAAAACCTACGCACTCTGTTATAAGAAAATAAATGATTTCAATGACTATCGATATATCACCGAAATATGTTGGGAGGCAACAGAAAGGCTCCACTGTATATTAAAGCAGATTTTAATGATTAGGGATTCATCTGCATTCTATTCTTTTTCAATCGTAACATGGTCGTGATATGGCCAATATAAAACTCGTCTTCAATTTTCAACTTTAGCGCCCTTTATTACCTTTAAATCGATAACCAGCAAGCGTTTATGGACAAAATTTACTATTCCACGTTCACCTCATTTCACTTTTGTTCTCAAAACTCATCTAAACTGCAAAGAAACTTCTGTCCAATTTTACTAACGAGGTCAGCGAAAAATGTTGACTTTGGCGAATTATTGGCAAATACACAAAAGGAAAATTGAGAACTCTTTTCTTGGCTTGTTAAAAAAAGTGTAAATTTGCTTAACATAACTAGTATTGTGACAACGATGAAGCACTTACTTACCTTCGTTTAATGAAGTGCTGTTGATAGCTAACCTTCGCAACTCCGACTGGTTTTTGCAACTCACCGCGATCTCTTTTAAGTCGTCATTGGAATTCGAAACCGGAACTTGACGAACAACTGAACATTGCATGGTTTAATGCTAGATGTTGGCGGATATTAATATCAAATGAACAAACACATATTTGAGTGTTAGTTTGACGTTAGCTGCACTTGCTGAATCACGCACTTAATGCCCTAACTACGTAACACTAGCTGCTTTGCCGCGTTTGCAGAAGAGTGTTGAGTCCAAATTTACTGATTTTCTTTCCTTTTTTTCAACGTGCTCGGGCTGCCTTAGTAGTCTGACCCCTTCCTGAAATAAAGGAAATCAGGTGATTTCTTTCCATGCCGGACAATAATGAAGAATTTCAAAGATTTTACCTAGAACGATGCGATTTCCAATCAGACATAGCTGTGTTCGATAGGTTCTATATTATCGCGACATATTATAGGTGTTATATTAAACTGAAAAGGTGGATTTAAAGCTTTCGACTTCTGTGTTTTTAATTTGTTCAATAAGAATTTTTGCGAAATTCCATTTCATCTAGAACCTTTGTCTTACAAGCCCTTGTTTTTGTTCCTGTTTTGTCAGCGCTTTCCTAAATTAGATTTGTTTTATTTTAGTTTCGAGCCAAACAAAGACTTTGAAATACAATAGAGATTTATTGCAGGCAGTTGATTCTTAATTGGAACATATCATTAGGTCATCCAAATATTTATCATTAAGTTTGATTTTTGTTTTCAATATCAAAAAGAAGCTTGGTCTCCAAAGTACTTTTTTTCTTGCCGTTCCCGAATTTTGCCTGATTTCGAGCGAAAATATTATAGGATAACTCTCTCTCGTTAAAGCTTAATTCTCTAATATTGTCATTACAAGTAAAACGGTTTCATGCCGGGCGTACAAAGGCAATAAATAGTATACATTTGAACTTAATAGTCACTGGACTTCAACATCGTGAGATATCACAACCAAAAAGTATCTTCACGTCACCTCTACCTTAAATGTACTAAACGTTCGGTTATAGTCAAGAACTTTTCTTCACATCGCACATTTAGTCAAAGTTCCTGAGTAAAACGTGTTTAGAATAAGCTAAATTTTCCACGTTTTTTCTTAGCAGCACAAAAGCAATATCAGAGCTCTTGGTGCCTATCATTTAGATTACTTGTGTAAAAATCTGATGGAGATATATTGATGTTTGTTTGCAATATTGGATCAAGTCACATAAATTCTTTGCTGTTTTTATCTGGAGATTCCAAAGCATAGAAATCAGAAGGACTGTCTGCAAGTGCAATATTTAGCGGCAAATTGAGTCACCAACAGCACCTGATTTTCACACAAATTAGCAAAACATGTGTGCATATTTGATTTTACAATCAGCAGATATTGAGAAGGCGGTGAACACATAAAAAAGGTTTTTAGAGAATGAACCGCAAACATTAGTTTCCAGCATATTACATTGGATACTTTATTACAAACAATCGCCGCTAAAAGAATACTTTCGCTGCACGCACCAGTAAACTCTTAAGTGCTGTACCCACGCAGTACTATGGTAACCCAAACATAATCTCAAAACTTTTTCTTTGGAGAAAAAAACAGTAATATTACATCCAGGAAATAACAACAAATAGCACTTGCTTTTGGTAACGTCTCCAAGGCTCCTGCTGTGATCAGAACCATGTAACGTTAATTACGCTGTGTTGCTCATTGGAATTCCAATGTGCATCCTTCTTTGTGGCACCCTTAATTGCAAAAAACTAGAGCGGGCCCTTAATGTAATGCAATAAAACAAATCACGAGGTCAAGCTCCATGAGAATGTTTAGTCGATGCCTGTTTCAAACTTGGGTTATACCATAAAACAAATTTTAGTCAATTTCCAGCCATCTTGACCGAAAAAGTTTGGTCAATAAAGAATTTCATACATACAGCAAATAAATTTTGCTCTGTTGGTAAAATTTCCGCACAGCCCCATACTTTATTATACATTCAGTTCTTGAATAGAGAAAACAAGGACTAAAACAATACATTGCCATTGGGAAAACAGATTTGTTTTACAATAGTATGGGGCTGTGCGGAAATTTTACCGCTCTGTTAAACACAGGCATGCGTAGCATACAAGTTATTTTCTCAGCTGTGTAGGTCGAGATGGGACACTTTGTATTCCTACGGTTTTCATAACCTTCAAAAGAACGAAAATATCGCATTACTTCACTTTAAGAGAAACAGAAAAAACCTAATTTATCTTAAATCACACAGATATTTTGTGGTCTATTGTCTCTATTGTATAAGTACTTCTCATCAAAAATAAAATGTATCGGTGCCACGCATACTGCGGTCTCTTACGCAGCCGTTTTTTGGTCTCGTCACACAACGCCCTCTATTCCCCATTGGAGAGAGAGCCATTACGTGACGAGACCAAATAACGTTGCAAAAGAGACTACGCTTACAACCGTTCCTCTAACAGGAACAAAATCAAAATAAATCGTCCACAGTCGGTCGCCTCAAAAATATAATTCCACCTGATTTTACTACGAAAAGCAAACTGATACTACTGTATCTCCATTAGTCCCTGACCAAAGATATACTGCGATCTCGAGAGGGAGCCAGGGAAGACAGCCAAATGTGTTTGTAGCACAACAAACCAACGATAACATTTTATATTTTCTTTTTGTGACTGTCCTCTACTGTTTTTTTTTTTCGACTTTATCACCGACATTGTCCAAAAATAACGAACTCTTTAGGTCCACCGAACGAACTTCCTTTTCTTGCGCGGGATCAAAGAGGGCAAGATGGCTCAGGCAGCCAATCAGGACACAGGATTCGCTTTATTTTGCCCACGGGCGCTGCCAGCGATGTAATAAAACAGTTTATAATCACGTTGTTACTAAACAGTGTATGTCTTTCTACATGAATAATGTTTTGGGCATGATGGATTAATGTAGAGTGAATCACCATGTCACTGGTTCATTAATTATATCTCCTAAAGCTACAGGTGTGCATGCAGAAACGAGTAAAAATAAAAACAGGCTTTGTGTGATCTTTTATTGTCATCCACAGAGTGCAGATACTAAGATACTACAGATACTGCAGATACTACTAAGTACAAGCAACCCCCTATCTGTGATACGATACGATTAAACTATAATCTTGATAACAGGGAGGGTAAGAATGACAAGTTTTCTTTACTGTCTGCATAGAACAAGCACATACGCATGTCTTGAACGATCGCGATCTGCGTTGCTTGCAAACCGAATGCCTCTTCCCCTCTGAAACTCATTAATTGCACGGATCACAAGGCCGTGGTTAGGTACTCCTCTCTGCCAACTTCTGACTGCTCGTGTGATGTCGAACTCCACGAAGCCTCGAGGGCGATATGGAAAGATAACAACTGGTGATCGATCCTGAGGAACCGCCTCTGCGTCAGTGTTATCCAAACCAAGGTATCGCTTCGACCAATAGGCATATGATGAACGCTTGGAGCTGGTAGCTTGATACTCGTTCCAGGATTTTTTCACCAAATGAACCTGCATATAACGGCGAATAAAAGGGGTTCTGGTAATGGGATGCCAGCTGGCCTTATGTGCGTAGACATAGTACAGGTACATCTTCGCAGATACGATCTTGTAAGCTGGGCAGTACCTCGGTAGCTGTTCAAACTTTACAAGCGATCGTTTATTGGGATAACCAGGATGCTGAGAAACGAGAAGGAACGGCAAATAGTTGAAGTTTCTGTTTGGACTTTCAAGCGTGACATCTTGTACCACTGATAGCTTGTAAACGGTGCCCCTGCCAGTATTGTACCTGGTTACACCTTGCGTGACATGAGCCAAGAACGCCACCATAAGTAAGGTTATCATCAACATGGTGCTGTTAAACAAATAAAAAAGTGAAATTAAGCCTTTATCAAAAGGCTTATGGAATGCATGCTTTCCACTCTTTGCGGCATATGAGTAGAAAATTGCATATAATTTTCATGCTCTCTAACTGTTCTGGAGAAGGAAGGAAGTGTAAGAGGTGAGAGAGATTATGCATATGGGGGGAGGGGTTAGGGGAAGAAATCAAATATATGGAGGGAGGAGTAGGGGTAAGTTATCAAATGTCCTTTAAGGGGTATAAAACAAAATACGGTTCTAAGCCCGTGGAAAAAAAAACTTTGGTTTAGAACTAGATGAGCCCGTAACTAGGAGTCCCACAAGTGATTGGAAAGGGAACGAGTTTGGTTTTATTTCTACATTTTCATCCTTAAGCAACGTGCGGTTGCACTCATCTTAGTTTAACAAAAAGCTAGTCTAAAATTGACTTTAACACCTCAACTGAAACAAGCGTAGAAAAATTGCCTGTTAACAGATTTAAAACTAAACCGGTAGCCGACGCTGAATTTCCGCCAACTTTTCGATAGCAAATTTACTGATCCTCCATTTGTTCCAATTTTATGCCTAAGAAAATTGTCCTTACGAGATTCAAGACTTTGAGTAACTTCTACTGGGACTCTAGGTACCTTAGAGCTTTTAATTACTTATAGCACGATAACCAGCAAGCGTTTATGCTCGAAATTTACTATTCCACATTCACCTAATTTCCCTTTTGTTCTCAACACTCATCTAAACTGCGAAAATACACCTGTTCGATCTTTTTATCGAGATCAGCGACAGTTGATATTCTCTTGCGAATTATGGCTGCTGAAAAAAAAAGAAAATTTGGCAGCCACGCAAAAGGATATTTGAGATCGCTTTTCCTTAGATTGTTAAAAAAAATCCTTGAAGAACATTGCTTGACATAACTAGCATTGTGACAACGATGAAGCACTCACTTACCTTCGTTTTATGAAGAAAGGTTGATAGTTTACCTTCGCAACTCCGACTGGTTTTTGCAACTGGCCGTACCTCTTTTAAGTCGTCTTTGGAACTTGATGGACAATTGAAGATTGCAGGGTTCAAATGTTAGATGTTGGTAGTAATATCAAATAAACTGACAGATAGGACAAATTTTTTCCTAAAATAGCGATTAATCAGAGTGTTGGTTTGACGTTAGTTGAACTTGCTGAATCACGCTCTTAAGACCTTAACTATATAACACTAGTGATACTAAGCATCCTTGAAAGCTGTGTTCAATAAGCTGCAAAGCTGTTTATGCAGCGCTTTTTTTGTCTGAAATTGTCTATATTGACCTTTAACTTACATACAACAGGGCGATACAAATAGTACGTAAAACACTTACAGTAATTACGATACTTACAATGCTTACGTTACTTACAATACTACCCCTATTTCTATTTCTATTTATCAATACTCACGTTTAAAGGCTACTTAAAAAAGGATGATTTTCTGTTAAACTAGCTAACACTACAAATTATATGATGCTTGCACTACTTGCATAACGAATTTTAAATCCATTATTAGCTTACTCTTCAAACTAAGCAATACTTACTTACACTGGGTGAGGCAATTACAATCTATGAGCGGTAGACTACAGCACATCACAGACACAATGCAGACACTTAAGTTACAGTTCGGAGCTTAAGTTCGTCAACAAAAAAACAACAGCAAAAAAAAGTAGTGCTGACTTTGAATGAGCCAACCACATATTCTCCGCTTGTGGTATCAAAAAATAAATTAAATAAATAAATAAATAAATAACGTTTTGCCACTCTTGCAAAACCGTGTTGCGTCCAAATATATTGATTTTCTTAGTGATTGTTCACTTTCCCAGTTTGACTGTTGTACCTTTTTTAACATACTCGGGCTGCTTAAGTAGTCTGACCCCTTCCTGAAATAAAGGAAATCAAGTGATTTCTTTCCTGACGATAGTGACGACTTTCAAAGAGTTTACTCAGAGCGAAACGATTTCCAATCAGTACGTAATTAGACAGCATGAAGCAACCATAGAAGCCGTGTTCGATAGGCGCTATATTATGAGTATTTTAAGCAGCGAAACAAAAAGGGGTGGATTCAGAACTTTTGACTTCCGTGTTTTTATTTGTTGAATAAGCATATTTTATCAGGCACTTTTGTCTGACATGCCCTTGTGTTTGTCCCTGTCTTGTCAGATTAATTTTATTTTAGTTTCGAGCCCAACAAATACTTTGAAATAAAATAGATATCTATTGCAGCTAGTTGAATCTTAAATGAATGCATGTACAATATGTCATCATTATATTCAACTCAAGACTTATTTAAGTTTGATTTGTTGCTGTTTCCGATATCAAAAACGGACAGCTGTTCTCCCAAGCACTTTTTTTCTTTACTGTTCCTGAATTTTGTCTGTTTTCAAGCGTAAGTGTTATAATGTAACTCTTCTTCGTTAAAGATTAAGTCTCATTTTGTTATTACAAATAAAACGGTATTAATGCCATTCAAAAGGGATTAATATTATGCATTTGAATTAATTGTAATTATTGGACTTTACTTCCGTGAGATATCACAATCGAAAAAAGACATATCTGTTCCTCAAATCTTCCTTAAATTTCTCAAATGTTGGCTTTCAGTCGCAAATTTTCTGCACATCACATATTAAGTCAAGGTTCCAAAGTGAAACGTGTCTAGGACAAAACTTTCCACGTCTTTTGCAACACCACAACAACAATATCAGAGCCCTTTGTAATAAAAATTTCCTGGTGTCAAGTAATTGACATATATTGAAATTCGTTAGCACTGTCAGCTCAAGTCATTTAAATTCTTTGCTGTGTGTATCTGGAGAAAAAAAAATGAAGAACAACTGACTGACCAAGTATATTATTTTGGAGCAAAATGGGTTACTCGAAGTAAGCTTTCACGAGCTATTCATGCAAGCTTCCCTGAAAGATAAGCATATTTGATATTGCAATCAGCAGATATTGATAAGGTGGCTAACCCTAAAAAAATGTTTAAGGAAAGTGTTATGGAAAGGTTTCAACGACCGCAACCAGTTTCCAGCAGATTACTTTGGATATTTTTATCTCAAAGAATCGCCGCTATCTAAATATTTTCTCCGCACGCACTGGTAAACTCTTAGATGATGTACCCACGTTGTACTATGGTAAGCTGAACATGATCGCAAAACCTTTTTTAAAGAGAAAAAAATAGTGATATCATGTTTAGGAACTAAGAAAAAATACCAAGCCGTTTCCGAAACGTCTCGACGGCTTCTGCTTCGATCGGATGCATGTATCGTTAATTGCACTAGTGCTGTTCCACTTGCCGTGTTCATTGTAAGGTACAGGATGTGTTTTAATAAAGGATAGATTTTTCACTCGTGTCTGCCCTCCATCTTTCCGGGAAAGCAGATGAAAAACTGAGGAGGGACTTTTGTGGACATAAATCGATGAGCTAACTCTACAGATAACTATAAAGTTAAAACATGCGCTATTTGTGGCATTGCGAAGTAGAAGGTCCAATCTAGAACTGAACACGTCAGCTAAAATACCTTAGTTTTATCACGGTGGGAAGCCAATATCAGAAATCCTTTCATCCAGAGGACCGGTGTCGGCAAACAGTTTGATAAACCAACATATGAATAAAACGTCCATGAAAGAGGAAAAAATTATTATCATTAATAGTATTAGACCCCTAATTAGTGTCCGGAGGAAGGCAAAATTGAAAATAATCAAATGAAATTGGAGTCTCTTAGAGTTCAGTGAAGGTCGTTCATGAGCCTCTCTACTTCCGCTGAAGGAGTATCGCTAGGTTTGAGGGACAAAATCATGTGTCTTACAAACTGGAGACGCTCAGAATGACCAGCAAGTAATGCACGCACACACACACGGAAGACAGACCCAGGCTAGCTCTGCCGCGAAAGTGTCGAAAACCAGGCCATAACGTTTGAAACTGTCATTAAAAACTGTTTCGAAATCAATATCAAAATTCTCGCAACGTGCCAATAACCGAAAACATTCAAAATGAACATGCAATAGGCGAGCAGATGAAAAATATAGAGATTCCAGAAAATGCAGATATAAACGAAGTGCGCAAAGAAACCTGAAAACCCAGTTCCACCACTACTTTGTTTAATCTGGAGGTATTCTGACTTGTACGTAAAACACAAGGACGACATTTAGAAAGTGCATCATAACGCAATATGTATATTGATATTCTCCATTCTAAAGCTTCCTGTACTTTCCTGGAATGTAATTCTCTCTTTCCTCAGTAACCTATTATTCTGAGCTTTCCGTCGTGGTGTTATTCATTGTTTTGCAAACATATCGTGAAATATGCTGATGAAGCTTTGCTCGCATATGTATTTCCGCTTTTGTAATTGCCTTCGACTGTGCTTGTATTTGTTGAATGATTAAACTTCGAATGATTGAACAAATTTTTAATAAAGCAATTAGTCAAATTTGATAACTGACTGAATGCCTGTTCCACTTAGTATTTCAGAGCGAAATAGCAAAAGGCGCCGAAATGGCGCAATGGTAGAGGAGGAGCGAAAAAAGCAAAGGAGGTATGGGTCGATTACGCAGCTCGACCCCAAACCTCTCTCGTTTTTTTCACTCTACTACCTCCTCATTTACTATTCCGCTCCAGGCCTGGAAGGCTAATAAACTGAATGTAGGCTAACTGTACCAACGAATTTTGGGAACACTGACGTTTTAAGTGTCAATCTTTGCCAGAGGAAATGATCTTTGCATATCAAGAGCTTTAAATTGATATCTCAAGCTGTTGTAAGATTGGAAAAATCAGGAAAATGCGAGTGTCACAATTCCTAGCTTTCCTCAAGTACGTTCCGGGATTTTTCTAATGACCCATAATAATTTAAGACAGTTTGGGCATTGTTAAATTATTAAATCGTGACTATTAACTTCTTACTAACCGAACGCAAGGGCCTTACTAGGGAATGTTGGCCCAAGTTCGTGACAGTATGAAACAGTATGAAACAGCATGAAAACGACAGAAAGCCAATATTCCTCAGTATGGCTCAAGTAAGCGATGTTAGTAAGGAGTTTGTTATGTGGAACTCTGACTAAACTTCTTATTCATGCTTCCGTAAGAAAGCTCGAGTCTAAAAATGCAAGCCATTTTTTTTTTTTTTTTTTTGTCTTGGTCGCCAAATCGGCATCATAGTCCCAAGCGTTCCGTTGCTGTCGCTGGTCCTTTACGGAAAGGAAAGTCTTACATTTTGAGTGAGGCTTTTGATCAACCAGGGATATTCCCTCTTGGACACGAATTTGATCCGGAGACCATGGGAATCTGGATGTGGATCGTGCCAGAGAAATATAAGGTGCAAAACTTAGACTTAAGAAATTTATTTCCTATAAGCCACAGTAATATTTCAAACTATATAAAGTTATAAGAGATCGAATATCCTGTATTGCATATCAAATGACGTGACTCACGAGTCTATTTTGCTTGAATACTAGTCATATTTTTGCTTGTAAGCACCCTTGATATTAATAAGATGGAAGTATCAGACGTTTTAAGAGGTTTTTTGATCTGCAACGATGACAATTAGCATATGGCGCGTATAAGCAAAGTTTTTATCTTATTCTCGTGACTGTGTGCACGATAAACCCATTGAAAAGATAGAAAGCTCTGAAACATTAAAGAGTGCTACAGATTATGGTGATATATGGCATCGCTCCCTTTCTCTCCTTTTTTTAGAATTGATATAAAGCTGTTCTCAAGAGAAACGTGGAGTGAAAGTGATATCTAAAATACTTTAAATCTGATATATTGGTCCCTCCCCTCCCCCCTGTGTTTTATCACTCAATGTTACACTCGACAGTTCCACTAGCGTGTTTCTGATAACAAAAACTGAGCCTAATAGATTAGCGCAGACAGTAGTATTTTCTTGAAGTTGCCTAAGGGTAAAATGAATGACAGCATTTTTTGTTTGCGTCACGGTAAAATTTACCCAATTCCCCTCATAAGGCTATGTGATATTCTCATGACCTTCCCCATCCTCAATACCAGTAAATATTTTATATGCCCCCTTTATACTCATTTGGCGACTACTAATCCTCAATTCGTTCCCACTGAAAACCCTGTGATACCCAAATATTCTGCACCCATCGCCCAGGCGAAATAAATGAATAATGAATAGTGACTGGTCTCTTACCTGATTTAGGACTTCATTGGCCAGGACGTCACAGTGGTGCTGTTGGATTCAGAGGGTGTTGACGCTGCTTTCAGTGAGGGTCGTGATGACAATCAGATATTTACTTTAACCGTTCTGTTGGCTTCCGTGCTTATTTATAACTCACGTGGTGTTCCCACAAGGCGTGATCTCGATAGCTTGCAGTATCCTTACTATATCAATCATATGTTGTAACATGGCCTCAACGGTTGCCAGTAGTATGTACTCTTCATGGTTCTTTTTTCTCTCGTCCATAACGTAAGGATCAAGGGTTGTTAATAAGTGCATGGTAATCCTGTTAGCGAAAGAATTGTTAGTAGTGCACGATTCATGGAAGCACGAGTTCGGATCCTGAATTTTTTTCAGGTTTCTTTTCAGCAATTGCTTTAATTGCAGCTTATTTGCGAAGACCGTTTTTTCACTATGCATATCAAATGATGTCATCAATTTCGATTCATTACGTGAATAATAGAGGAATAATAATAAAGGAATGTTCTCCTCAAGAAGAAACGTATCGATGAAAAGATTGAAAGGTGAAAATGTTAAAAATTTGATTTAGGCTCTTTACGGATTACGACAAGTAAAATGTGACTTTGATTATTTTAGTCCCAATCAATAATTCTGGATTTTCTTTAATGTCACTTTAGCTTTATCTCAAAGCTGTCTGAACGAATCCATGCAAGATCTAACTGGAAAGAGACTGCTAAGAAAAAAGAAGAAGAGTTCTTACACAGAATGTTTCCTTTCTTTATACGGTTGCTGAGAGATGTAGCGCTCTCCATTCCACGCGACTGCAAAGACATCAAGGATTACTTCTTGAAAAAGGTTAGAATCCAAAACAAGGTCGAGACGCCGTCTCAAAGGTCGCAAATGGAGGGGGATACTAAAGCCAAATAAGTGATTCTTTACACAGGTCTTCCGTCAGAAAGCTCCCCGAAGGAATGATGTACCAAATGTAGCCGAGGGCATCTTGAGGTTCTTTCCTGGTTTTAATGCGTTTGCCCTATCCCCTCCTTCAACTGATCCAAATGTGTTAATCAATCTTAACACGAAGAAGGATCATTTACAGCCTCAATTTTTGAGTGAATTAGAGCAGTTTAAGAAGATGATAAAGTCCATGCTAGTCCCAAAACACAGCTGCAACAAAGGAGAGCTTATAACTGGAGAAGGTACGTGCTCTTGTTCCTGTTTTAGTTTTTTACCTTCTCAATTCTCTTGCTCGCATAAACACAGGAAACTCAAACTCGAACGAAATCTGAAAATTGGCCTCCCTTTGTGGTATGTAAGCTCAAACGATACAGTGGAAAGTACGATTTTCTGGACCTTTTGCTTCAACGTTTTTTACAATTACTCAAAAAATACAAATGACAGGTGAAAGAAATCTCACAAATTACTCCCTTCAGATGCAAAATAAAGCTTTCTTGTTGGAACTTTTATGCAAAATTAACAGGTGTAAGTCTGTGGTGTGTCTGTACTCAAATGCAGCCTTTGATAATATATTCTATCCTTTCGATCTCTGTTCCTAATTTGCTTTTTTTTACTGTTTTCTTTTGCTTTCGCCTTCACCCGAATTCTTTTGGTGCCAATGCTGCCCAATGCTATCCTACCTTTACATCCTTTCACGACTTTAAGACTATAAATCTTGTCAGACTGTGGAAACTTAAAGGAGCATCACAGTACTGAGTACTAAGAACTAAGTACTGAGTACTGAATGTTTGCCGTTTCATAGGTCTTGCCGCCCTGGTCACCCATTACGTTTATCGTGCCATCAACACTCCTGATGTGGTTCCAAACGTTCAGGTCGCGTGGGATCAGTTTGTAAAAGACAAGTGCTCAGGTACCATAAAGAAATGTCAACAGAAATATAACGAGTTTGTGGACTTAAAACTGCCATGTGATAATGCTGAGATACACTTCCGTCACGAATCCGCAATGGAGGAAACTAAAGATCTGTTCAAGGCGGAAATGTCTGGCATTTCACCAACCACAGTGGATAAGCAACTGAGGGAACTGAAGGTGACACCCTTAAGCAGTAGCTAAGACACTGATTTTCGAAGGTCATTTATTTTGCCTTCTTCACAAAGATGGTCCATACTGTAAGTCTCTGCCTTGAGAAACTGTTTCAAACAGTAAAATCATAGCTGAAGGGAGCAAGCTGATACAACATCAGTAATTAGTAGTTTACTCAAAGGGACAAGTCGCATGATATTAGCTACAAGACATTTTTGCGGTGACTTTTTTGGTAGTCAGTGTTTATGACTATTCTAGGCTCCTTTGTTCTCCTGGTAAACCGATAATTGGTGAATTTATTCACTCATTAAGAAGGAAGATATTAATTTTGTTTAAAAGAAAGAGGTATCCTCAACGTTTCTAGGCAATTTAATCTCTTTTAGGATGCTTGATGAAATTATCTTCGATTGAGTTCATTTTCTTCTTTCTATAAATTTCAATTTTAGGGTTTTTTCGAGAAACGGTTGAACGAACGGAGGACTGAGAATTCAAGGTTAACAAGACAATTCTGTGATAATCTTCTGTTACAACTAAAAACAAAACACCTAGATCCAGTCATTGAGCAGCTTCAAGGAAGAGAAGGTTCGAAATTATCATTCGATGACATCCTGAACGTTTACCGACATATCAAAGATGACTACGAGGCAGAAGCAAAGGGTGCTAAAGATGCCATTGCTGAGGCGTTCTCCGACTTTCATTCCGTAAGAAGTCCTTATCTTATTCTGATCTTTCTCCAGATATTTAAGATTGATCCCTGAGTTTATATGTTAAACAGAGAAATTTCCATTGGTCACCAGTCACGCAGCACTGCTTCACCATCGTTATTTTCAAATGCAAAAGCTTGACAAATGATGTCCTGAACATATTTAGTCTATAGTTAAAATTTCGCAGGAGTTCTCACGATATTTCCATACCCTCTTACAGAAACTAGCTGCGGATACAAAACACTACCGTGATAGACTGAAACAACTGAAAGATTTTGACCAAAAAGGCGCGAGGGAAATAGTAGCAGCAGCTTTCATAGAGCGAGAAAGGAGACGGCTTGAGGTACGTTGTACACACACGTCGGAATTATGACAGTTGAAGGAGTAGAATGGAAATATTGCAATTGAAAGATTATAGACTGAACGACACAAGAGACTGACATAACGGTAAGTTCGTCAATCTCGGTATTGGTGAACGTTTCCATGACACTTAAATCTGAAAGGGTAACAATAACGCTTTAATGTTTATTCCGGAGGTATCCTGGTTTGCCTTTTCGTAGTGTATTCATGACTCTAATGATAAAACTTCCAAAGGTGCCTACTTTGTGCTATGTTTTTCAGGAAGTCAACGCTAGTTTACAACAGGAAAATCGAGCAATGGAAAAGGAGGTATTCATCTTCGTTAGATTTTCTAGTTCCCTTAAGAAAGATGGAAGAAAACAATCAATGTCTCAACCCACAAAACAACGCACCCTCCCCATTGTCACTTTCAATTTTGGCCAATAGCAGTACACCTTTTTCTCCCTAATAAAATAGTCTCATTCCATCATTTCATAGTAATGGGAAGGGTTGAATTGCGCAAAGAGCAACGTTTTTCAACCCTTTTGAGTAAAGCTAGATTTTTTTTCCTTTATTTGTTCTAGCTGTGCATTCAGAAATACAATAGTCTTTGTTTCTGTTCTGTTAAGATGCAAATGCTGATTGCTAGATCAGAAAAGGAGAAAGCTGGACTGTTAGTGCTAAAGGAAGAAATGATGAAAAAGGAGCGCGAACAATCGCAGAATATGCAGCAGGTAGGCCTGATAGAGGCTCAGCAACAAAGAGAAAGCTACATCCAAGAAAACCAAGCCCTCAGTGAGCGGCTATTGGAGCTGCAAAATGAAAACGAGGAACAAATGAAAGTGATGAAGAGCATTTCAGAAATGATCGTTGTACACCAAAGTGAGAAAGAGCAGCTGCTTAATCAAATGAAGACACTTTCCCCTGAAGAGTTAACAAAGTCATTGAAGAAGCTAGAAAGAAGGCAATCAGAAGAAGTAAATGCGCTCCTGATGAAGATGGAAGCTCTTGTGGGTGGCATCAAATCAAGCGGCGGGGAAGACTTCAACGCCACAACGAAAGATGACGAATGTGCTAAAAAGCTGGAGGATTTGCCTGACATCATGACTTCGAGGGCACAAATCGCTCGGGGTCTACACCAAAGGATAGCAGAAAACGAAAGAGATCAAAGGGATCTCAAAACGGGTGAAATCCTCAAGAAAGTTCTCAAGTTTATGGGAGATGTTGCACCAGCGGTCGGCGCGGTAGCAGCTCTTCATCCAACGTGTTTACCTTATGCTATGTCAGTGGCCCAAGCCGTGCAAAGCATCGCCCAAGCTGTACAGACTCTTGACTGCAGTATCATGTAACTACTATCTCCAGGAGATTTCTTGAATACGTTCGCAGAAATAGACCGTGGGCTAAAAGCTAAATAATACGAAAATTTGTTTGGGATTTCATTTCAGTAATCAGTGAAAACTATAAAGAATCAATAGGGAAGAGAACAGCAGTGGGTCTTTGTAGAGTTTTGCAAAAAAAATTATTGGAGTAGATTGCGTCTTTTTTCCTACTGGAACAATAACACATTCCAATACGATTATTTACTTAATTAAGCCGTGTAACAGCTAACTTTGAGGGTAATCTGCATTCTTGCAATAAGTTCCAAACGTGCATCACCTTTATTCTTTAAAAGTGGAATTAAAAGAAAAAAAATTTCGGAAACTCTTGGAATCTTTAAAATTCCAGCGTAGCTCTTCAACTTGTTAGTCTTTTATATGTGCACTTATTTCATTTCCATGGAAAAGGAATCTTATCTTTACCAGATTCCGTTTAAGAAGGACCTCCAAATTCTCTGTATTATTTCTCTTGCCTCTTGAAGTTTAAATTCTTTTTAGAAAGGAGACTCATGGCTGCCGGTCTGTTTGGCGTCTGTGTCACAAACGGCTATCAAAGTGGTAGATTTCGGTAAAAGCTTATTCAAAACCCGATGATAATTTGATTTTGTTGGTGCTGAATTTATGAAAGACTGAAATGTCATGTTAAGTACTAAACATGCAAGCTGTCAGTTCTGTTCGTGCGACTTTATCAGTGACCAGTAAGCACTAGGTATAGTCCTTCAAAAGGCTATTAATTACAAAAATTCGACAATATCCCAACTTTATTTTGACATGCAACACCCAAAAGCAAACGTTGTCAAAATTTTTAACCACTAAGTCAAAACCAGCGAACGAAGGTAAACATACGAGGGTGAGAAAAAGAGGAAAATTAAACTCATGAAACGAGTTAACGCAGAGTTTAATACAAGACGTTTTTGAAAGCTTCTTTTGAACTACATTCTTATAAGAAACTCATCAAATATCCGTTTATCTTACGACAAGTCTGGCACAAAAGCTCTCAAGCCGAGGTGCAATTACTATTAAATGATACGACATGTAGTAGTAATAATTTAACATTTGCAAACAGATATATCAATCAAAATCACATTAAGGAGTGCTTTGTCCTTGTTTTACTGATGAATCCAAATTTCTCACAATTCCACCATCCCCTATATTTGAGAGAAAATAATAATGAGAAATGCTTTCTCATCCATCAAACTATCAAAGCTCTCCTGCATCTTGAAATTAGACCTAAGCTGTAGCCTGTGGAAATAACAAGAAGAATCCAGAAGAATACTTAAGTTATACTCCCTCGCAAATAAACTCCGATTACTCGATCAAATGCCTATTAGCATGGTAACTGTAAACGAGGCTTGTGGCTCTGTACGTTGTCTTAGTGGTATAGTGACGAGGTTGTTCCTCTACCCCACAAATGCCAATAACAATTTTCACGGGAAAAGACAACAACCTAATGCGAATAAGGATAACGTTTTTTAAAATTTTATTCAATTTACTCATCCATGTTGCTTTCCCGCGAGAAAAATATTGCCTACTTATAGTTTCATAAAGTATTTTTAATTTATCTATTTATTCGTTGATTTAACTGGCATGCTCCTCCTTTGTTCATATCATGCGTTATTTCATATTATATAATAAGCTCAAATATGCACGCATTTTGATTGGTCCTCACTTATGATCTATTGGAGGACAGACAATACCAAGTGCTGACACCGAATGCTTCCAGATTGTTTATGTTGTCATGATACGCAATGTTCTGACGCAATATGTCGCACATTGCAATGTTTTTTTGCTTTGGCCATTACCTAATTTCTCTCTTTTTCAATGAGAAATCTTAAACAGAATCAGAGCCACAAAGGACAATCAACCTAAAGCTATTGCAAACCACAGACACAATGAGGCACCGGGCAAACCTCTTTGAAGATTCCTCCGTGAAACTAAACCGTCGACGAACAGTTCGGAAGATTAGCTTTGGTAAATGCAATATACTGAATGTTTAAGTATTCAAAAGACCTTTTCCTTAGGAGAAATTGGTGTTACCAATGCGGCGATACTTTGAGAATACAACTTTTTGCTGTTTCAAACCTCATCCTATTAAACTCGACCCAATCTTCTGGTAAGCCATGGCGTCTAATAGTTTGATCGTGGGTTACTTTGATTGAATGTTAATCTTGAGAGTTTGGAATTAATTATCCTAATTTAGAAGTTGGGCGCTACCGTGGTCGTTACTTTCATGACAGTTACCTTCAAACTGCCAGTTTATGCAGGATAAGCCATTGCCGTTTTAAATATTCGTTTCCCAATGCCCAACCGACTTATTATTTTGAAAAAGCAAAATGATTAGTGCAAACCTGCAGTGCATATCTCGATGCAAGTTATCAGTGTTTCCTTTCTTGCCTTTTGGGTATATAGGTATATACCACCCAGATGTATGTAGAGACTCTACACAAATTTCATCAATACAATAATCAAATGTCTCAGAGAACTAGGAGTGTTCTTATTTGAGTTTTAGGGAAAGCAGTATGCATACCTCCAACGTTAAAATGTCAGCAAAGCTTTCGGACTTCTACATTTGTTGTGTTTAGCCATTCAGTTGCAAGACTATCCGTAAGGTGCTTCCAGTCCATGGGTGCTCCATAGCCTAGCTGGCAAAAAACACACGACATTGTCTTGGTAAAAGGATGCCAATATCGAGATGCATAGGCTACAGAGACTAAAATTTATTAACATCATAAACCAACTCGATTAGCGTGACATGATTTAGTAGTTGACTTCCGTTATGCAGGCCGGTGTGTACTGGGTACGAAGTAAATATTTATTTCCTAGAAGAACTTAGAGTTCGGAATTCACATTCGGCTTTGTAAAGCTATACGAATCGTTGGAACTCCATCTGTCGAATTGTTTGTTGTCTGGTGGTCGGTGACCTAGTTTTAGTTAAAGTAAATACCTTTTCATCGACTCTACTTGAAGCACTCCTTGACTGCCGACTCAAACTGTTGCTAGTCACGGAACACGAACATCGTGACATCGTGACCACTGGACAAGTCGCTCGGCTCACGGTAAGGGAACCAGTACTGAATATGAGCTGTCTTTCAGTTTCTTTCCACTGACAAAAAGCGTTTACTTAAATGTGAGTGATAGCAAAGTGTACAAAGTAATTTTTGTGAAAGATTTCTGCCACAGAAGTCAAACAGGATAAAAATAACCGAGGAAAAGTGGGGTTTGATATTAGTTTATCAACAAGTATTTGAATCAGCCAAGAATTCCGGGAAAAAGAGAAAATGGAATATTTTTTATTACTTTCCAGCCTACTACAGTGAAATAAATGATAGTAAATAATCTGTTTCTGAAAGGTAACTTTGAGTTATCACTTTGCTTTCCTTCGCCGTAACAGATATGGAGAATCTACTTTCGCTTTCACTTTTCCTTCCGGTCTCTTCATTTCTTCGAGCGGTGTTTGTTTGTTTGAGTTGATCGGTATTATCCGTGGGCTCTGAATCGTCACTTATACAATGACAGGGTTCTTGGAACAACGCCTCAAGAATTATTTTCTCTAAAACTGACTTTTGATCTCAAAACTTGTCAAAGTGTGATGTTTATATGTAATCCTATGGGTCAGAGACAAAGAATTAAAATTATTAGGGAAAATTTGCATAACTCTGCGTGGGGTGATGTGCATCAAGACTTCATCTGTTTGAAGTTTTTGTGTCGGCCAGTGTTTTATTTTCTTAAATATAAGTTGTAATCACGACTAGAATCGTATGAAGAAGGTATATTCAAGCGACCACTGACGGAGAAAAGCGGGGTTATTGCCGGTACAAGAACTTTGCCGCAGAGAGACACTTCAGGAGCTCGGCTCCGGGTAATCTGACAATTTTATCTATCAGTTTCATTTCACAGTGAAAAAATACGTATTTACTCAACTTCTTGTAATGGGAAGTATGTACTAAGCTGTTGCAATGATAGATCTATGTCATAATTAAGAATCCTCAAACAGTTTGACCATAAGAGCAATGGGGGATATGTTTTTGTTTCCTTTTATAATTTTGTGCAGGTGGATACGCCGCCATGATTTCTCGGAAAAGGAGTGAGATGAAACACTTTGCTATCATTCAACCGGCAATTGCGTTATATCAAAGGCAATCCTTAAATGAAATTTTAAATTTAAGTTTTTAAGAAGGATAATTCAAATTAAGTTGACGTCTAACCACTCGACCGTGTCGCTTCAAGAAGAAGATCGCAACATCACTGACTTGCCCATCGGATCATGTTATTGCATCGTGAGACAAACGATGTATTTTTGTGATTCACCTCGATGAACAGCCGCAGTCTTATTCAGTGTATCAGTTCTTAGTTACGAGCCAGACGTTCTTAGCAACCGAAAAAAGAGCTTTGGATCCTGCTGAGATCGAGGAGTTTTACTCCACGATCTCAGCTTGACGTCCAGCAGCTTGTAACATTCCATTGTAACAATATCCCTGCTACTGATCATTTATGTTACGCTGAAAGTGCGAACTTTCGCGCGAGCGTGTTATAATCCTGAAACGAAAGTGTGCGTTTATAATTAAAATTTCTATTTTGGTAATTCAAAACGTGTCAGTGAATGTATGCCACGTTTGGAGTGAATGACGTATTTTGGCTCTTTGATTTTTATCAATAGGCCGGGAACAAAAGCGAAAGCGGACGAGCCGACTTTATTTGCTGACTTTCCAAGTCAGCTTTCCTTTTCTGAAACCGCTCTATTTTCTGGACCGTAAACCGCCAGACAAATACGTACGTGCCAGCAAATCGATACTAAGAAAGAGTATAATAGACCCTTTTTGTTGAACGAATCTCGGATTTCGTCATTTTGGGTCATTTTTAACACTTACGCGAAATTCCCCCTTTTTTAAGTCTGCCTGAAATGAACAAGGGACGAACCGGACGCCACGACTTTTGCCTTCGATTAATGCACGCAACACGCTCACGCCACGACTACAAACGAAACGCGTATGTCGATCAAAATGAGAACGTTGCAGGATTTGACGGCGAAATTTAGCCGTTTAAACCGTGAAGTAGTGCGAATTCAGCATGTTAAATTTTTGATACTGTAAAATTTCGGTTATAAGCCCTTGCCTTATACTAACTACTTAATAACCGGGCGCGAGGGCTTAACTGTAAAATTCCAGACTGAGGGATGAAATTTTTGCTTTATGGACCGAGCCTCTGGGCGAGGTCCATAAATCAAAATTTCAGCCCGAAATTATGGAATTTTACAGTAAAGCCCGAGCAAACAAGGTTATTAAGTTTTTCTATAATATGGCTTCAAGTAGGTAAAGCGCGCGAAATAGAGTGAACTTCTACATTGCCTTCATTTTCCGTCACAATTTCGTCAGGATAATAAAATTCAGAAAAGAAATGTTTTTCAGAACGCATAGTTAAAGAAGAGATACGTTTTTTGTTCAATTTCTTGCTTTTTTAACGAAGTTCCTTTCAGCGAAAGTCACTAAGTTCGCTAGGTTTTGTAAACCAAAACCGTGGCGGAAAAAATCTGCTATGCCCGTGGGCGTTTACCGGGGGATTACGGACCGCTAATTAACCAATCTGAGCGCGCGTACTATCGCAGCCATATAATAAAACTTTGTAAAGGGTTTTGGGTAGGTTTAGCGGATTGAAAAGCGTTTGGAAACAAGCCATGGTAATGTTGATCTAAATTCGTTTTTAATTTAAAGTCATATTAAAGCAAAATTTCCAGTTAGCACTGTCATCCAGCAGAGGGGGAAGCGGGGTTATCGGGGGGCCTATAACCGGATTGTTTTGTCTGCAGGTAGATAATCTAACCAGAATTTTACAGTATACACTTCGGGCCGTTTTACACGGTACGAAATTATCGCAGTGTATTCAACAATTTCCCAGGCTGAAGTCGCACGACTTTATATTTTAAAAGCCAGCCGTCTATCATACTGCATTTTTTTTTTTTTTATTTCAACCAGTACACGACTGAAATAGGACACATCCAAAGCCCGCTCGCAGTAGTCTCCCCCACCCACTATATGATGCTAAAGTCCCCACTGTGGCAAGCTTTCACACGCGAAGTGAAAACACTTGGCAACGTTATCGATCAGTAGGAATGCCTGCGAGTGTGTTAATCGACCGAACTACATAACTTGAATAAGTACGCTACGGTTTTTTTTTTTTGGATCATTGGTTCTCGCCCCCTTTTGCTTTTTGTTTTCGGCACCACGTTTCCGTATTACAATTCCATATTATTTGAAATGACCCCCCCCCCGAAAAAAAAAAGAAAAATTGGATGATGAATAAATTTGGAACTTATTGAACAATTATTTGTTTGTTCATTCAAAGAGGGTATTCTTACGTTAAAAAAATAGCCGAATAGCCGCTATGATGGAAAGGGTATTCTGATAATAGTAATGAAAGGTAGCATCGTGAGGGAATAAGATCATTTTCCAGGTTCTCCCATTCCATAATCTAACAGAAATACTTAACAATTATTCCACGAGTACGCATTGGATATGAGCTGGTAGATAGCCAACCAGAGGATTGAAGTTGGCTATAACCATGTCTTACCCAACACACGCGAGTGGAGAAACTGTTTTAATAAGAACTACCACGTGGTAACAGCGAATCTTGCTATATTTATTTTATCGTAAGGAAGACAATTTTTGTAAAGAAAACCATCCACTGGCCAAAACTTAGTTATACAACTTACTTGACAACATTTGGTGATTGAAAAGTACTCTGACGTTAAAATTAAACAGTGGTAAAACAACAGAGTAACAAAAAGTTAAAAAAGTAACATTTTTAAATTTGCACGACATTCTCATGTCATCTTTAGCTTTACAGCTGTACATTTGATTTTTCCAGTGTAAATAGTATGTTATAAGGTTACGTCATAAACCTGACGTCATAAATTTGAAGCTACTATGTTCCGTTGCGATTCACTGAAAGGGAAAATTTTGGAATAAGGTTTTTGTTGAGAGTCTTGCTGCTTAACATGGAAGTAGCCGAACATTTTCAACTTATTAAAAGATACAAAAGTTTAATGGTAAGAATTACTGATAATTAGTGAATTGGAGAAGGGAGCGTAAAGAAAATTTCTCTTTTCGCGGCAGTGTCTCAAACGTTTTGGCCAAACTTGTAGCTGGCTTATGGCTTCGAAGAGAATAAACTACCGGCAAGCAAGCAGTTTCATTATGTCCTTCCTGTGTGCTGTCATCTCACTGAAGTTCCACGACCGTGAAACAACTTGAGGTTGTGAAGAGGTCATAAAATCAAGGGCCGCTAGAATAACCCAAACGCCACAACTGCCGCTTCCAATTAGTTGGCCATCTGTCGGTTGTCTCGGCATTCCAAACCTTTTGAATGTTTTTACATTACGCCAGTCATCCAGAGAAAAGTCATCGCAGTCTGGAAACTTGGACTGAAGCTCACTCGTGATAAGAAAGACATAAGAAGTTTTGGAGAAAGAATATCCAAGGCCATCATCAAAATACGCTTCTTTGTTTTTTACATCGAGGACCATTAGTCCCTAATGTACATTGTCCATGTTTACCGGAACCAATACCAAGCTTAATAAGCCAGGCTTGACATTTTGCAACATTTCTTCAAAACATTGCCGGATAAAGCTTCTCTCTCCCGTGTTGAGCCAGGTAATAGTGTGCGCTGGAAGACAGAGTAAAGACTCGTTTAAATCACATTTACGCAGCAATCTGGAAATTTTATTCTACTTTATATTTACTTATATTAACTTTGTTACATGCGAAAAATTCTGTGTAAGGCATTCGACATGCATATGACTATATTGCATAGACTTGTAGCATGATCATCATGCCCATTCAGGGTTGTTCAGAAATATTTGAAAATATCTTGATCAGCAATGGACAGATTGTTTTCAAACTTGTCATTTTGCTTCTCTGATGATTGCAGTTTAATAAAAAATAACTTTGTTGCCTTTTGGAATAATGTAAGAATTGAAAAATATTAAAGATACTGGAAAATATACCCAAATTATAAATGTAACGCGCAACATCTCATTTGCATAAACCCGAAAATAAAGGTAAATTTCGTACTCAAAACAACATCAATTAGAAACTTCCATTATGCTCATTTATTGAGTAGGGCTTAAATACACCTTATGCCAAGAGACAGCGTTAAATGTTCGTTTTTAAAAGAGCAGGAATAAAAAACTTGAAGACAGTCGCTGTTGTTTGCTTGTGTAACGCAGCAGATCCAACAGAGCTTTGCATGGTACATGTGCGGGTCTAGCATCTTGAATATACGCCTACAAAGAAAGTTGATTCGTCTGAGTAAGGTTCAAACACTTACTTACCCTCATCTAAACTAACTTTTAAAAAGAGCTAACTGCAAAGAAGAAATAAGTGATTTTTGGTTTCGGAAACGATGTTATTGTTTATTTTTAAACACGGAAAATCAAACACCACTTACCTGCAAAAATGCCCGTATTTCAGCTTTTACTTCACCTCGGCTGCTGAGACAACTCCCAAGCAAAGTTCATGTGTTCGACTACAAATCCCCAAAGTTTTACAGCCATACATACAATACAAACGAAGATATTCAAAGCAAACTAAATCGGAAACCTAACTTCACTCTCGCTTTGTGTTTATCAATGTGTAACAATCAAATTTCAAGCCCGCTCTACATTGAAATCCGCACAAATAGCGCTCGAAAAACGCTAAACTTCGCCTGATTTTCTCGTTGAAATCAAGCAACAAACATCGAAGGTCTCCTATGCAACCTCTCCTCTATGTATGCGGGGAGTTCTTATGGATAATTCAGGGTAGTGTGTGGAGAACTAAAGAGAAAGAGGAATAACATTTACAAAGTCCCTGTAGATGTCAATGAAGAAATAATTACTTCTTTGTAAATCTAGAGATAGTTGAAATATAATTAATATTATAATTATATATTATTATAATTAATTTTTTTTGTAACTCAGCCATTATGGCCAGTGAAATCTAGTGATACAGTCAAATGCCACGCCCGCAAAGGATTGTGGGTAATCAGTAATTAAGCTTTAAAAACCGAACAAACATTGAAATCTTCACTAATTCTTTTTAGAACGTAAATTAGCAAGTATATCTAGCAAATAAAAGTATTTTTGGCATACTTTTTACATTTTCATTAAAATACCCTATGTTACACATTTGGGCATGATGATTGTGCTACAAGTCATAGTTTATACAATGTAGCACTCTACTTGAAGGCTACATAACATATATTGACTTACTGGTCAGTGAACTTGTAAACTGAATTGCAGATTTCTTTTGCCATCTGCCAGATAAAGCAATAGCTAAAGAGTTGTCATGGTTCCTGTTTGTTTCAAGTATGCATTGCTTGTAATTAAAACTTATTACATCACTTACATTTTTGTAGGCATCCTGTTGATACTGAGCAACATAATTCTGGACTTCCTTTGGGTACTTCTTGTTTTTTCGAAGAATGGACAGCTTTGCAAGAACTTCCTGTTGTTTTGTTTTCCAGAACTGTAGCTTAGTATCTAACTCCTGCTGTAGCAGACCTAACAAAACGATCCCAAATAATGAGAGTGTCAAAGGGATTTCGCTTGTTCACAAAACTGGAGCCTTATTTAATTGAAATGTTTAATAAATGGTATTGCATAGCTTTTCAAAGTGGTGTTTAAAGAGATGATAACGGTCCTTTATATCACATGTTAAAGAAATAAGTTTTCTTTTTGTATTACGTTGTTATAATAAATTGCAAGTTTGATGGGATGTTAAGCTGGCTTAACATCCCATCAAACTCACTAAGCTGGGTATTACATTGAACCCAGTGAAAAGTGAATTTGCTTACCTGTACTGGCAATGTCAAGTGTGTCAGTGTGAGTTCCCCAATCTCTAAAAAACTTTCCTGACTCGTTCAGATGCAATAATTTTAATAAGTGTGTTGCAGTGATAACATAAGTATGCGATTCACATAAAGGACAACACAAGGAATAGTGCATATCGCAAGCACTTCAATGATCAATATGACAGAGCATTTACCAGTATTATATAAGAAATAATGAGCTAGAACTGACAGTCGGTCATCAGGAAAATGCCAGCCAGTTTGGTCATGTTTGACAAAACTGCAACTGTGGTCAAACATTTAAGTAACAAAATTAATTGCTCAACATAATGCTGTAGATTAGAAACAATTTCTTATTTAGTTCAGTTGCTACACATACGAAAGGATGAAATTTAAAAAGAAATTTGAGAACTAGAATCAAAATAATCATAAAAAGTTTTGTTAGACCAGAGGGATTTTGAAAGTCAGATATATGTACTCTTGAGAAAAAAAATGGCACTCTAACAATAAATAATAAGCATAGCACACCTTGGACTTGTAGGCAGAACCAAATACAATAATAATAAACACTTACCAAATCTTTCGGCATGCATGTCTCCAAAATTCACATTGACGTGATGTCGTGATGCCGATATTAGATATCCCAGAAGCAATCAGGCATACAATTATGCCAGGACTTCAACCTGGGTGAACCAGAGAGGATATATAACACTTGCTAGATCTTCGATACCATGTGCGAACCAAAATATTTATTATGTTATATATCCCAGAAGCACTCAGGCATACAATTATGCCAGGACTTCAACCTGGGTGAACCAAAGAGGATATATAACACTTACTAGAACTTCGATACCAAGTGCGAACCAAAATACTTATTATGCTATATATCCCAGAAGCACTCAGGCATACAACTATGCCAGGACTTCAACTTGGGTGAACCAAAGAGGAAATATTACACTTGCTAGAACTTCAAAACCATGTGCGAACCAAAGTACTTATTATGTTATATATCCCAGAAGCACTCAGGCATACAATTATGCCAGGACTTCAACCTGGGTGAACCAGAGAGGATATATAGCACTTGCTAGAACTTCAATATTTTGTGCGAACCAAAATACTTATTATGTTATATATCCCAGAAGCACTCAGGCATACAACTATGCCAGGACTTCAACCTGGGTGAACCAAAGAGGATATATAACACTTGCTAGAACTTTGAAACCATATGCGAACCAAAATACTTATTATGTTATATATCCCAGAAGCACTCAGGCATACAACTATGCCAGGACTTCAACCTGGGTGAACCAAAGAGGATATATTACACTTGCTAGAACTTCAAAACCATGTGCGAACCAAAGTACTTATTATGTTTTATATCCCAGAAGCACTCAGGCATACAATTATGCCAGGACTTCAACCTGGGTGAACCAGAGAGGATATATAACACTTACTAGAACTTCGATACCATGTGCGAACCAAAAGTAATGCTCATGTTATATATCCCAGAAGCACTCAGGCATCCAATTATGCCAGGACTTCAACCTGGGTGAACCAAAGAGGATATATAACACTTGCTAGAACTTCGATTTACCATGTGCGAACCAAAATACTTATTATGTTATATATCCCAGAAGCACTCAGGCATACAACTATGCCAGGACTTCAACCTGGGTGAACCAGAGAGGACATATAACATTTGAGGGTCTCTACTGGTATTCTGAAGAAATCAAAGATTTACGCTGAAAAAGGAAGATCTCGTAACTGAAGCTTAGGCTTAAAAGTTTATGTAACGCAATGATTTCAATCTAGATAATGAACAAGTAGATCATCTTGTGCACAGCCTTTATGTGGTTCTTGTTCAGAAGAAGTGGAATGTCAGATTTCGTCAAGATAAACAAATGCAGACATAACAATATCTTAATGAATCAATAAAAGAAGGCATTACAGGGTTGGAAATTAGCACTTGCCCACTTGCCCAGGCGAGTGTCAAAACTCCTTGGGCAAGTAAAAATCCTAGGCTTTTTGTTGCATTTATTAAAGGCACTCGCCCGATGGCCACTGCTGTCAAAATTAGGTTTCCATCCCTGGCATTACAGATCAATGAACCCATTAAAATGTAAAATGGTAATAGAATGATTATAATATAATGTGGAATCCATCAATAATGATAAGAGCACAAATAAATGTTTAGGTAAGGAAAGACATGTCTTGTGAAATAAAAATACTGAGATCAAGTTGCAGTTTGAGTTCTAATATAAACTACTCTATTTTAGTCACACTGCTCATCAGTGAAAATGATTTTAGTAAGATGAGGTATGGTTAAAGGGGGGTGGGGGGTCAGGGGCACCTCAGGAACCCCTTTAGCCATGCCCTTGACAAAGTTTAGCAATAAAAAAAGAAAGAGGAAAAACAATATTTCTGTTTGTTATTTTTCTATTTATCTTTGTACTTTGTATCGGTATATTGTTTTATTATATCATAATTAAATAAATTTTGACCTCCAAAAGAAACGGATAAAGTTGACCAGAATTTAAATACAGGGGTGGCAGATTTTCCCCACTCACCAATTTAATCAAACACACTAACTGGCAATACAAAATGATTTAAAAAGATAAAATGATTTACCTTAGTTCGCCCTAACTTTGTAAAGTTCAACAAGGTTTGCCATCCTTGGTCTGGGATCCGGGACTGCAGCTTGAAGTAAAGCAACGTCCAATCGGGCACACGAAGGGATTTAAAGAATTTTGGGGCACTGTCCCCCAGTATTGCTTCCAGGGCTTGCTTCGGGTCTTTTTTCTCAGCAGCTGTTCTGCGATATCGCTCATCACTTTAGCCACTTCAACATTCTGGTCCACCTGATCGGCGAATAAAGATGCAAGAGGCACCTGGAACTTATCGCAAACATCGCCGATCAAGGTCCACATATCGCTTGTACTGTCCGGGTTGTCCTTTACCGGGTCCTGTGTGCCTGAGCTCAGCGTCGATTGACCGCCGTTTTTTACCTCATCTCGAAGGGCCTCTAACTGGGGAAGCACAACTTCAAGTTCAGCCTTAAGCTTAAGATTTTCATCTTGACTCTTCTCGATATCCTCTATGGATATGGCTGACCTTGAATCGACTCCAAATACTGTTTGTACAGGGTCATGAATTTTGTCCTTGTTGTTGTCACGTGTGTCAGTCGCTGTTTGGCAATCTTCATTATCTTGGCCAATATTTAGGCTGTTGATGCCATCAACCAACCAACTGTACTTTTCTTCTTCGCCCGCTTTTAGTTTTTGCCGAAGTATCGCGGAAACAACGCCGAAAGAAGAGGCTATGAATACCTCTTCTTTGTGAACTAGTCGTCGATCCAAGTGCCCGCCATTTTTAAGATTCGAGAGTTGCACTGTGTTAAATTCTTTTGGAAAGCTTGACACCAAAGGGCTACTCGACATGAATTTTCCTGCAGGAATGCCGCATATTTTGGAATTCAGGAGATACCAGTCCCTCGAATCGCTCGTGGAGTGCAGCAATTCAGCTCTTCGAATATCGAAGGCATCCATGCCGCACAGCACCTGATCGAAATGAGAACAAATTTTCCGCTCTTGTGAGTAATGTCTGAAATTCAACCTCAAGAAATGTCAAAAGGGCTAAACTTCAGAATACCCCGCAACTTTGGTCCGCCTCACTTACATGTGTCGGGAGGCTATGAAGATCGAGGCATAACACAATAGACGCTATTCTTATTCAATGACATGTAAATGAGTTGCGGGGTATTCTGAAGTTGCTCCGTCAAAAGAAAAATCCAGCCCCTCAAAATAAACAGGATTGACGCCATTGGAGGTTGTACACAACGGTGTTAATGTAATCACCGAATACTCCCCTGTTGAAACCACAAATCAAAAGCGATGATAGCTACTGAGCCGGATCATGACGTCACACCATAGCAACCAAACCCCACGAATTTTTGAACATCCGGTTTGCTCTGGCTCGTCATGGGCTGTTCCAAACGTTACGAAATATAAGAAATCCGCTTTGCAATGTAATTCACACTTCTGATGCACCTCCGTTTCTCAGAAATACAAGTAGAACTGTCTCAAGTTATTGAATGTTTGAACCACTCTCCACTTCCTCGTCTCCATCCGCTCTCAAATTATACCCAGTAATCTCCTCTTCAACATTTTCAGGATCTCTGTCTACACGTCGACTCCTCTGTTCTCGCTCGTTTCATCTTCAGAAGAGACCGAACTGACTTTTTCCGCAGATATCTTTGGCTGTCACAGGTAAATCATCTCTAACGTTTAGTTAGCCATAGGCTTTTATTGTATCTGGTGGCTTCCAAAGAAGCCGTCATCTCTATTTGAGTTTCGTTATTGTACTCAGAGTTGATCTGTTAAGCTTGTGGCGTGATCTTTCTGCGTTCATGAAGCAGTCTTAGAGTCGGTCACATGATTTGCCGAATGTTTTCGCTTCAAAAAAGGTTCTTGAAGTGCAACAATGTTTTCCTAGAAATAGGCATCGGGAAAGAATATGTTCCCAATTTAGTTGAGGTAAAAATGAATATTTGATGCCGTAAACAAAGTAACGCAACAACTAATGGCCAGAAACGACAAATTATCCTACAGCTAAAAAAGGTAAAAGAAGTATATCGTCAAAAACGAAAGAAAATAAAAAAAGTTTACGAAAGGAAAAATTTATATGTACAATATCATCTATTACGTGGCTGATAAGTGTACATCTGCTTTACCCAAAGTGTAAAGTGTGTTAACTATGATCACAGGAGGTGATCATTTCTGAGAAATTGTATTTTCCTGTAAATTGATAACGATTGCTGTCGTTGAAAGCTAAGAAATGCTTCTACTCGTTTGACTAATGTTTTTATCTAGCTTTTTCATTCAGGTTTTGTGGATCTTTTTTTTCAGCCGGTTATTGTATATTTCTGTCACTTCCCTCAAGCTTTCCTTCACCACTACCTAATAGTCAATTTCTGTGAAATTTAAAAAAAAGAAATTTGATTGCTTGAAATACTGTCTTCAGCAAAAAGAGGGCATCGGCGTAATTACATGTTTAATTCACTGCAAACATCGACATCGCAAACAAATATCACGAGTATAATTACAGACCGAATCGGATGACACAAAGTCTTATAACCAATTAATCATGAAAATTACAATTTCCGAGAAAAGAAGAGTAGCCAAGTTTTTCTTTTAAGTGCTATTTAGGTGATTTAAATAACAACATATCATACGTATAATAACATATCACGCGCAGGGGACTTTGTCCAGTTAGATTTATAGTCGCGGTAAAAGGCTGACTACTTGGGATATGTTACGAAGCCAAGGTGAGAATGGGTCAGCTTTGAGTAAAAGTTGGCTCTAGCAAGGTTTTCGCTTAGTGGCACTGGCGATTCTTGAAGTAGTAGCTTGTGATAAGACAAGAGGCAAGGGCAAATTCTAATCGTCATTGATTCCGGGATTACAAAAAGACTAGCCATGATCTTGAAATTGAAGCCAGATAAAAAATCCCGAGCAGGAAAATTATAGATTGAAATTAGAAATACTGCAGTACGATATGAATCTTGTATTCCCTAATTTTAATAACTGTCGTAAACGAGCGTCTGAGAGGAAGATTGCCAAAAACTCATGCATTTTCTAGGAGTGGAAGTTATTGCTAAATCACGGAATGATATTCTGAACATTCTGAGTTTACCATCTGGTTTCATGGGCAGGTGTAAAGTTTGACGAAATCACAGTGACCACATAAAAACTGGTTTGGAAGACTGTCAAATCTTGTAAAGTTAAACATTTCTCATGTTTTGATTTATGATTTATCGGTAAAAAAAAAGGGTTGCAAGGCTATTGATATTGAGTGCTGACAGTGGATGCTTCTAGATTGTTTATGTTGTCAATTTATGTAATGTTCTGTTACAAATATGTCGCACACTGCATTGTTTTTTTGCTTTGACCATCAGTTGGTTCCTTTCTTTTTCGATGAGAACTTTGATAACCGCGTTATAGTAAAGTAATGTATGAGTATTCAAAAGACCTTTTCGTTTGGTGAGATTGGTGTTACCCGAACGATGGCACTTCGAGAATACAACTTTTAGCTGTTTTGAGCCTCATCCTCTCACACTCGACCCAATCTTCTGGTAAGCCATCGTGTCCAAATAGTTTGATCGTGGGTTACTTTGATTGGATGTTCATCTTGAGAGTCTGGAATTAATTATTCTTGTTTAGAAACTGGGCGCTGCCGTGGTCGTTACACCGCCGGTCATTTTACGGATAAGCTGGTAAGACACGAGATTTGAAGGCAGAAAGGTTAGTAAAGTAATCATTCATGAGAAAGAAGGTTCACTAGTTACGCAAATCATGGGAATACATGTACAGATGATGTAAGAGAGCTATGTGACACGAGGCAAACATACAGAAATTAAAGTGGTTACTGGCTAACATTCGAAGAGACGAGCTGAAACTTTGACTCAGCGTGAGTTATCAAGACCTCTTTCGGTTTCTGCAGGGTCGATTCGTTGTAGCTAATGAAAGTACTTAATGTGATGATTACACCATAAAAGGGAAGACATTTTTTCTATCTACTTTAAACGTTTTACTTTGAGTTTTTCATGAATCTTTCGATTGCATTTTATCTGCGACAAAGTCCTGCTCGCCAAATCATCAGGTGGCATGCAGGATAACACAGTTCAGCTGGCACAGAAAGACATTTCTTCCTAAAGAAAGAAAATTTTTAAATGATCACGGCTACCTAGTTATTTAATGAAACAACAGGTTGCAATAATATAACGAGATAAACTTTGTGACGAGAACCTAACAACAAACAGTTGAGCTTCGATAAAGAACTCCTTGAAAGACCGACCTTACTGCCCCAGCATTAATACCCGAGACCATTAAAGTACAAAGATGGGATATCTCTGACTTTTACAATACAAACTGTATGGAAATATGGGAAGTATCTAAATTGTATTCGTTATCTTTGATACCAGTCTTGACAAAGCATTAGACGAAACGCTTTCTAGGAAATTCCATGTGTAAACAAACACTGTTTCCGGAAGAGGGGTCTGTGAGCAACACTGAAATTAAACAGACATTACGAATTGTCTTTGTGGTTCAGGTTAACCAAGTGATCTTAGAGGAATTAGAATGCTCACGGCAAATGTTTAACTTGCTCCCAATCAAAGACATATGCTTCCTATTTTTACTTTTGTTTTTACGACATGAGATAACAATAACAAGTGAGGACCTTAAATGCTTCTAGAATTTTTGCGTTGTTAAATACTCCAATCATTGATGTAATGATGTTGAAGGTTGAACATTTCAATTTTTGTTGTAGATTGCCCATCATCTATCAGCATTTTTTTCAATTGTGCCTTGGCTATTCAATGACATTCAGAGCCTTGTTTATTTCTTGGCAAAACCGAATAGCTAAAATTGCTCCTCGTGTGTCTGCAAAACACTTCTAGGAATTTTTGCGTTGTCACGATACGACTCAGACTAATTTGTTGGGTGGTACATTGTTATTTTATGTGCTTTATCCATGAGCTGATTTCTCTCTCGTTCCCTCACGAACTTTGAGACAATCGGAGTCCCGTAAATTTGTAAAGGGCACGATAAATCCACAGTAAATGTTGAAATGGAATGAGCTGAGGAATTTTTAGGAATCTTGAACTTGTTTGGATTGTGCATTCGACCACGCATTACCCAAATTTTTATATTGAGATATTCCTGCGAGTTTTTGGAGAATTATCATCGTAATTTTTCTACATCAATTAAACTTAAAGCTCCAACAGACTTGTGTCGAGGTCTAGATGGAGCTTGATAACACCATTATTAATAAAAACGGTTGAAATTAGTCTTTAACGAACTTACTTATGTATATTTATTCTAAGTTGCACTCAAAATTGCTTGATTACCTAGACCATTAATTTAATGAATCTATCATCTATCTACAAACCCTGCATTAAAGGTGCTAAAGTCAGCCAAAGGGCACGAAATAACATTAGCAATCGGACAGCTTAGCTCAAGAGCCACTCTTCCTTCGAAGTTGATTAGATTAGCTGTAACATGCACACGTAATAAAAGGTCTCATATCGAAGGTTGTCATTTACGGCGAACTGAGCATAGGACATTGCCCTGCAGATTCCCAAATATTGCACTTCATGGAGCTGAAAATCACTATTTCCCTATTAAATTCGGCCCATTTATGCGGAACATTTTCAGTTTTGGCTACTTCAGAGCGTAAAAAGCTTTTTAAAATCTCATAATGTCGACTTTTCCATTGAAGAACATTTAAAAATACGCCGAGTTTGCGACTCATTAACTGATATTTGTCGAATAAAAGCTAATAGGTAAAGTTGAATTTTGCGTGCGTTTTTAATAAAACAATTTTTCGAATAACTCAGGTTTTCCGAATATGAGTTGCTATAGCCAACTCAGCGAAATGAGCCTCTTTGGTTATCGCCATCTCATATTCGGCGCGCTGCGAAATGTTTTTAGTAGGGCTTGTCAGGGAGATAATGAAACACAAAATGATCATTTTAAGTCATCTATTCTCGCAACGATTACAATGAACCTTTGACCACTGTGGTAAAGCGTGGGACATAAATTAATGAAAAAGTAACCCTCCCGGCAAAACGCTTCGAGGCTTCTTTGTCATTTATCACTTTCAATATTCCACCAAATATCATCAAACAATATCTAAAAATAAGTAAAATAAACAAAAGCCCAGCCCATCAAACGTGGCAGTAAAGGGAAATATGTGCACAACATGAGCAAGAGTTACATGTACTCATGTACTAAGAATAAAGGAGAAGCACTTGATTGAACCATTTACTGCCTAAGTTCAATAATGTGGCATATTTCAATTTATTTTTACTATTTTGTTAGCAATATGACCTCAAGTGTTCAAGGAGAAAGGGCAATTCCACTTTGTCTTCCTGGCAATTATCAATGGGACCCGGAAACAATGAAATGCACCAAAACTGGAGAAGAACGCTCCTACATGTATGTGGTAGAGGAGGCACTCAAAAAGCTTAGGAGGATCAAAGGTAAAATACTACGAGTGAACCTCTGAATACAGTGACTTGATCTAGTTAGCATAGTAGTTTCGTATCATAGAACTGTCACAGGATTACGTGATGGGAATTGTTACGTTATAATCTCCTTCAGTTCAGCATAGGTAGCTCAACGGTGTCTCTATTCTGACTCTCGTCAATACGGTGCAAGACGATTTATGCTTAGCTTTTAGCTATCCTGTAGGTCCTGTCTGCGTGGTGTCTATTACTGGACCATATCGCAAGGGAAAGTCCTACATTCTGAGCGAGGCTTTTCATCAGCCAGACGTTTTCCCACTTGGGCACACTATGTTGGCTGAGACAGTGGGAATCTGGATGTGGATTTTGCCAGAAAAATTAAAGGTAACTGTCAAGCAGTACAAGACAACGTTCTAAGATTGGACTGTGTCTTTGCAACAGCTGTCAATTACACAGATATCCAATTTCAATTTCATAACAAGTGCATATGCAAGGAAGACAGATAAAAATGCATGAAGTTTTTTCACGCATTTAGAATAAAACCGGAAACAAAGGAACAAATGAAACAGAATAAGACAAAAATAAATACTTTTACAATAATAATACCATAAAGATGGCAGTAATGATAAAAGTATCAATTATGTATTACAATGATATTATAATTCTTAGAAATTAAACAAATTTTCAGCTGCAGATGGTCGTTGTACAATTTGAATTTAGGAACATCAAAATATTTCCTGGTAAAAATTATTGTTACATTGCCTATTTTCCAACCGTATGAAATAATGATACACTGATGATATCATTCATGATACATAATAATAATAATTACGATGATCATAATAAATGGAAAAAGGAGTTTGCGCTTTATGTAAAAAGCAATGATATACGATACTCTCGAAAAGAATTAGCTTCTATCCCAATAGATTTTATTTAGAATTTAGAATTTTGTCCACTTTCCTATGACAGGACTGCAATGGCCAAGAAGTTTCAGTTGTACTTCTAGACACTGAGGGAATTGACTCCGCTCAGGTAACTGGTTTTGATGATCATCAAATCTTTACACTCACCGTATTGGTTTCTTCGGTACTCATCTACAATTCTTCAACTGTAGCCAATAGACGAGATCTGGAGGAACTAGAGTATCTTTTGAACCACCCACCACAACGTATTGCTGAAGGCACTGTGGTCTATTCCGATCCTAGAGCATTTTGCAAAGTATATCTTACTTTTGCATTTATTACGTTTTCCGACAAATTAAATCAATTTCCAAGTATTTATCTAGTAACGTACTGTTCAGTAAATGCAGAGCCATAGTGTTTGACGAGGAAAAGTTCCACGAGGACAAAACAAGCTTAAGCTGAGCCTAATTTCTTAAACTTACACCAAAATTTGACCAGAGATGAGGTTCTCCAGCTTTCTGTTGTATCGTCGGATTGTGACATATCAAATATTTCAGAATAACATTTTACCTAAAATCTAATTCCTGTCTTTTTTAGTCTATTATGTTAGATTACATATAGTGACAATTGAAGTAAAAATATTATTTGGCTGTAACTGTAATTTTTTCAATAATCCATTTCACTTCGTTAGTTCTCTATGTAATTCCTTTCTGTCAAATTAATCGATTACCTACAGACCTGTCAAAAGAGAACTGTTCAAAATTCTACAATTACCAGTTTCCTTGACAGACTACAGTTTTATTGTTAATTTGTCTCAGCGAATACAAGTTAAATCAAGGTCTGAGTGTGATGTTGGACCTAAAGATTCAGATATTTTCCACGAAACCTTTCCTTACTTTGTTTGGCTGCTCAGAGATGTGACCCTATTATTACCAAGTGATTGCAGCAACGTAAAGGACTACTTTTTAACAAAGGTTAGAATAAGTCACAACTATCTCCCGTAAAAAAAATAAAAGATTCTCAGAATTAATGAGCAACCGCAATAGTGTGTCTAATTTCCAGCCCACGGTGGCTTAGGTGCGACAGATACCAGAAGCGCCTGATCTATTTAGTAACTTGAGACGAGAGCGAATGAAAAAGTTATGACACGAGGCAAATCTACAACATCGATTGTAACAACCTTGAATTCAACTTCACTATGGCCAATCTACAGCCCACTCCCTTTTCCCATATCTATTCCTGGATTCAGCCAACCAATGAGCGAGTAAATTAACGGAGAAGCTCTAAGGGGGTAAAGTATTAGACCGCAGAATTAGAACGTCTAACCTTTGAGACTCGTGGGGAACTCAGGGTTTCCTATTTTGTTGGTCACGAGTCCAGCATCAGCAAAAAATGTCCAACATCTGCTATTTTACTGGCCTCCTCTTTTTCCGTATGATTCTGGCTTTGATGAGACGCAATCGCAGATAAATGTTTCTTATAAATGTTTCTTATAAATCAGGTTGGTGCATATCATAAAACTTTTTCCGGAAGGAGTGTCGACCTCACTGCTGTGCCTTTCTGTCTTTACAGGTTTTTCAAGAAGTGGCTACAAGCGAGAAGAGCAAGGAAGCCGCCCATAGCATTCTTAAGTTTTTTTCTGGGTTTGACGCCTTTGCTTTGCCTCTTCCCACAGATAAAACGGAAGTGTTTCATAACATAAGCAACAGTAAGGATAGTCTAAGTGCTCATTTTCTCAAAGATTTGCGTCAATTTCAGCTTTTCATGAAGGATGTCATCGTCGCAAAAAAGAGTGTCAAAACAGAAGAACCTGTCACTGGGGAAGGTAGGGTGACCTTTATTCAATCTAATGTTGTTCTTTTAAAATCTAAACCTATGCAAAAAAGGATTTAACGTTTCAAATGTTTGTCGTTCTTGCATGTTTATCGTAAGTCCTATTAGAAATAACGATAAAAAATCATCTTTTCTTTCCATTTTTTGAACAGTTTTTGATGGATTTGTATTCATTTTTTTTCTGGTGTTAATGTGGCAGAGATTGCAGACAAAAAATGAAGTTCGTCACGTTGCCTCTTGTCATGTCGCCCGTGAGCCGAGTGACCTAAGTTAGGTCACGTCAACATGCCAAAGAAGTGAAGTGAGCTTCTTTGGCATGAGAGAGAGTTATTTACAAAAAATAGCTCCTGTTTCTTTGCCTGTTCCCTTTTTACCTTACTTTTTTTTTGTTGTTGTTGTTGTATTCACTTTTTTAATTCAGGGTTGGCGATGCTTGTCGAGTTGTACGTCAAAGCCATCAACACCCCTGGAGCTGTTCCAAACATGGAGTCAGCCTGGGATGTCTTTGTAAAAACCAAGTGCTCAAAAGCTCAAACTACAGCAAAAGATAATTACAAAGTGACCATGTCTTCACATTTGGAGGGTGCACTTCCCTGTGACGGCGACTTCATACTAAGGAGTCACAGTGCTGCACTTTCTCTGTGTAAAAGTTGTTTTATGGAGGAAACCAAGGGAATATCAACCACAACAGTGCAGGAATATTTAATTCCGCTTCAGGTGAATCAACTTTATCCTGTACTAGATTAAACTTAGAGATACTTAATTTATTGCTTTTAACCTGATGCAGAAAAATTATATGTCATCTTCGCTCAGATAAATATCTCTCATACCTTTACAGGGCTTCATTGAGGAAACCTTTAATTGGTGGCATGGGGAGAATGCGAGGCAAACGAAAGAAAAGTGCAACGCATTGATCGAAGATCTTCAGAAAAAATACTTAGATCCAATTTTTCAAAAACTCACAGAAGAAGAAGCGCACAACTTGTCTTTCCAGGATGTCGTTAGTGCCTATGATAAGCTCAAGAATGAATACAAAGCACGTGCAGTGGGTGCCAAAGATATCATAGCTGAAGTTTTCTCGGAGCTCCACTCGGTAATAAATGATACTATTATTATTATTATTATTATTATTATTATTATTATCATCATCTTTATCTTCATCTTCATCAACATCATCATTATCGTCATCATTATCAGCAGCATCGGTCGATCAGCCTTAACACTACCACTATCATAGCTTTATGCAATTTCATAATATACTTCCTGCATTGACACAGAATCCTATTGAACTCACCCTTTTGTTTTTCTGGCTTGATTGGGTGACCTGTGCGATTTCTACGATTTGAAAACTACATGTTTTGCTCTCATGTGGAGTATGACCAATTATGAATCCTCCAATAGCTCCTTATTAGCTTTGATTTCGTCGTTGAGTTCCTCTTCACAGGTGAGGAAGGATGTAATTTACAAACAAGAGCTTTACCTTCTTTGAGGACAAATGATCTTCGATATCAATTACTACTTAATAAGCTTTTAGAATCTGACATGAATGACTTCTGAGTTCGTTATAACTGTTATAATTACAGAAATTAAAGGAGAAAAAGGAATACAATCTAGCTCTCCTGGACAGAGTGAAGCGATACAGTCAAGTGGCGGTGGACGAAAGGATAGCAAGGGCGATCCAAGATAAATTATCGAAAAAACTTCAGGTTAGTAGGTTTCCTAATAGGTTCATGGTGGAGCTCCCATTCAAAACTAATCGCGGCTCATACTGCGAATGGTTGTTTCGAAGCCAGTCGTATTTTAAAATCACGTATCGCATTATGTATGCATCAATGTACTTGAAGGTACACCCTTGGGAGTCAAACAGCGTCAATATAATTTCTTTTCTGAAAAAATTTTTTCATATTGTTCAATAGAATTTCGATTAGCTTTTATAAGTTTCATGTAGTCTACAATGTTGATATAATTTTAAGAAGTACAACTATTAACAGTTTTCCCATATCAATGGTCAGAGGCTCTTTTAAATCGTAAAAGATTGGTTTAATCTTTTTCACAGGAAGACAACAAAAGGCTCTTGCAGGACAATGAGGATCAAAGGAAACAGGTATCAGCCAATTAAATATCACAGATACACTGAATCCATCCTAAATATGGTGCTAATGAGAGATTGTATAATTCATATGTGTAAACTAAAAATGCTAGCTTTAAACTGAGTACAAAAAATCACGCTAACAGCTTTTCTTTCATTCATATTTAAGGACTGTAATAATTCATATTACATCATAGTTCGTTTCTAGGGAATTGTTATCCCATTAGGAATTTTTTCATCTCACCAAACTAGCATGGATCCACCCACAAAAAGGAAGGACTCGAAATATCTTTGTTGATCAGTGCTTCTAACAACTCCAGTCACGACTATAACAAAATTCTCGAACGTGACTGGTTATCAACAGCCCGATTTGAGCACTATTTAGGACAGTGTACGCGTCATGATTGTAATTGGACAGTGTAATAGGACAGTTAAAGGAACGGTCAACACGTCATGCCTTTGAAAGTGGAAAGAAAGTGTCATGTGCACGCTTTATCTCGCATCTCGCCGAATCAACTGTTGTTGTTGTTGTTGTTGTTTTTTCTTTATAAAAATATTATTTCTCTCTCGAATTTTGTCATAGATTTGATTAATTGGAAACAGGACTTCGTGTCGTGCAATTCTATCAGTAATAATACGGGTGAAGAATAAATCGGACTCCCGCTTCGCGGTCGTCCGATTTTGTTAATCACCCGTACGGTTACAGACCGAATTGGACTCCACCCGGTACTATTACCATTATTACTCTTTATATTTTTTCCCCCGTGATCATTCTCATTTCATGGAGGATTCGGCCTTCTTATGAAACTTCTGCCTGATATGAGATACCTGATATGAGATAACCTAATAAGTCTCGATTCAACTGGGAGTCCTTTTGACTGTGCAAATAATTTAGCCGTTTTAAACATATTCTTGCAAAGTTTCAAGTCTACAAAGTCAGTTTATTTCGATCAATGAATCTATAGCTATTAAGTTGAGTTTTTTTTTTTAATTGTTAGAGGCCATCACATTAAAATTTAACCCTTTTAGATTGCACTTTTATCCAGTGAGTCGAGAACATAACGTGAAGTCGAAATGTTTACGGCGATATGTAAGGAACTGAAGCGCTATGTCATTAAACTTCATGTTCATGTTCATACTTGGTAACTTTTTAATTTTTTATCATTATAGATGGAGGATTTGATAACTAAGCAGAGAGCAGAAGAGAAGCGATTTAATGCTGAAACGGAAAAGAAGGCAAAACAGCATGAAAAACAAATGCGAGACTTGATCAGGGCAAACGAAACGAAAATCAAGGAACAAAGAAAAAGGTTTCAAGCGGAAAACGAAAAGTTAGAAATCCAAAACAAGAAATTAAAGGCGGAGAACAAACAAAACTTACTAACTATCAAGACTTATTGTGACACCATGAATAATCTAGGTAATAACGGTCTATTAGATGGTACGAGATCTCCAACCGTGCCGCAAGAGAAATCTGTAATTGCAACGCAAACTGAAAATATAACAAGTACTCCTCAAGGTCCTTTGCCAAATGCGAAGACCTCTAAATTCGTCACTGGACAAACCAAAATCGCAATAGAACGGAATGCAAAATTAGCTAAGGTTCAAGGGGATAAGGAGGCTATCGAGAAACCCGATTTTATCGGTCGACTTCTGACGACAGTCTCGGTTGGTGCACCTGCTATTGGTCTGGCTGTGTCAGCAGCTGCGCCTCCGTTGGCACCAATTGCAGCAACCACCGGGGCCATTGTGGGTGCTGCTGCTGCATGTCTTAAGAAGGTTAAAAACAACTGTAACATTATGTGACCGTCAAACCACTACAACTGCCTTCCTAGAATGTTATACGTATTATTACATTGTGAGAGATGATATAGTTAGTGGCAGAAATCACTGTCTTATCACCATATTAAGGGCTTTGAATAGCAACAATCACATCATCACAAAGAAGAGAAAATGAATTCGAATTAATCACTTCTCGACCTCAACATATTTTAGACAAAATTCAATTTAACAGTAGATACTGTGATATTGATTTGAGAGATCTTGTACTCGTATTATGAATTGCCTAGTGATCAGTATAATGTTATTAATCATTTGTCATCATATATATCAGCTGTCGTCTACTTACACTGCGCACAGTGCTTAGCAATCCGCTCTTTGTGAACCATCAAGCCCCTCATTTTGATTAATAACCGACATGGCTTGTCAGTTTTAAAAGTTTTAGCTTAGTACAAACTGATTGCAAATATTGTTTTCTGAGGCCTTATTCAGGCTTTAAATTGTTGCCATTATAACGATGGAGAGTAGTCTTTTTCGAGTTCTCCTTCCGGACGATTGTTAAATGTTTAATCATGCAGCCTGCATATAGTAAAGTGAGAGATTTTTAATTTTTCTTCAGTCATTTTGAAGTATATTTTAGCTTGGAATGAAACGCTTTGCAGGGCCAAAATTGGCTGAACTCTTTCGGTAACGACGGTGCATGGTACACGATTTTACACAGGCACTCTACATTTTTCTTATTTTGGCGCTTACTTTCATTCCGAGTATTTTGTGTTTCTTAAAAATCATTTCATAGACAAGAAGTATAAGAAGCCACTCAAGTCCACGTTTTGATATGGATTTGCATGAACGTGCGCTCACTCGTATACTGATCTTTTCAAAACAAAAACGTTGACCGTGCGGCTGCCGAACAGTACATTCAGTGTAAGGTGGTTTAACCTCCTACGACCAAATATTATGCAATTAGGGTTTTTGTAGATAGAAGCATAGATTACTCATTGAGATCACGATTTGAGCAGTTGTTTTAACGTAGACTGAAAGCTTCGACTTCGGATATCAAAGAAACTGTCTTCAGTCCTGTCAGTATTTGATCTGCTACGACAGATCATATATTGTAGAATTAAATGGCTCTGTTTATTACAAAGCGCCTTTGGCCCAGATACTGATATTGATCCGATATCTCTTCTTCCAATTACAATTATTTGAAGTATAACTAGCAAGATAGTTTAGTAAGCTCTACTGATCTTGTTGTCTGTGTAAGACATGCATGTAACAATTACCTATAATCATTGCCTCGCAGAGACATGGTACTTTTTGACTAACCTCTTAAAACACAGCATGCATAATACAACAATCGGTTTCTTGCTTCTGTATGTAGACGAATTAAGCCTTTATTGAGAGAGCAACTTGGGTAGGTTGTTTAAAATTTTTGCGTCCTCAGGTAGTAATGGATCTTTTCGAAATTTGTTCTTTTGTATTCATCTTGATCGAGAATAACGAAAACTAGTTTGATATGTCATTGTAGAAAAACACATATAAAGGGCTGTCAAGTTTACCTTCAATTCAGATTTCTTACAGATACTTAAAAGTCTCAGAAATATGAACGTTAGCCATGTTCGATAAGTAATTGTCATTGCACAGTAATACTACGATAATTCAGATATAATTTGCACAAACCAACATGATGCATAAATAAACATGATGCATAAATCGTGTCTTCAGTTCTCCTTTTGTCAATTTGTCTTTTTTTTGACTGCTGTTCTTGGGCCTCCCCCCCCCCCTCCCACTCCAGGTGTTTAGATAAGATTAGATAATTAGGTAAGACGCTGTAATCTGAAGAAAAGTTCCTCTAATGACTTGAAAAATAAATAGGGGAATTATGCATATTTGCATCATGTATGAAGAATATTTTCTTGTTAGCTGTGTTTGATTTTTATTACTGTACCTAAGCTTGCAATCTAACTAAGCATGATAACCTTCAAAACTCGGACTGTCCAATTCGTTTCCTCTTTGAGGATTTTCGTATGTGCTAACGTCATAATAAAGTAAATTACAGCGCTTGGCATGTTTACAAATCTTTGTTTGGTTCTTCTGTTGCTATTTGCTGGCTGGCTTGTTCCTAAATTTTACTTTCGAAAAAAAGCTGGAGAGAAGTTCGGGAAATAATCGGACATAGTTCAATTCGGATGGTGTGATAGCTTTAGCTCAGCCCTATACTTTATTAAACAAATAGAGAAGCCTTGAGTGTGCTCTGTTCTGTTATAAAGCACGCAGGAAGCAGTAAGAGCACGAAAGAAGTGTAGGGAGAAACACTCGACTACGTCTGTTTCTCTCCACTTCTTGACAGCGCGCGCGTGCGCTATTTGTAATTCGTACTCGCGTTACAACTTTGCACTTATGTTACACGAAAAATGCAATCGTTTTCAACCAATCAGACGCGCGTAATTTTTGTTATGCATATTATAAAATACCTAATTCCGCCGAGGTGACTATGTTTTGGTTGTTAGCGCTGAGGACAATTCAAAGAATTCAAACAAAATCATGTGAATGCGGTGTGGTATTCTCCCAAGTTTATTTCTTTTTTCTGGAAACATTAACCAGGTGTATTCTCGACCGGAGGTATTTCCACAAAAAAAATAAAATTTTACTAAGATGCCTGAACCTAAAACTGAGAGACTTCTTATCGCATTTCTACACAGGTATGCTGTAATTCAAATCTTGTCTCCAAGCCATGTTCGAATGTGGCAATAAGCTGTTGAAGTCTGACTCCATTTCACCCATGAAATCAGTTGTGCTGCGCTCGACAGATCGCCTACAGACCAACGGGTATCAGGTCCCGCGCTGCTGTAACAACTGGCCTGTTACAATCATATGACCCATCGAAACAGGTAACTCTAAAGCGTAGGGTCTATAGGTTAAGTCTTAGACACCATAGTCGATTGGACTTTGCTCTCTCGCTAAGAGGGGTTTCTTAGAAGAGCCCATTTAGTTCATTTTTGGCATTTGCTGTTTTGCTCAGGCAGTGGGCTGAGACCCAAGGTGTAGAGAGAAGTGGAGTGTCAAAAGCAGTTGGCTTGAGATAGGGTACATTTGTCACCTCAAACAACCACCTGACTGGCTCTCGCTATTTTGCATGATTAGCAGCGTGGCTTCTTTCTTACCACAAATCAGCTGATGGGCTAAGACCTCGCGGCTGGTGGATAGATAGTTGAGTTACAAAAGCGGGGAGGTTGTGGAGGGGTGTAATAGGCACTATAAACAGCTAAAGCAGTCTGCTATTATCACAAAAACAGCCATTCATCGAATAATTCTCAAAGAGTCTTCGGTAGCGAAATCTGCTAGCTAGTTTCAGTAGACCAGCTAATTTCAGTAGAACAAACTCATATTGCGAAGAAATATCACCGGCGAGGTTTTGTTTTCAGATAAGGAGGGCTTCCAAGGTCACACTTTTTTGTTTATATGTTATTGACAGGTAAATTTTTTACCATTTATCGAACGGAAACTGGAGACACGCACCATGCACGTCCCAACAGTTAGTTTGTTTCTTCTCTACGTGGTCGATCTTCTACATCTGATCCACTTCTTTTTTTGCAGTTCTGTTCCTTCATAGAAATATACAATGCAATTTTAAAAGTTTTCTAGGATAACTTTAAATCACAAACCGTATCAGTTCACCTTTGTTCACGAACTTATCTGTGTATGTCAAAACCTAGAATATTTATCTTCCCATGAAGCACAGCATTACATAATATCATATATAGTCATTCCCAGTTTTTCTGAAAAAAAAAGACAAAAGAAGCAAAGTTCTGCGAATGCTGGCAAGGAGCCGACCAGTTCATAAAACAAGTTGAAAAAAAAGAGCTCTCTAAAACTCATTTAAGGTGCACTGTTTTGTAACGATATATTTTCGCCACTAGGGTCTCAATGAGTTGATGGCTTTTACGGCTGACGGTTAAAATTTTGGCCAGTTTACGGCTAACGATTGACTCAAAAATGATACACTGTGGAAAGAAATTTTTAAGGGTTAACTTTTCTAACGACCAACGGTTAAAATCTGTTAGTTTCTATGCCTAACGTCTAAATTTCTTGGCCATTTTTCGGCTTACGGTTAACCCCATTGAGATTCTCGACTTACCTATAATTGTTTATCACAGAAAGCCGGAAATTTTTGTCGCCACGTCAACAATTAGGCTATTCTGGTTTGAACTGCTTATCAAAACAGCGGAAAGCCTTCTTGATGAAAGGAAGGAATATGATTTTTACACAACGCCCCCAATTTTTTGTTTTGCTACCCTCTGAAAAGCGTCCACAATTCACACAATTTAGCCATACGATGACAAACTTGGCGAATTTTGAAAGGGTGCACACTTTTGCTAGGGAGGCACTTGCTTGATTTTCCCTCCATTGTAACTAGACATAATCGTTGTTTGCAAAGTCAAATTTACGTGGCCGAAAACAAAAGACTTAATTAAATTAAAAATCGTTAAAGTCATTTAGCAAAAACTTGGTGGATTCTGAAAAAAGGATTCTAAAAATGTGCACGTGTAATGCCGTTGGAAGGCTCTGGACTTATTCGGCGAACGTGATCTATCGTCCGATGGAAACGGCTGAGTTGTGGGGAAGGGCGCTTGTCCGATGGAAGACGCAAGTTCGAGCAATTTCCTTAAACGATTTAAAACTGTATAGAAAAACAAGTACAACACAAAACGAACAAAAAAAATTGAAAAAGAAAACAATTAAAAGTAGAAAAATACAGCACGTGTTATACATTATCTATCTGTTCATCTTCCACAGAAATCAGATGAAATATGGATGAGCCGAGGTTTACGTTGGTTCCGTAAATAGAAATCCCGTTTTAAATTTCCTGACCTTCCTGTAAGCACGTATCGGGAATTTGCTAATGACGGTAAACACTTGGAGGGGCGTTTTAGCTTGGTAACGTTATTGAGACGTGACTTCTAAAAGATTTGTGATCTGATATCCTCAAGTTTCACTCAGCTCTTTCATATTTAAAGAGGTTCACTTTACGTGTTCTACAGTGAAGCAGACTGCAAGCAGTGTGTGGAGCAGGTAGGTTAGATTTTTTTTTCATTTGATGGCATCGAGAAATTATTACTACAAGTTAAAAAGTTGTGGTGACGTTTCACCTGACTTGCCAAATTTTTAAATCTTTTCGGGGTTAAGTGACTTGCAGAAGAGGATGACTTTTCGTCGGATTCTACTGATTCAAATCTGAGAACAGGGGGTTATATTCGTGTTCGTTTATTTTGAAGATTTGTTTAGGTATAAAGCGCCCACCAATTAAAGCAATCGTTTGTACTAATCTGCTGTAAGAAAACGTCTCCTCATTTAAATCAGTTATATCATTGATTCTGAAATAATCCACATATCATCCTGATTTTTATCTTTTTCAGTCGACCTCGTACTTCGCAACAAGCTCAGAGAACATGTCTCGCTGGATTGAAATTGTTGCATTTTTTCTTTTATCAGGTACGTAGAAAACATTTTTCCAGGTTTTGAATGAACAAGCATGTAACAGAACCTTCTTTACACTCGTGTTTATTCTTGAACCGTTTTAAATAACCTCTAGAACCTTTCGTGCGGTTTAAGCAAGCAATGTGGCTGGTACTTCCAAGTACGAACCATATGGTTGTGTACAGGCCGGGGAATTTTTGGGCCTTAGAAATGCATGAAACGATATAATTCTCCAATCCCTGTACATGCGCTCGCAGTTTGGAAACAAGACACTATTTCAGGAGAAGAAGAAACACTAAGCAGCTTAAACAGCAGAAATATTACTTTTGAATTAACAGAAATACAAATTGTTTAAACTTCCCTGAGCAGTTAATAGATAGAGGAGCTCAAAGCGGACTTACGACAGTTTTTAGCTCATCTATACTTTCGACATACAGTAATGAAATCTCAGCGATAATAAACTCTTTCGAGCTAAACTTGATCTTCATTAACTTTTGTTGCATGCTTCGTTGTGTGTCAGCAAAAAGAGGTCTAACTTCAACTTGATTCCCGCTGGCAAAAAATCTCTTCGCGTGCACTCAAGAATAATTAAGCAATTAAGCAATATGTAATTCAAGTATCCAAGGATGGTTATGATATTGGTCAGGTTACTAAAATAGTTATTACGAGAGAGCCGGAAACAGATTGAGCCCTTTGGTTTCCTATCACGAATTAAAATTTTGATTTGTGGTTGGGGAGGGGGGGGGGGGGGTGGTCATAGCCGTTGAGATGACGTTAGATGTTCAAAAACTAAAAAAAATGTTTAAACGAAGCGTGTCCTCTATTTCAGGGCATTCACTGTCAAGCAACCTTTGTTGTTTGTTAAACGGGGGGGGGGGAAGGGGGGGAGTTATCGCTTCCTTTTTTGTAGCTTAAACTTAAATCGTTTGCGTGCCACTTTCAAATTTAAACATTTTTGTGGTTTAAAGGTCCTTCATCGTTAGTATTCGAAAATCAGAGTTTAATTGTCTTAATTTTATACTTTGGTGTTTAGAAATGATTCTTAGTTGTCATAAGTATTCCGTAATACTCTATCTGCAGCAGCATAATACGGGCCGTCGTCTATCTTCGGTCTATCAGTTGTATGAACAAGGTTGTGGTTGCTCATCGCGGTAAAATTCAGTGATAATGAATTAATTACCCTTTATACAGTTGTCTTAACACGTAGTCACTCCCTATATCACTTCTGTTTCTGTGTTTCTTGATCGTTGTCTTCCAGACTTTTGGATTTTCTGGTCTATGTTGTCAGGGTGTCAAGGTGATTCAGTTAAGACGTCTCTGGCATCAACAAGAAAAACTGATGAAAATGAAACTCCGAGGCCGCGAGGGCCATCAACAAGAGCAATACAAATTTCTCCCATCATTTCTATTAGAAAAGCCAAGTCTGGGCGTAAAATATTGTTTTATAATGTCGTGAGTAACTGCCTCGAGACAATAGATGATTAATTCATTCATTCCTATCATTGGTTTTTCTCAAAACTTTGATTAATTTGAACTAAATCATTATAAATTTATTCTTTTCTTTATTTATTTATTTGTTAAAGTTGTAGCAATCAACTGCCAGGTGTCTGGTCCCACGGGTCCTATAGGTCCTCCAGGTCCCCCGAGGCCAGAGTGTCGACCTGTGTTGATCAAAGGTGGCCCTCCTTCCAAATTTCCTCCGACGCCAAACTTCCCGTACCGCTGTTGTGGAAGCGTTCCTTACAATTATTTTACAAGTGTCTGTTGCCTCAACCGAGTTTATCCAAAGAAACCTGGTTATGCATGCTGTGGATCGAGTATATACAACTCCAGGGCAAAAATCTGCTGCAGTAACAGGCTACTCCCCAGGCAGCTAGGAAAATTTTGCTGTGGGATGGGACTATATGATCCAAAGAAACAAGTATGCTGCAACCGTCAACCAGTAACAAAGCCACCATCATCCCCTTTTAACCGGTGCTGTGGAAGTGCCCTCTACGACCCATCCAAATACTTGTGCTGCAGTAACACAGTACAACTCCGGAAGCCAGGACAGGTTTGCTGTGGAACAAGACTGTATGATCGAAGTAAGGAACTCTGTTGCAACCGTCAACCAGTAAGAAAGACATCGCCTTCTCATACGGCGTGCTGTGGAAGCAGTCCATATGTTCCTCGCCAACAATCGTGCTGCTTCGGCGAGCCATACAATCGTGCAAATCAACTCTGTTGCAATCGCCAAGTAATGACAAAACCATCGCTTTCTCATACAGGATGTTGTGGAGGCATCCCTTATGACCCTCGCAAACAACGCTGCTGCGGCACAAAACTGTATGATCCACAGAGTTCCCTATGCTGCGGTAGACAGTTGCACAACAAGCCTTCAAACTCACATGCTTGCTGTGGCAGGGCAACATATGACACCAGAAGGCAGAAGTGTTGCTATGGTAAAGTAATCAGCACATCGGATCCCTTTCCTTCCATTCCTTCCAGAATTGGATGCTGTGGGTAAGTCTTGTCTTGATTTTCAGTTGGAGACCCAGGGCTTCTTACAACGGTACCATCCCAGTTGTTCTGGGTTCAAAACCTTTCCAATTACTTTACTGTAAACTTACATAAGTTTGACGCGATTTATAAGTTATCAAGATCTGTCAGGGTCAACTTACAGTGTATTCAAAACTACTGCCTTTTTTCCAGATCGTTTTTCGATCCAAAAGCATTTAACACAGCCACACATCTCTGTTGCAACCGACGAGTGATACCAAAACCAACTCCAACATCAACTGCCTATGCGTGCTGTGGAACTGTCCCATATGATCGCAGACAGAGGGTAGGAATAACAAAACAAATAGAAAAACAGAAAAAAAAATTAAACACGACTCCTAATATTGTTAACGTCACTTACATTCTCAAATTAAGGTTTTTTGTGAGAAGTAAAATTTCGTTGAGGTTCCTTACCTTTTTTACGCTGTCCGTATCAAAGTGATAGAGACTTCTCTTTTTCTTTGACATAGGTATGCTGTGGCTCAGTTCTTTATTCCAAGCCATGTTCGAATGTGGCAATGAGCTGTTGTGGTCTAACTCCATATTACCCATCAAATCAGTTGTGCTGTGCTCGACAGATCACCTACAGACCACCAGACATCAGATCCCCGCGCTGCTGTGGCCAGATGTCATATGACCCATCTAAACAGGTAACTACGGTAATACTAGCTACTTTGTCAGGACATGGTGAACATATGGGTTCGGGGATGAAATCGTGTCGTCAATACACGCAAATCTGGGGATTACGTGGACCTTTTTGACAAGGAAGGATGGAGTACTCATCAAAGATTTGATAAATTTTAGAACATCTTATTCATATTAATTTCCCCCCCTCCTATTTATTCCCTTAGAATTAAGAGGAGGAAGGGAAGAAGAAAGCTAAGAAGTCCATTAAAACAGTCGTTTTCAGCTCAATATCTCCCCTCTTTATCTTTTAGGGTTGCTGTGGTTTCTCTCGTGTTTTTACTTTCGCAACACACCAATGCTGTCCTGACCGCACAGTGCAGCCCAAGGGATGCTGTTACAATCGCAACGTGCAGGGTGCCAGGCCCCCTCCGGGCTGCCGACTTGTGGTTCAACCACCTGCATAACTGTTGTGATTAATGAGAAGTGTTCACACCGACACTTTTATCAAAAGGTTTATAGAGTAAAGTGTGATTTTTTTTTTGTTTGGTCTAAAAGTGAGTTGCTGTGACGGCATTTGATAGAAAATCCTTAACCAAAGAAAAGTATCTAATCAGTTATTTCAGGTGCGATGATACTTGCGGAGTAATTGTGCGTCGGCAAGATGCTGCTGCTCATAAAAAAGTTTTAGGACCTATTTTTCGTTCAAAATGTAGATCCTTTTAGAGTAATAGAGCAATAGATAATTTTCGAGGAAAATCCAATTAAAGGTCCCAAATAAAAGACATGCCCATGCGTTCGATGCTCTCTTTTGATATACTTTGAACAAAATACAAATTGCAATGTTAAATTCGAGTTGTTGGAATGGATCAACCTATTACCGTTCGGATTGTTGCGTCAGCAAATGACATCGCCAACTTAATTATCACCGGACACTGAGTGCTCCAAACAGTTTGCGTGGCGTTCATTTGCAAAGCTATTAAAACTTAGCCACAGGAAAAGGTTCGTTTCTGGCATAATAATCTAGGATAAATAGAGTTCAAATGACACAATGCTTTTAGTAGTTCATTAATTATCTTGCCGGAGGGAATACTTAAATAAAAAGGAATTTCAGATTCTAGAAAGCACAGGAAATGAATTCTGATCACCTCAGATCAGTTTCGGTTAAAGTGGTTAAATTGACATCGTCGGTAACATCAATTGGCAAAAATCATGATGTGCATTAGAAAAAACCGTTCTAATGATTAAACTTAAAAAACGCTAGGATCGAAGTGACTCTGCATAAATTTTTTTAAATCTCTTTCTCGTTTTTTTTTCAAACTTACTCTCTTTTCAAGAATTGGAAGTGTATACAAATGAAGACCACGATACACTTCGTTCATGTGGATGTTCAAAAAAGCTATGGTTTTGATCGCGCATTCAACTGAGCAAGCATGAAAAAGATTTCAAAATTCATTTTTGAAAAAAAGATAAAAATCCGGTATACAAGACGAGGAATACAGACGCATAATAATGACGCATTTGGAAACAGTGGAAAAATAAATTGGAATCCCACTTGAAGCGAGTCAATAAACCAGTTTGGTCATCATAAATATGGTTGGTCCAAAACAAATGACACTTGACAATGTGACAATACTATTGGAGTTTCTGATAATAATTTATTTCCTATTTTGTTACTGAATTATTTATTAAGAATCGCTATGACATAAAATTCATACAAACTTAATTGCTCTAAACGCCTCCCAAACGAGCTACAATCTTTCGTGACTTATCCAGTATTAGCCCGATAAATTTCGAATCGAAATTTTTCAGTTAAAAAATAAAATTCATCTCGTTTACTTCCTTTTAATGTTTCTCTAAAAAGGCCGTTCTCCAGGTGAATTTGTTTACACAGGCCCCTTTAAAAAAAAGCAACAACTGCTCCCTAAAAGCCTGAATAATTTCTGCTTCTGTCATATTTCACTTTCATTTTTATTAATTTTTTTTCACAATATGACGAAAAAATTTCATTTCTGCTCAACTCACCCTTTTACTTCAACAGAAGATTTACTATCACGCCTTGAATGATTTATCGACCTTTTTAAGGCTTTACGATAAGAAGGCAATCGCCACGCGTATATGAAGGCATCAAGCGCCACTTTGAGAAAGAGCAACAAATCTCGAACCCGTAAAGCCATGAAGGTGTAATATAATCCTTCCTCAGATAGAGCTACGTACAGCCAGACAAATTGAATAGCGATATGAGGTAAAGCTGAAATCAAAAGAATTGCTGCCAAATAAAACGTGACTATTACAAACTGCCGTTGAAGATTTTCCGATTTGCCCCTGACAGTTCCTTTCTGACTATCTGACTTTCTGTATGATCGCCTCCGCTGAACTTCCTGCGAGAAAACTCTGTATAATAAAATTAACGTTGTGAATAAAATGGTGGAAATCAATACAGGATGCAAGGCCAGATCTACCTTCAGGAACAATTGGTAATCAATGTTTGGTGTTAAAGACGGGACTAGCGTGAAAAAAATGAAGTACAACCAGCTTAATAGAACACTTACGATGACGCGATTTCGCGTGATTAAAACTTTGTACTTGTGTGGCCACTTAATGGCAATGTATTGCGATATCGACAGACCCAGGATTATTAAATACGAGGAGCTTATAGTTACAGTTGATATTGACTGTCCTATGTTGTAGAGTTTAGCAACCACTCTGGGAATAGGCTTGCCTCCACTCTGGAAATTCATGATGTGATAAACGGCGAAAAATGGTTCGGTCGACATGCCAGTTAAGAGGTCTGCAATAGCAAGACCTATCAAGAAGTAAGTTGTTGGTGATCTAAAGTTTTTCCCCGGGTCTTTCCATATCGCTATCAAGAGTAAAATGTTGGTGGAAACCGTTAAAACAGACAGAACTGGAAGGCAAATTCCCTCTGCGAGCTCAAACTTCATGTACAAATCCCTCAGATTGTTAAAGTTCACCGATAGACTTTCATTTGCGGCCATTCAAATGTTCTGTTCTTCGCTGCTTGCGAATAAGTCGTGTTGCCTGATTTCTTCGTTTTTTTTTTATTTGTTTGTTTGTTTTTCAATAGAGCTCGAATCTGAGCTTGATTTTTTATTCCACCGTAGATTTTTTTTGGCTGACAGAGCTGACCACAGTTCGAAGATGTTGGAGATTCAGTTGAATAATTACGTGTTCCAACACGGAACTTTTTCAAACGTTTCCTCCAGTCCGTCACGTTGTGTTCCTTGGTCTATACGCCCTGACCAAATACCTTTGAACGATCGCCAAGGCGAAATGAAACTATCACTGAAAACCTCTTTCTCTTTAGTTGATTGATTAGATGAGCAGCTTTCTGACAAATGCTTTGGAAACAGTGTGTTCATTCATTCGTTTGCTTTATCTGTTCTCTCCTGTTTACAAAACGAAGGAGTACGTCACGTTCGCGGACCAAATTGTGTCACTCCTCAAGGACAGCTCGACAGATTGTCTGTTTATATACACACTTCCCACTGGTGTTCGTAAATTGAATTTCCTGACGGGGAGCCAGTTATTACATTCGTCTCATTTGAAAGACAAAGACATAATTATTCGGCGTGTTCTTCACACTCCCAGGAATCGTGTGGTTTACCAAGATGTTCCTTCAATTTCTTCTTATATGCCTGTCTGTTTTATCTAATACATTAATCTTTCAACCAGCTTTTTTTTTGTCATTGAAATCAAGGTACTTGTGAGGATTTTAGCGGCAAACTTGACGAATAGATGCTTAGCGATTAGCAATGTAAGGATTTACCTATCAGTCTGGGTTGGTAGTAGGGCGAAATATTCCTCCCTACTCCAACTTGTTAAATATTCGAAAGCGTCTGTTCAAAGTAACACCTTTTCAGTTATTACTGCGAACAAATTAAAATGTATGAGGCGGTCCTGAAAAAAGCATTTAGAAACGCGCCTCCTAATTTTCAAACATTCACGGTTAGAACCCACAGAAAGCATCAAAATTACGTGGTTGAAGACAAAAACATGTGACTCCAAAACTTTGCCTTCCAGCAGTTCTAAGAAGAGTTTTAAACGACCTTTTAGTACAGTAAGAGGCATCTGTCAAAACTTACATTATTATGTTTTGAAAACAATGTCAGATATTCGCAGCAAGGAGGAACAATAATGTTTTTAAAACTGCGACCTGACTTTGCTAAGAATGACGCCTTAAACGTAGTATTAATAGCCGACATATTAAAATTTTTAATTTTGAAGAAAAGTTTATTTGCGTCGGTCGATCAATAGTCACGAGCTTAGCGCGGCAAGAAATTGTAAACGTTCATTACAATTTTTAAAAAGTTTATCCACACCAGCTGCCTGCTGTTTTTTTTTGTTTATCTTTCAGTGGCCACTCGGTACCTTGCTGTTTAAGTCAACCAAAGTTTTCTTTGATCCTATAATTAAATCTGCCTCAGGGGAAAAAGCAGGATTAGTGTTACGATTCTCTAATTTGAGAATAACAAATGTGCTTTAAAAAAAAATATATATATATATATATATATATATATATATATTTGTAATGAGAGGTGAACTGGAATTTTAAACCTATACGGACTGTTAGTACTGTTACATGACTGTTCTAAAAGTAATTATTATTCTCGTGTTTTATTGTCATTCTTAATTTCGCCCATTTGCGTGGGTTCTTTCTGATGCTGAAACGCTAAGCGGCTGGATACACGAAAAAACGAAGTTTCATACCGTTCCTAACCCGGAACATGATCCATGGCCTTAACAGGGAGACGGGAAACATTACATATATTTCAAAAATTTACTCGTTAACGTTTTTTTTTTCTCTTTTTTGTAAGTTTATAGTGCGGATTTCTGCCGATTTGATTGGAACCGTTAAAATTTTACTGAGGAAACATTGTGTCAGAAAATAATAAAAATATTTTATGTCCGTTAGCGTTACTTGGAAACTTAGCACCAACATTACAAATTTGATACATAAACTCAAGGGGTACTAACTATCGGGTAAAAACATATCAAGATATTCAGCACTGCCCAATGACACTTGTATCTTTTTTTTTAATATTTGGTTGCTGAGAGAACGTGGGCTTCTGATGTGATTTGTCTTTATTTAGCTTTTGCAAACAATATGCCGATCACGGATGAGCGGAAACATCATTTTCAAGCTGTGGAAGGAAGTCATTTTTTTGAAGAATGTAAACATATATCCAAATCAACTGTATATTAATAAACGTAGATCGAAAAGATGGAAGATTGTGGTCTAAATCTTGTAGTAAGAATAAAACTATTAAGGAGATCAACTAGATAAAACGACCAAAGCTTAAATCGAACAGAAGTAAAGAACCTAAGTTACGAAACAGAAGAGAAAAAAAGTAGCCACGCAAGCACATATTAACGCAATGCACAGATTTGCTATTGTTTGACAGATCATCACAGCCTGCTTTTTTCTGGAGACCGGATACTGCATGATCACGTATACAGAATATCCTCTTTTCGGCTCTTCATCCCATTTTCGATAGATTCAATCTAGCGAAAAGCGGATATAAATTATTTCTGATAAGTCCAACTGATATCCCTGACGATGAGTTTTTCGTTGAATTGATCAGTTGTTCATCGGCCGGCTTGTGTTCGATGTGGAGGCGCGGTTGCTTAGCGCGCTGAACCCCGGGTACGGGGGCACAAGAAATGGCCAGATCAATGTGTTGGGTTTTTGGGTAAAACAATTCACTCTTGCGGTGCGTCCCTTCACCCAGGAGTATGAATGGATACGGCTAACCGTCAAGGAAAGCTAATGAAATACCTAGGGGTAAGCTGAATGGACTAACATCCCATCCAGGGAGGAGTAGTATTACTCCTAGTTGCTTCTTGTTAATCAAACCAGGAAAAAATTCGGCTAGATGGGTCAGTTGGCTCGAGCGCAGACTTATCCCACCTACCTTGGTATCGGATCAGTCGACGTCAGTGATGGGCTTTCCACGAACTTGAAATGAGATTGTTTTTTCCTCTTATCAAATTCCTATCACCAAAAATTATTTGCATTTTCAGTATATCTTTTGTACCTCTTTCACTGTGTATGTGACCGTGACGACCGAGCCTGAACCAAGTCATCTTTTGTCGCAATTGAAGTAAAAGACCTTCATGGCCTACAGTGACAAAAGTAGTTGACACACCTTCCCCTCACTGGGCGGTCGACAACCCTTCACTCGACATACTTGACAGAAATCTTGTAATTAATCCCTAATAATCCCCCCCTCCCCCCAAACAATGTTGCTTGAAATATCTGACCATTTCGTAACACCCGGCAACGTTGATACGGGGGAGATACTTTAAACTTATAAAAAAATTCATGAAGTTCATCTATTTGAGCTGAGCGTGCCAAGACTTTTGCTACTCATTATGGCTCATCAACTATTTCTCCACATCTCATATAAAGTCAAATTGTAAAGCATTTGACTGAGCAAGGGGAACCTTGAATATGAACTAAACAAAATACGTGGATTGGCACTTTAATAATCATCTTCCACAAGAACTGCAAAATGCATAATTAATTAATTGTAGCAATGTTACGAAAAAGATTGCGAGATTAAAGCTTTGATTTCGTACTCTTTTATGAAAGTCTAGCCCAAGGTGTTAAGTACGCACATCTTGTGATTAACAGCTCAGATATTTTCATTTCTCATGTAAAAAATACTACTCATTAAATACACATTACACCTTAATCAATTACCTGTGAATAATCTGGATCAATGTCAATATCTGAGCAACTGCGTGCCTACCCCTCCCCACACCCAACAACAGTCAACTGCAGCTGACATCAAGTTGGGGTTAGGGGAGGGTAGGTGTGCAGTTGTTCAGACACCGATGTCGATCCAATAATCTTAATGACAATTATTTTCAACCAATGTAAGATTCCACAACACTGTTATTTACCACAACATGATAAACTAGGCGACTTCAAATAACTACAGCTGCTCGTAACCCTTTACACTCTAACATCAGTATGCATATTCTCCATACTGTTCTCTATACATTTCCTAAGGTGCTGACGAGGAGAATTAGCTTAACGATTCAGAACTTCTGTGGTTGTTGATTATTTTCATCATTCTCATGACCTTAGTATTTGATTCAGGGGTGATATTGTAAGGAGAACTTAGATGCTTGTCACTAATCTAAGATACAAATATGATGCGAGGTGTAGGTGTTAATTTTGTTAATTTATGTAACGTATTTCTGGTGTCTTATGAAGAGCCACAGCGTTAGAGAGGATTCAAGTTTCCTATGAAGAGCCACAGCGTTAGAGAGGATTCAAGTTATCAAAGCCAAGAGCTAATCTAATGTGTGCAAAAGTTACATTTTGATAATAAGGCTGAGTTTGTGACAGTTGAAGTAGATCCTTAGAGATTCATTCAGATTGTAATAACTCTTTAAAATACTATCTTTTCTTTTTTCCTTTATCAGCCAAGCTAACCCTTTTTAATTTACTCGTTTTAAAATTGGCACCTCTACTATTCGCATTTAGTATGTTCCAAAACTGAACGGGACGGAAGCTTCGGGTCGTGGAACGCACGTGATCATTCCTTAATACGTAATTGAACCTTGCGTACCTTACCGCTGACCGCTGCTTATAGTACTATCACTTCTGTCAATTTTTAGAGAAAATTTCAGAAAAAAAAGCAATAAGAAAAGACAATGATTTCTATTACAATAGATATGGAAATGTTTAAAAACTACCTCTATAACAATGCGGTTTTGATTACACACGAGTTTTCAACTGCTGCGAGCCAAGACTGTTTTTTTTTTTTTTTTTTTAATTTTGCCAAGCATTACCTTAAAATTGTAAAAAATAAACAGCTAGATTACAATGTTCTAAAAAATTTCCTCTTAATAAGTAATCGATAGAGAATATCATTAAAGGAGCAAGATTTTAAGAAACTTCCCCAATACTCGTTAATCCTGTTTTTCCGACCTGGATGAAACAGAAGAGGCTTCGTCTTTGTTGGAATCATCTTCGTTCTCTTTCTCCACGATGTCCTTAGCTCGTGTGTCGTGATGTTTTTTGAGCCAAATCAGCCACTTGCTTGGGTTACCCGTCAAGAACGTGCTCTTCAGAGGACTGGGAATAGAGCCTCGTACCTGTGTGATTATTGTGATTTTCGAGGATCTGGTAGCATCGTGATAAGGGCGGATAATGGCCCCACAGATACCTGTCTCCAGTCTAAAGAGGGAACGCAATCGAATGGATGTGTCAAAAACAGGTGGTTTGGGAACGTAACTTACTAGCCCATACCTAACTATTCTTTGCAATGGAAAACAGAATCTGCAAGTATTATCAATATAAGCTCCTGTAGATTCAAGGCGGGGAAACTTGTTATTAGCGATGGAAACAAAATGGCAAGTGCTTCTTATTAAAAAACTTCAACCAATCAATGAATTATTCATCTTCTAAATATAAGAACGGAATTCTTGAGCAAATCAACAAATTACCAGTACCATTACCTCATTACATTGAGCTTGTTATCCTCCCCAGGAACACTCGGATGGGTGCCTCCTTTCCAAGCGCATGCGTGGTACGGTTCTTCATCTTCTCGATCTAAGGTGGCCAACACTACACATCGATGTTTCTTCTTCTGATAGCTATGAATAAACAAGTGTGGTGAGAACATAAAGTAAAAAAAAGACATTATTTGAATATTAATACCCCCTTTCCATTTTTTTTTTCAGTTCAGCAGATTGAATTTACCTCCCATTAGGCTCTTAAACTCACCATTTCAAGACTTTAAAGTCCGCCATCTGATCCAGAAATGAGACACCGTCAAATGTTTTGTCCCACTTGGTCCGTTCATCCCAGTCAGAAACTAAGTCAATAGCTAAAAGGAAATGTTTGAGTAACAGTTAGCAATGGATGCTCAAACTCTAAACTCCAGAAAAAAAATTGATAGTATTTTCAACAGGATTAAAGATTTTAGATATATGAAAATTCACATATTTGCATAGGACCTGAAAAAAAAATCAGGCCCGTACGGGATTTGAACCCATGACCTCTGCGATACCGGTGCAGCGCTCTACCAATTGAGCTAACAAGCCAACTGGGAGCTGGTTTTTTTCAGGTCCTATTTACAACTACTCGTTTCAGTAGTGTTCTTAGCTGCGAGGATCTCCTAATTTCATTCAACAGGATTGTTCTCGCTAGTATAATCAATAAATGCGTCCAACTTCAGAGGATTCCCAAGTCCTCTGTTCGAGAAAAGTGAATACAGAGCGAAAATCACATGGGCGTGCGCAAATATTGTATTTCTCTTCGAGTTAAACACAAGAGGAGAAATTCTATATCTACAAGAAAACCATAGGCCCTTACTGACAAGAAAACTCGACAAACGACCTTGAATTGAGAATAATGAAAGCTTTTCCATTCATTCATCAACCCGACAGAGTGGGTAAAAGGCGAGTGACGTGTCCGCAGCTGATTGGCGATATCAAACACATAAAATTTAACGTAATTTTTCACGTATGCAGTTTCGGCCTTTCTCAGGACTAGTAATCCTTGTCGAACACAACAGCTTATATAATAAAAGTGTTTGTAACACGTTACACACCGTCTCTGTACGGAATATCCTTTAAGACCATCACTGCCTGTAAAATTAAAAGAAATAAATCATTATGACGTTCATTGTCATTAACAAAAAGCTCAAACCTGAATGATTTTTATCAGCCTCTATTTATCCATTAATTACTGTAACAGAACCAAACTCTAAAACTTAGTGAAGTTTTATGAACCCAGGATTAACATCTAGCGATACTCAAAAAGTTACAATTATGACGGTTACCTTGGTAACAGGCGGACTGCCTCGCTCCAGCCCTTTGCGTGAATAGACCTCCAACTCTCCAGATTTTTTCACACGTTTCCAAGATTTCAAGCCCTCGTTCTCTATGCTCAGCAGTCGATCTATGTCAGAGTCTTCGATGGGATTTGTGGGTGAATAAAGATGAGGCAAACTTCCCATGTCCAGCCCTCCGTACCAGCTGGGAAATGGTCTCAACGTACCGTCATTTTCTTCATATTTGTCGAAAAAGCTCATCTCTGAAAGTAATAACACGACATGAGTCAGAATTTTTACATATTTATTTGGTATTCAGACTTCACCAAAGAGACAATGATTCATGCTTACCATGGGTGAGTCAGTAAGAAATCTGATGAAATACTTTCTTGAATACTAATATAATACAATAATGGGATGGAACGGCTAAATAAGTGATTTCCAGCTGGCTACAAGAATTCTCAAAACGCCCTTAAATGTGGTACAAGATTTCCAAATATCAAAAGTCTTGCAACACTAACCAATAAAATTAGTTGTACAATACCATTACGACGAAAGAAGGGTTAGGATTATTGACGCCCCTTGGACGACGATGAAATAAGTTTATAGCGTACCTACTGCCTCCTGAACGGAAGGATCTGTGGGCAGAAGGTGATCGCAGTGAGGCTGAGATCTGTATGGCACTACCTCTTCTTTTAAAGACAACTGAGAAACAGTTCTTATATGTCTCTCAGATGCGTACATGTTGCTGCTGCGGATGATGGGGACTTGTCTTGAATCCTTCAACAAAACAGAATGAAGAACAAATCAGAAACGAGTGTGCTGTTAGAATGTCCCTTATTCACACCAACATATCACCCACTTTAAGATTCTTAGTTTATGAAAACGTCAAGAAGATAATGAAACGCGCATCCCCACCAACCCTCCCTGCATACTGCTCCCTCTTCCCCTAAAACACCTCCCGATCAAAACTCATGTAGTTAATAAACTACTGTACTATAATTTCCGTTCCATTCCCACCAAATTGCTTTGCTGGTTCGCTTGTTTCCGTGAGAGAAATGATCTGACGGCCACGACGAAAGATCGCATGTCTGGGAGGAGTGGGGGGGAAGATTTACCATTTACCTTGTAATCAAAACTGCGGCTCCTCTGTATAGTTTTCGTAGACACGGTGTTGACCGTTACACTGTATCTGCTGCTGGGCGACTCATCTTCGAAAACATCAGGAGGCTCGCTCTGAATTGGAAGACTTGTTGTCGATACGAATGATTCATTCACTGTTGAAAACAAAGGATTGTTCTGTTATCGTCAATTGGCGCAAGTACGTGAAACTAGATTCCCTATCGTCAACTAGGCTCATAATAAGAAATCGCTTTGGCTGTGAGTTGGCTTCTCGACCATCGATTCCCGTTTTTCAAGTCTTCAGTAAAGAATTTAGTGTTGATTTTTTCAAAAAATTTGTGAATATTTTAGTGTTCGCTCTTTAGAGATTGGTCATACTTAGGAATAAGGAGAGCTGACCAATCGCTTCTTTTCTCCACACCCCTCCAACCTTAAACCCTCCAACGACAAGTTTGAATATCGCTCCCATGTAAGACAGATATCACTAAGCTTAGATAGAGGAGTACCAAAAAGGAAGGAGTATTGTTAGCTAAAGTACCACTGTCCCGAGATTGTTATGGGTCCTTGACAGTGGTAACAATAGGTTTACCTGGTACTTCTGTTCTCTCGCCATTTATAAACATCCATTTGGTTTCAAAACTTCTGCTGTCTCTCTTTTTCCTTTCCCTGTCTTTAATTGAAGACCTCTCTTCTCTTCTTCGTATGTCTTCTTCACTTTTTTGTCGGTAAATCTCTCCACTCCTTCTTCGTTCCATTTGCTTCAGTTTCCACCTTTCCCTCTCTTCACGTCGCCTTCGTTCCTCTTCTGCTCGCTCTCTTTCTTCTTCCTCAATCCGCTTCCGTTCAATGTCATCGAGCTTCTTCTTTTCTTCCTCTTCAAATTTCTTTCGCTCAATACTACGGCGCTTAAGCTTCTTGCTCTCCAACTGTTTACGCCTTTCTTCATCTTCACGTTGCTTTCTTTCTTCCAGTTCGCGTTTCCAGATTCGTTCTTCCTCCTCTCGTTTCTTCCTTTCCTCTTCTAATCGTTTCCTTCTTTCATCGAGCGCTTTGAGTCGACGTTCTTCTTCTTCTCGATGCTTATGTTCCGCTTCTTCTCTCTTCTGTTTCTCTTCGGCCTCTTTCTGTAACCTTGATTCCTCCCGACGCCTCTCTTTCTCTTCTTCCTGTTGTCTCTGTCTGCTTTCTTCCTCTTGCCTTGCCCGTTCTTCGTCTTCTTTCCTCTTCCTTTCAGCTTCTTCTTGTCTTTTCTTAGCTTCTTCCTCTCTGAGCAAGCGATCCTGTTCAATTTTCTGCATTCTCCACTCAATCCTTCGCTTTTCCTCCTCGGGGTCCCCTCCAGGGACTAACTGAATGGTTGCCACAGACACTTTGGTTACGGTTTCTGGTCTCTCTTGCCTTAAAACTCTAATCTCCGATTTAAATTCTTTTTCTGCTTCTACCTCTTCAATTTCCTTCTCCAACAACTTTTTTCTTTCCTCTTCAAGGCGTTTTCGTTCTTCGTCTCTGAATCGTTTCATTTCTTCCTCAACTTTGCGTGGGGTTTCAACCCTTTTGATCCATCCTTCCTCTATCTTTTTTTTCTCATCTTGTCGATTTTTATTGTCTACGGCGTCCTTCTTTTCAGGAATGAAAACTTCAGTCCTGCTATTCCATTTTGCTTGCCTTTCTTTTCTTTGTTCTTCCAGCTTCTTCATCTCTTCATCCATACGTTTTTTCCTTTCTTCCTCCCGTTTCTTTCTCTCCTCCTCTCTCGCTTTTTTCAATTCCTCTTCTCGTTTCCGCTTCTCTTCAGCTCGTCTTCTCCTTCCTTCCTCTAACACAGCTTCCAATTCTTTATCTCGTTTTTTCCTCTCCTCTTCCCATTTTCGATGTTCCTCTTCCCATTTAACTCTTTCTTCTTCACGCTTTCGCCTGATTTCTTCTTCCTGTTTTCGTCTCTCTTCGTCTCTCTTTTTCCTCGCCTCCTCTTCAGCTAACCGTCTTTCCTCTCTCTCTCTCTTCCTCCGTTCTTCGTCTTCATTCAGTATCGCACTAAGCGCTTCCATTCGTTTTCGATGCTCTTCATCGATTCTGCTGTATTCTTTTGTTACCCGTTCGTTTCTGTCCTCCTCAATGTTATTCATTTGTGGTGGTACATCTTGTCCATCAGGTTTTTCTCGCCGCTCTAATGCTCTTTCTTCATTGAGAACCAACTGGATTCGCGCCTCAGCTTCCCTTCGTTCTTTCTCATCCATATCTCCGCTGGATGGCTTTCTCTTAACTTCTTCTTGCTCAATAATCAGTTGAATTTCTTCCAATCTGTTCTGTTGATCTTCTTCAATTCGCTGCCTTTCCTTTGCCTCTCGGATTATCTGTTTCTCTTGTTCCTTCAGCGAGTCGTCGTCTGGCTCGCCATTCTCCTCAACACGTGTCTCAACAGTTGTATACAAAACTTTCTCTGTGAAATAAAGTGATTTGCATGAGTGATAACCAATGAGCACAAGACGCGCGAAACAAATCACCTGTCGCCACCAAATGGCGGGAAACTAAACGTTGAAAGGTTATCTGGAACGCTCGCAAGGCTCCGAATCATATAAAAAGATATATTCTTTTGTACATAAAGGTGCTATAGATTAGAGCTACGTTTCGCTAAAGTTTTAATTTTGTCTGGCCGGGAAGTTTAAGTCGAAAGACCTCCTCTGTGACCCCCTCACAGTTTGAAGACTGGCGTCGGGTACCCAAAAGAAAGTATTGGAGCCTGAATGAATTGAGATTCATCAAGGGGCGTTTCATGTCTAAGACGAACAAATATAACATCCATAGCAACGAAATATTGTGATCTTTGTTCCGATAATAATCATATCGAAATGCAAATTTTAGACATATTTGTCGCTTAAAGCCATTCGAACTACGATACACAGTAACTGAGCGAAATTTTTTATTGATCTGAGTAGTCAAAACAATAATATTCAAATCGAATGGGATTACAATCTTATTTCCTTGCAAATCATTCAGTAAAAATCCCTCGCTTACCTACAACATAACTTCCATCATCATCGGACTGAGTTGTTTGAAATCCGTCTGGGAAAGAAAGAAAGAAATTAATAGAAATGTGTTCTCAACTATATAAATACAAAACATCGGGAATGAGTGAGATTACTACAAGAAAAATAAAAAATCTCACACGAATAAACTGAAAATTTGCTGAAAAAAAAAAAACGAAACAAAATCGGCACCTTCAAAATTTAGCGATATATCACTCGTTTAACATGAAAATGTTGCCTCAGAATGGGTAAATTCGATATGAATCTGTCAATTCAGTCATACACTCTTCAAGTCTCTTGGTTACAATTACAATGAAGTCAAGTTATACCGAAAATATTTAAACTGTAGTAGCTCTTACAAATGATGTGACTCACCACTCAAAATCAAGAACAGAAGCTTTGTATACCTCGTTTATGCTTTTCGAAAGTGAATTTTTTGAAAAGCAATTTTCAAAAGACTCGAACCGTTTTCAAAATCTGATCATATAAAAGACAAGGAAAAACTCTCCGCCTAAAAGATGTACTCACCCAAATTGAACTAAATGTTCAAATGCTAAGAATATGAATATTTCGATCTAGAAATTTTCCCCAGAATGATCAAGAAAGTCGAACTTTGTGAATAGAAAAATTATCTGCTAAGTAACCGCGCCTTGTTATTGTCAAAACAGGTGGCAGTGAGATGGCCGTAGAAGGAAATATTGTGACCGATCCTATAAAATACTAATTATACAGGACTCACAATACAAGTGTGGGAGTTACTTTTCTTCGATTCCGCAAAGGTGCATAGTTAATATTTTCATTGCTAGCCGTTCGGAGCGTAAATATTACATTTTTTCTAAGAACTGCCTAGCAATATGGACATTATAAGTAAAGACCCCACAGTCGAACATAATATAACAATGGTCTCTTATTATCACTTGTTTTGACGCCGAGAAACAGTTGAATATTCTGTTTCCTCCAGTGCTACGTGCAGCTACTTTCTTTTTTGACCTGGATCACATTACAAGCACGTGCTAATAGTTTATCAAACAGATCATTCAGTTTGTGACCAAGTTTTTTGCTTGCGAAAGAGCTTGTTGAAAGGACTACAATCTACAAATGTGATGTTCTTTGTAAGCTTATCGAAAAGAGGAACATGTAAATTTATCAATAAAACGTTTCTGGAGAGTATTTTTCTTTTCAATTATTTTGTAGATCATCACCGCGACAGGGACATTTTCTCTATCATTTTTCATCTCCTCAGATAAAACTACCTGTATCCAAATGTAAACATGGAGCTAAGCTTTAAATCCCAGCTTTTATTAAGCATTTCAAGCCGAACACTTACCGAGCAATCACAGCGGGTGATTAAAAATACAAAAAAATTTGATGTAAACAAATGATTCCATCATAAAAGACCAAGCTTGCCGAATCTAACCCATAACAATACTTGTTTTCGTGAAACCGCTTCTATTTTCTTCCTTTTAACCCGCCCAATTGTAAATTGTTTGAACTCGTACTCTATTTGCAACATTCTGTTTATTTGAATATAGTGCATTTTCTAACTCTGATTTTAAAATTCACCCTCAATTCACCCTGATCTGCAATCATCGGCAAGAAGTAGTTTGTTGTAACGTTTGAGTCCGAACAGAACTAGACACTAATAAGTCAAGTCGTTGAACCATCAAAGGGAAACTTATTTACTCCTAATCCGTCCGATAGGAAACGCATTTCACGCCGATTTGCTGTGTATGAACTTTACAGGGTTAGGCTTATTATAATTAATTCTTTACGATGTTTCCGTTCTTTCTCCCTATAAAACTGCTTATAATTTAGTTACTGAGTACAATCATGAGTAACTGAGGGAACCACGATGTAGATCTCACCTCCTATGTTGAGTGCAGCTCCATACAATTCGACTCTCATGCATGGCCAGCAATACCAGTCGACTGGGCAAAACCTCACGTATCGAGTGATGATCTCTTTGTCCAATTCCTTCTTGTTTACGCCCCAGTTATTGGAGTTTCCGTCGATGGTCTTTAAAAACGAACGACACAAAGTTAAACCCTGATCAATGATCTGCTTTGATTATAAATTCAACTGACGGCGTGGCTTGGTTGTTCTCATGCAATTTAATTCTGTGAATGAACAATAGGATTAAATCACAGACAACAATTCGGGCGATGAAAAGTCCCAGTATGCAAATTAGCCATGCGCTTGCTGTTGGCTTTCAAACACGGAATTATCAAGCGGATCAGTTGTGTCTATTGTTCTTGGACAAACTTTTCCTCTTACTGAATTTTCACCTTCAAGTAAATCTCTTGTCATGGCAAGAAAGATCCAAGAAATGGTTTCAAACCGTCATTTAGAATACCTGGTTGAAAATAAATCATTAACGAAAGGTCACGGTTTTTTCCAAACGCTGTTCACGGTCAATTATTGTCAGTGTCGAGAAAATGACCACCGCAGTAGTACATTATAATGTCACCCAACGCTCTTCAACTTTAAGATTGATTTTTACAAAGAAAGTGAAAGAAAACAGAGAAAGAACTTACATCGTTTCCATTCTCCTCATACGTATCCCAGCTCTCGCCGTCTGAGGAGGAGAGAAGTTTATATCGTTTGACGTAATCTCTGTTTCCCCCTGGATTTCCCTGTGTTGCTACACCACAAAGCAAATGAAGGCTTCCAAGATCAACCTAATTCAAGGAAATAGAGAGATAAATTAATAAACAGATGAGTTTCAAACAGTTAAAAGATTTAGAGACCGAGAGAAACACAGACAGCCCAAGGAAATGAAGGCTCGTGGAAAAGACCTCCTCCCCCAGGATGTTAGCTATGTAGGAACATTTATTTGTTATCATTTTGGTAATAATTTAATTACAAATAAACTTTACATTCTCTTGTTCCATAATAAGTTGAATCTACGAAGTTAGGTGATGAAGTAAAAATTGCGCTCTTCGTCTTGAAAACCACTCAATTGTCAACAATTCCTCAAGTTTATTAAGGTTAACACAGATAACAAAACGGTGATATTTCGCCCTAAGAAACATATACATCTTTTGACGTCAGAGGTTTCAATCTCGGTAAGGTCTAAAAATTTTCTTAAACCTCTCACAAGAGAACACCAGTATTTTCCCTAGATTGGTCAAATTTTCTGAGAGACTCATGTGTGGCAGACTGAAAACAATATTTTTTACAGATTCTTACTTGCAAATAGCAGTCGGTTGCTTTTCCAGCGCACCAGGCCGAAGGCCCGTTTAAACGGGCTAAATGTGGAGGCGCGTGGCCTGAGAATGTGGAAGCAGTGAGACAGTTATCCGCTATAGCTCCATTTTCCACTCCAAGAGGCTCACCTCCTGAAAACATAGAGGAAGAAATTAAAGAAAGAAGGAGAGGGAAGAATAAACAGCGGAACAAGAGTCGTTAAATTAATTAAAATACTCCATTAGGGTGTTCTGGTGTTATAGCCACAAAGACACAAAAATGTTTATTTTTGATGATCCTACAAATAACTGAGCCCCATATCCTTTAAAGATAGTTAAAAAAAATAAAAGTATTCATTTCTGAATAAATAAACTCGAGTCATGTTTACTAATTGGTATAATGATTTCATTGTATGCCAATATACTCGCACTGGTGCAGAAAATTTGCATCTGAATTACAAAAAACTCTACAAGATTATATTTCCCCTTTTTTTTTCCAAAGGCAAACAGAAACTGTCGGTTTCATTTGAAAGACAAGATATGAAGAATCCAATTGTTTGCTGCAATTTTGCAACTCGAATCAAACCTAAAAGACAAGGGTTAAAAATACGTGACAATTTTGAGTCATCATGATATGAGTTTCAATTTTTGCTCTGTTGCCAAGAAGTTATATATGTTAAGATTTTAATGTGGCAAAATTCCAACGTTATAAACTTTAAATAAGGAGCGAAAGTTGCATGTTTTAAACCATTGCCATTCGAATTACCACAGCTCGTACCTCTCGATGCAATTTTTAATCCCTCTAAAGAAAATTCTAATTTTAACATTTATTTCATTACTAAGACCTTCCTAACTTCTTTAAGTGGATTAAATGAACTCTTAAAAAATATGAACAGCATGATGCTGTTGAAATGGGGAATTGTTGTTCTTTCAACGGTATCACGGTAAATGATTTCTCTGTTTGTTCCACGTATTGCCTGGTTCTTTCGTTTCAATGAGGCGTTATTTTCAAAGAAGGAACAAGTTTGTCGTGTTTGAATCGACTTGCCGATAATAGATTTAGGAGATATCGCAAAACATAATCACTAACTTCAGCATGGTAATGTACTCTGGTGGTTTTCAGTGTAAAAGAGTGATGGAACATATATTTTGATTAATACTACAATATTACACTGACAAAACATAAAAATTTGAAAAGGAATATCAAAACACAAAAACGGCTGAAGATTACGATGAACGACGAATCTGGCTCATTAAAGAGTTACTCTGACCGCAAAATATTCAGTTGAGGAGAGAACTCACCTGGAATGGTTTCTACCGTGTACGATGTTTCTACGACTGTGCCCATGGCTCTTTCTATCAGAAAATATAAGTTTGACAATAGTAATCAGCCAGCCAACGAGAAAGCTTTAAAATAAATCAACTATCAGTGGAACATTTATAGCAAAAATGAAACAAACCTGAAAACGATGCACTATGAACACAGACCCAAACAGTAATTATTTGAATTTTAACAACGATTTGACTTTCTGGCTCGGCGCCGATTTTCGATCGTCACTGTCACCTGACGTACTTGAAATACTGTTTTTAAAACATTAATTTATTTTAGAGCACCGCAAATTTCTCATGTTTTCCTGTGTTATGGTGCATTTTTAGTCAATTTATTCTAGAACTGTACACAACAAGCCTACCCCTTATTAAATTCTCACAGACTTTAACCTCCGCCGGAAACAAGTCATAACAAATGCGAAACAGTCATAAACACGCCGGTATGACCTCGCTGACAACAAGATCTTGTGATGGGAAAAAATCAATTTCTGAAAACTAATTATCAGGAAAAAAAATGAACCCAAATTTCCATTAATGTCTGTGATAATTAACTCCCAGGAACTTTCTCGTGAAATTTTAAAAATCGGGGTCCAGTTTATTCCCAGGAGGCCAATAAGCTACAGAAGGTGCACCTTAGAATACAACTTTATTTTATAAGTACCAGTTCTTTTAATTTTTAATCAGATCTCTTTGTTCTTCGTTTTCTGAAGACCGTAAAAAGTTTCTCAAACAAAACAATAATGGTTTCCAATCAAGCGCGTTAAATATCTGAATATTATCGGAATTATATGACGCTAGGCATGTAGAGAGTGCTAGAAATCAGAACAGTCCTACAGTCAGACCATTTTGATATGCTAGATTAATTTAAGCTGAAAATCTTTAATCTTCTCATGTCACAGGAGATCAACATTTTTATTTCAGACTAAAAATTCATTAAAGCCCAAATATACAAGTTCTAACTGAATAGCGAAATTGATATTTACGAACAGAATGCAAGTAAAAATTCAGTTTAACCTCATTGACCTCTCAGAAATTCAGAAGCGAGACGAACGTGTAAAGATAATTCGTTTGCTTCAGAAAGCGCTATTATTAGTTTTCAAAAGAAAATGGGACTTTGTAGTTGTTCAATTGGCGTGTTTTCTAAATCATGGGCGTTTACACTTATATAAGAGCAGACATGGTCAAATGATCAACTACAAAGAACGTTCGTGATCGAGGCACTTTGAATTCATGTCCTTAAATCATCTTTCAAATATCATCATATTATCGACACTTTCCAGCATTTATACGCTAAATTTCGACTAAATTCCCCAAATCATTCCGCAAAGTTATAACGTTACAATTAAGCACCAATTTAAATGTCACACGTCGAACAATAACTAATGTTTTGGAACCAAGAATTCCCTGATATGTTGTTTATGGACTCTTTCCGCTTCATTCATTATGTGGTTTTGGAAACTCCACTTCTTTACCTGCTGAGATTTCTAAACGCAGCCTATAGTCAGCTCAAATATTTACCAGCCTGAAGTATGTACCTCCTCTTTATATTTACCTTTTTGTCCAAAATGTACATTGCAGGAAACCAACTTCGCGCGCACGCGAGGTAGAAGTTAAAACACGAACCACCCTCACGCGAATACAAACGATTTTGATTTCGGTTTTCACTGAATACCTCGCTTGAAATACAAAATCGCTTGCATTTTATCCCTCAAATTGAGAATTTTATCATCCTACCTTGCCCAGGCTCGAAGAAAGTGATGCCTTCGCGAACACCAGGCAGAAGACAGCGACAATACCTCTTTGCGTGATGCGCGTCCTCCTCGGAATTCTGGGATGGAATGTGCTTGTTTCTCTTTGTGATAAAAATGATATGCCTCACAGATTAAGATTGTTTATGAGATATTAAGCTCGAACCTGTCGGGGCTTAGGCATGATTAAGATGTTTATCATAGTGCGTTGTATAGACAGATGACTAGTTGTCGTATTCTTTTTGAGAAACTTTACGAAAAGTGCAACACATACAAGCCGCGATGATTATTAAAAATAATCACGGCACTTTGATGTGGTTATCATGAGCCCATGCGCGCATTCGAAAGCAACATGCCGAAAAAGTTCAAGTCACACGTGACAAAAGAACTTCGTTTTTAATGACTGGTGAAAAAAGTCTACAACAGCCACGTGTACGCTGCTCCTCTGCATAAGTTACCCTTGAACAGCCATTTGAATTGTTCAACTTGAATGCTCTCGTGGACTTGATGTTTTGTTTACATGTTTCGGACTCATATCCGTTGGGCGGGTTTCCGATCGATTAGAGTAACCCCGAGAGCCATCAATCTTATGGATGCTAAAATATTTCCATAGCGCCTTCTTTTATAAACTAAGACACTCCGTTTATGTTAGTCTTGCGGTTGTTCATTTGAAATAAAGCAACGCAAGATCTTGAAAGAAATCCTCTGCTCATCGAATTCTGGCTTTTTACGGATGAAACTTCACACAAGGGGAAGATGTGGAGAAAGATGGGAGGTAGGCTTTTTGTCACTTCGAGTAAATCTTCGTTGGGGTTTTAATCGTGAGCATTTGACCTTTCTTTTCATTTCTGCTTGTTCCAGCTTATACAGGTGCAGTCAAAACAAGACTGAGGCCACAGTTGTGTCACGCGCTCCTAGGCCAAGGCTTAGTAGATGAAGTTCTGATTTGTGATTGCCTGTTCCAGGCAATAAGACTAGAGGGACAAGCGAAAATGGAGGGTCACAAACATTCTTCCAAAGATTTCCACGCGCTGGCCTTTTTGTTGGTCGGGACAATAATCACATAGAGCCGAGAACAAGTTTGTGGTACAGTCTTGGAAGTCGTAGGATGAAAAGCAACATGCTGAGTTATTTCAAAATGCCACTGATTGGTTAATTCAAACTTGTTCCAATGTGCTCCTTCTTAAATCCATTCATCAATTTTGAGAATGGAACGGTGTACGTCTCGAAACTTTATTACAGTTTCGACCTTCACATCACACCTTGACACCTGCCACGCATTACACATCGCACGTGACGAAAAACAAAAATATAAGGTTTTTAAAATCTCCTTTCGTATTTTAATAAACAACCCTCAAAGTAGACTGTTTTATTTTATCCCAGCAGTTGAGCTTATAATAACAGCGAATAAAAGTCAAGTATAACAAGATAGAAGGTGAATCAGATAGCTAAATCTAATGTACAGTTTTAAGTTTAACAAATCTAGACATCGTCAGTAAAAGAGCAAAATGTCAACTCTGTAACCTTTAAGAAAACTTTAATTAGACTAAATAGTATATTAAAAAGGCCATAAATTGCTGGAATCGTCACATCGCAGAGATTGCTTACAAGGATGAATATCAATTACAATGATCTTTGGAAGGAAGACTGCAAATGCTGCGTAAAAAAACAGGTTCCTATTCAACAAGATTTAAAACACTTTGGACAGTTTAGGATGAGACCAAGTGTCTTTCGGACTGCCTTTCTGATATAAAACAGTTTTCATCACAAAATGCACCACAACACGGAAATCGCAAGTTGGGATCAATTTCGATTTCGCACCTGCTTCGTTTAAAAGAAAAACTTGTGGAGATTGGCCTAAACGTGTCAAGTGGTTTCATAGGGTCAAAGTTCCACGGCAAGTAACAATTCAAAAGACATTTAACCCTTCAACTCCCAACACCTGACTGTTACTTCTCCCCTCTAGCTATCATACATTTCCTCATGTATTAGTTACGAGAATTTGGTGTTAGATCAAGAAAACAACGTTGATGCTAACAACGTAAACCTGTTTGATATCAAATGTGTGGATATCAAAATGAGAAGTTACATGCAAATTACCTCTGGGAGTTAGAGATTCATAACTCTTCGTCAAACCAACGCCATTACAAGTAAATGGTTAATCTTAACCAAGTTAAACGAATTGTTCATTCAATGATTTCTAATTAAAGTTTACAATCTGACACTCTCAGAATTAGTTAACTGTAAAATGTACAACATCTTGCGAAGGAAAGTTAAACTTTGACTTCTGGCTGGGAAATATCGCCATATATATGTGCATGTCATATACACTTGTTTACTTTTCATCATGGACACTCCAGATTTCTATGGAGTACCAGATTTGGCAGTAATGCCGAAACTTTTGGAATATGTGAAAAATTCAAGGTGAGAATAAAACCAAGGCATTATTAAGCTCGAAATTTGCTTTTTTTTCTCAAGTCTGATCTTCGATCGTTAAAAGGAAGGAACAGCATGAGCTCATTTCCCGAACCGCATTTGGTAATCGAGACCACGAGACAGAATGACCAATTATTTTTGGATCAAAGTATTTGGTTGCACGTGGTGTTCACGTGACGAAATTTCGCGACATGAGTTCGGTTAATTCTTGATTCCCCGTGTTATCTCCGAAAACGGAAGAGATGTAAAGTGACTCGAAAGGGAATAGCTTACAAATAAAATCTTTATTGAGGATTTCCGATTAAATCGCTTGACCCCTAACCGCACGAAAACTAAGACCTAAAAAGATTTGTTCCCTTAAAAATATTCTACACTATTTACTACTGCCACGGTGAGATTAGTCAATAGGAATTGATGACACAGATACTCTGACCCTCAATATCAGTACTGACTTCTGAACTCTGAAGAAGGAAAAAAAACCCCAACAAAGCAAGAAAGTACACTGCAACATAACTGCAAAAAATGTTTTGAACAAGTTATGTAATGAGGTACCAAAAAAAGGGAAAGCAAGCAAATAAAATTACTAGATTTCACATACTATGTGATCTAAGTCCACATAAGAAAAAAAAACACATACTCATCCATTAATCAACATTTCTTATACTGTAGCTCCAACCCAGAGTACATGTCAAATACTCTCAAAATATTCATAACTTAATAAGTATTCAAATATTCCTGAAGCCTGATCATCAATGAGAATAATTTATACAACTACGTTTGGGGACTTCTATCCTTCTTTCTACGATACAGTTGACCAATCATCCACTTGATTAGTTGGACTGTTATTAATTAAAAATTAAACCTAATAACTAACTTAATTTTAACTTTACTTTAAAACGTAACAATACATTTACATCCCAATTGAAACTAGTTGTTCTCACAGTAAGATACCACAGTAACATTAAAATATACTGCAAAGAAAATAAATATAACTACAAATACCTGGCCTAGCTTGCCATTAATTTCAATCTAGTAAGTATAATTAGTCGTCTGTGACAAAATTAATACTTCCCGTGGATGACTTGGTCTTGCGAGTGCTGATAAATGGACTCATCTTGATGTCTTTCTCACTGCCACTCAAACTCAAATTCAAGTCTGCATCAGTTTGGCATTTCAGATAAAACTTCCTCATCAGCTGCATTCGTTTCACAGGGCTACAGGCCAAATAACTGTTCTTGATGAATTGAGGAGCTGAACCCATGAGTTTCATCTGTGTAATGACAGTGACAGTAGAAGATGTTGAACCATCATCCACTGGACGGATTATTGTGCCTGACAGGATGGTCTCAGCCCTAAATAATGAAGAGAAATACTTCAAAGTTAATTTTTAAGGGAGTAAGTTTATAAAAGAAACTGTGGTGCTGCTTTAGTGCAAGAGTGTAACAAGGTAATTTGGTATTATCAACTGAGTTTATAACATAAATTGGCCACTGTTAACAGTTTCAAAGCTGATGTTTTGAGTGTTAGCAAATGGAAGAAATGTGGGTTTCACTGACTACCACTTACTTTTAAGCTAAAGGCAGACACTGATTATCTGAAGAGCGTCAGGATCTAATCATATCTGCAGGATCACGAAGGTCTCTTAAGAGTGTTGACATGACATGGTTCTCTGACTCATATGAAGTTGGAGGTTCCAGAGTTTGCACAATTATGATTGGTTCAATTCAAATTTTTCTTTGGCAAAAATTGCCTGAACACAACAAGGTAAAAGCATCTAGCATGAGCACCTTATGATCACCAAAATAGGAAAACAGGACTTTTTTTACCTCACAAAGTTTGACTTGACTGAATCTTTCATGAGAGGGTGTTCTGTGCTACGCAATGCTAGAATATAGCAATGCTGGTCTGAATCATAACGCTCCAGTGATGCCAGTACAACATCTCTCTTGGTACAAAACAGAGGCATCTTCAGACGGCTGTATTGTTACAAAAAATACATTGATCAGGAAACAGAATGATTTTTAATTACATGAAAGATGTTTAATTTGACTATGCTTTGGGGGGGGGGGGATATATCACTTAAAATTTTCATGTGATTCTGTCTGCTACTTTACATCATGTGGTGCAAAATCAACCAACAGTTAACACACAATTACCCCCATTTACATGATATTTGTTCTCTGATCATTTCTGTCAAAACAAAACAAAGAAGAGGATAATAACCTGCTTGAGAGTTTCATTTTTTCATCTTTATTACTTTACATGGAAGAAAAATGAACTCATTTTGAAGAGCTCAGTGAAAGTGATATAAGAAAGCTGATCTCAAATGATGCTCCAGAAAGTACAAAAGAGACAACAAAGTTTACTGTGAACACCCAATATAAAAGTTAATGGAAGGGTTGGAAAATAAATGAACCTCCTTCCTGTTACATGGTATGTCAGCAGGTAACATCCTTGGCTGAAAGTTTCTTCTCAAAATTTCACAATTGCCCTCAAAGCTTTGCTTCTCAGCAAAATATTCAGTTTTTTGGACAATCTCTCAGCTGCAGACATTATCAGCCTACATAGCAGCTGCCTGAAAGGGTTCGTGTATGTACATGAATATATATGAATAATACTTTGAAAGTATTGAGGCAAAAGGCATCCCAACAACGTTGCTTCATTGTTGTAATTTTATTCTAAAATTTGGTAATGCCTTGGTCTAAAAGTCAACAAAAAAAAACCTTCTGTAGTAATACCTAGGTTTTTTTTAACATCTGATAACTGGCCTTGATATTCTTACTTGTAAACCACTTTGAAGTTTCCTATTCTGTCCAAAACATCCACAACTGATGCAGTTTTGTCCCATTCTTGTCGCAATTTCCAATCTGTCATCAGTTTCACAGCTGTCAAGAAAAATTATGCATACATATGATATAAAATTAAGCATAACATTAAAAAATCATGGCAAAAAGTGAGCCCGCTGAGATATCAGAAAGCACATCTTTCAACAATTGCATACACACAGCATTTTATCCTCCAGTAATTTAAAAAACTTGAACAGCTTTTATGTGAACTGACCTGTCTTGAATGGAACATCTTCTAGACGTAACACAGCCTAAGAAAAATAAGCATCACAAATAAAGTTTCATTCAGCAACAAAACAACCAGGTTTTAATAGTTTCACATTTCCATCAAATGGACACTTCACTTGCTTGTAAAACCAAAGGCACAATCATGATCTTCAGCCAATTAAAAAACCCTTCTGAACTAGTCTTTAAAGCCTCTAGAAAGGAGGTTTTTTCTATAGTATCATTTTCCTATTGGTAATCTTGCTAGATAGAAATGTGCTAGTCTCATCTCATTCATTCTTTGAGTATTTCAATACCCATTCACCATAAATCTGAGAGAGTAATGTTTTTGTCCAAGAGTGCAGAACAAATCAACATTATTTTGGTATTACTGGTAACCCTAGTCTTTCTACCTTCAAGCTAGTAGTGCATATCATTAAGCCACAGTAATCCCAACCACCATAAGCTAAAAAGTAGTTCTAGCAGACAACTGCAAGTGCGAGGAATAGTAGAGAGAGTAAAGTAAAGAACTGGTAATATATATTAAACAGCACCTTTGTAATTGGGGGAAAACCTTCTTCATTTGCTTCCCTTCTCCAGACTTCTGCATCTTTAGTTTTTTTCACGCGTGACCATGTGCCTTCCATTTCTTCACTTTCCACTGACAGTAACCTTTCAATGTCATTCTCGTGGATTGGATTTGATGGCACATAAGGCTGAGGTTCATGACGCAGAGTACCATAAGATTTTGAAAGATCTAGTCAAGAGAGAAATTTGTTTAAATCAGTTATTACTCACTGAAAAGGTTAACTGTCCCTAAGTCCTAAAAAAGAGATCTCTTATCTAGTGCATCTTGAAAAATTTTGCCTAAATTTTTCTAGTTTTTTATTCTCAACCAGCATTAATCTTATCTTTCCTTTTCTGGCTCTCTCCTTCTTAGGTGCAATCACTGCTTTGGTGTTTTCCACATTAACAAATTATTTTCATTCCTTTTTGGAGATCATCTTTCAAAAGGACGGTCTGTATTGCACAAAACGTGACTTAAAATATTGAACTATAGTTTGCATAAAGCAAAAACATCTGAAAGCTGCTATTTTCACCAAATATAGCATAGTCTGAGTGTGAAAATCTGAAACTGTGCAAGATGTAACATGAAACAATGAGTACTTATGCATGCTGAATTAGCAGGCAGATTGCATAATTGTACATGTAGCAAAAACACGTTAAGGCTGCTATTTCCAACAAGTTAAGTATAGCTTCTGCCTGAAAATCTGGACCAGAGCCAGGTTTAAGATGTAAGAGTGAGTACTTATGCACACAAAGGGTGAGGAATGAAAATCTTATCAAGAGTCACATATTATATGTTAAATATAGAATTCACAACATAACTTAATCAATAAATTAGTTTGAGATCAATACAACATAGTATTTAAAATTTTTCTCTTATCAAGAAGGCCACTACAGCTAAGAATGAAAGGTGTATAATATTTCCAGCTTTGAAAAAAACTAAAAAAATACAAGGGATATTGTGAATTACTAATCTGCATTTTGTTTCCTTCCCCTACGAGGGACTAAATTTTAATTTGATAACGATCTATGCCAGACAAAACGGAAAGTTCGAGCACGATCGTCAAAAGCTGGACGTTTGCAATAACAACGTAAACATATCTATACTTCCTTCGTCACCCTTAGTCATTTTCCCCATTTACTCCATCTTCTCTTACATACGAAGGAGATCGAACGTTCGATCGTCACGCACTTGTCTGTCATCAGAAGTACCGCATATAACCTAACCTTACATGTTAAACATACAATATCTCAATATTATAACTATTCTACTCGATTCAAATCATGTCAAAGCTTGCATCAGATTCTGGCAGGATTATATGATGATATATTCAACGTAAAAAGACTAAAAAAAAAGAAGAGGTGAGAGAGAAAATAGAGCAATCACTGACAATAACTTGGAGAACGATCGAGCTTGCTAAATTAACCAATTATGTTTGATCAGGTTCATAAAAACTTGTATTACGTTCCTAACCCTGTGTTTTTTTTTTATTCGAGGAACAATGCCTTAAATGGTCATTTTAAGGATAGGAGTGCCCTTCTTCGCTTACATTTACTCTGCAGTACAAACACATTATCAAGTCGTTGATAGAGTTTGCACTGTTAATCGCTCGAGGAAACTAACAGTAAGGTGCAATTAAACACTACTTTTAGTACCGACGGTGTAACAAGATGTTCACAATTCAACGCAATACTAGCTTTAAGTTAACTTATATTCGCACAAATATCTGTTCACCCGCTCAATTCATTGACAAAATCATTGCGAAATTGAGCAGAACAGTATTTCACGGCCGCCATTAAGTGATTTGGTACAGGCGAGCATATTCATACCAACAAAAGCCATCCATTTCCATTTCTTGAAGTTAAGTATCTTAAAGAATTGGTTCTAGAATTAAAATCTTACCAAGATCGCTTTCCGCCATCCTCTCTAGTACAAATTCAACGACTTGTTCCGCGAATGCAACTCAATTCTCGTCTTTCACGCGGGGCAGATGTGTAAATCGTTGATGACGTCAAAAAAATTTTAGTATTGGCCGTCGATAGTCGAAAACATCTGACGTAATCGGATTTATTTCGCTGCTCATACGTTCTGAGTCATAACTCGTGTTCACTACTTCATAACTAATTATAAATAGTACAGATGTGAACTGATATTTTATGCTGTTTGGGAAATTTATTCTCGAATAAAACGGGTTCTTCTTCTGATAGAACGCGGCGTTAAAATTATCGAAAACTTTTGGCCCAGGACACACCTAATTAGGAGCCAAGTTGCTGGCTATTATGGGAACAATTTTAAGAAAGTCATTTTAAGGACATCCTTGAAGTACTTGTAAAAATTCCTGTCTGGCATCTTGATTACAAGTGTTTCAGATTAGAGGCCAACATTAAAATATTGATAGTAAACTAGTAAGGAATGGCATTTAGGATTATTCCCTTCAAGAAAAATAATCCAGATTCCCTGAGGCGTATGTATTCAATAGAATTAAAAAATATGGTAAATATTGTAATTATCCCGCTACCTTCCAGAACGCTTACGGCATTGTTTGGTTCGAGAGGAATGCGCCCAACCAGATAAAACGCCCTTAGGAGGCACAAGATGCGTGTAGGATACGCAAAACAAGGTCACTCTCGTGTTACCCACGATTAGGCGGTCTTCTTATAGTCCGCCACGAGTTATCACTCGAAACGTCAGCTTCTACACGTTCACTGCGTTAGCTCATAAACCTATAAAAACTATATGTTTCACTTGCCTAGGTTCGCAGCGAAACAGTTCCTTTCAAAACTTAAGTTACTCTTTATTTCCAAATTAGGATAGTAGAAAAAAATGTGATAAGTAAGGCTACGGGAATCCAGAGACATTTGTTGGGTGGGGAGACGGTCGCGGAAGGTTGGGCCGCATGACGTAGGATATCTTTCACTGATATTGCACGGTTAGTGGTAAATTCATTAAAAAGTGAACAAGTTTATTAAGCTACCGAGCGTGCACAATTATTTATATCGTTAATTAAAATTTATAGCGGAGCTCGCAGAGCGTAGCCCCATAATTATACAAAATAGTAGTAATCCATCAAGCCGAAAAAATTTGGATGTACGACCCTACGACCGTACAAGTCCAGTGGTCAGTGAAATGGGCTGCGTGTCGGACGTCCCGGGATCTAGTCCTGGCCGGGGCAAGGCGTTGTGCCCTTGAGACGTGCGGGAAAAAAATGCGAGCTCCGCTTTTAGGCTTGGCTAAATCTATATATTGTTCTTTAATAAATACCACGATGTGAATGTTCTGATTTCAGAGTGACCGATCATGACTTGAACAACAAAAAACAGAACATGGATTCAGTAGGAAAGGTTTAATTTTTCTCTTTGGATGTAAACATATTGTTCTCGGTTACAGCGAATACTGCTATGTGACACGATGCCACCATTATAAAATATTCCGAAATGTGAGAAGTGTGCATCACCAACGCTTCATAACTGAGTTCGCTACAAAATAATTCAACAAAGATTGCCATTCCATAACGGCAGGTCCACTCAAGACTATATATCTTTAACAATAAAAAACAGCAAGTAGAGTACTTTCCCGTTACTTAGTATTTGTGAAATTGGACTAAGCTTGTCCAACAACTCAACAATATCTCACTATCTAACAACTATACATCACGTACGCAAAATGTAAATCTCGTTCAGCACTGAACACAATGTTAGCAATAAGACAACTATTACGCGGAGAAATTTGACAACTTGCTAAAGTGTATTCTCTTGGGTGCGCTCTTAAGATATTCTTAAATCACAAATAAATAAATAAAATAATAAGAAGCTTCCGTCACGATAAAAATGTGTTAATAACCAGGAAATGCGTTATACACATTGCAATATTGTATGGTCTATATGCAAACCACACTACATAAGTTAACAGATTCAGTGTTCACGTGAACACTTTCTGAATGCCTTATATTATACTACTGAATCTTAATAACCTGTGTTCGTGAAAACCTTGGTGACTTTTTGTTAGTCTCAATATTTTAATTTTAATATTTCTGGGGTATTAACTTTAACGTAAAATTTTAAAGACCACACTTAAGGCTTTGACGTACGTACTGCTTCCTGAATTCGTCAACAGATCATTCAGATTTATCAATATCACAGTTAATTAATAGCATCAATAAATTTACTAATGTATATCATATTATTACACAAGCAAAACTAGAAATAGTGACACCACTGTCATGGTGACCGGAAAGAGACTACTGTGTGTTTATTATTTAACTCAATTTTCTCCAATTTTCACCTTCTCTTATCCTTCCTTACTCTGATTTTCGGGAGTTCAGGGAAAGGAACTGTTACCAGAGGTTTTGCCTCATAATAAACTCTACCATGGTCCCATGATAACAAATTTTACCCCCCCACTTCCCTCCCATACCCAGAGAAGCTAGTTGGTCGCCAGGGCAACTTTACTTGTCGTTAGTCTTTTTGTTGTCCACTTCAGGTTTTTGTGCTGGTCCAAAGATGGCCTTCTTCAAGTAGTCATTGCGAAACATTCCTTGAGGGTCTAACTTCTGGCAGACCTCTCGGAACTTGTGTATCTTGGGGTATAATTTTTCAAAATCTGATGATGTCAACTTGTGTGCCTTGTAATAAGAAGAAACAGTTTTGTATTATTATCATTATTATTATCATTATTATCATCATTATTATTATTATTGAAGAGAAAGATGTTTTCGTCTTGTCACGACAAGGTGTGGGACAGAGAAAAAATTCTGAGTACCTTTGATGAATTGAACCTTAAATCTCCGATTCTCTACCAATGAGCCACAGAGACTCTATGGTGAGCAAAGCAAATCTTTCTCTATTTCTTTACCGAGCTTAAGACTCACCATATTTCTTATTTTATTATCATTATCATCATCATCATCATCATTATTATTATTATTATAAGAATTATTATAATTACTATTTTCATCATCATCATCATCATTATTATTATTATTATTATTATTATTATTATTATTATCATCATCATTCTATGTTTGTAGTTTAGTAGGAGGGAAAGCTACTGGGTGCAATGTAAGCTTGGACCTAGTCTTTATGACCAGGTTTAAGCCACTGGAAAATATTGCATTAATCAAAACAAATTACAGCGAATTCTAATAAATTAAAATTTACCTTTGCCCAGTGCGGCTTGCCCCCAACTGACAGCATAAGGTTTTCATAGTATTCCCAATAATTTTCATGTGGAAGTGATTTTTCATAAGGCCTGGAAAAACATGATTGCAAACAAAAGATAGCGAATGAACAAGTTGATGAAAAAGAAAATAAGTTACAGCACTAAGTACCAGGGGGAACAGCTGCAGTGCAAGGAACTGGCAGATGGAAATATATTGGAAAAAAGCTTTCATCCATCTCCAAATCACATGCTGTGATTTTTTTTGATGCTTCACATAATTTAGTTATTGCTACCAACAACACCCTCAGAGTTATCTTCCAGATATGTTGGAGGTAAGAAGAGAGCAAAAAATTCTCCATAGGAGCAGAGAAAAACAGAAACAAAAATAGAAAAATCAACAACAACAAAACAGTAATATAACTAAATATGCTCTCAAAGAAATAACCCTTTCAAGTGTGAAAATACAGTTGTACAATTTTTACTGTTATTCCATACCTTTCAAGTGCACCACTTAATGAAATAAACTATTGACTAGAAAGCAATTATACATGTATGTAGGTTGATTCCTACATCCCTGCATTTATTCAAGCTCAGAGAAAAACATAACATTAAATATATAATGAATGATTAGTTTTGTAGACTACTGCATAGGGTTTAAAACTAATTTTTGCAGAGCTTCTAAGCTTTCCAAGCACTTCCCCCAAAATAAAAAAAAAACAGACTGTTACTTACCTATAAGAAATAACATTGATAAAGCAGGTGTCTTGTTCATAACATGGACTCAAGTAGATGTCATCTCTCTTTACAAACCTAACTTCAACTGTAAGAAATAAATAATAGCAAGATTCAGTAATGGAGGGTTATCAGAGAAAATAAAATTGTTTTGTCTCTAAACATATGAAATAATAATTAATATGTAACTATGCAGACATAAAGTTTCTAAAGTGGCCTCACGAACCAGAAAAAGATCCAGTTGCAAGCAGGAAATTCTTCTTTTTGCACCCAATTGAAGAATGGTTTCCTTATTTTCTTTTATTGTAATGTTGCTTAATATTAAGTGAGTCAATATTTTAGAAGAAGTACTTAAGTGTTTGCTCTAGTGAGAGAAAAAAACAAGTGAAACATTGCACTGGGGGAGGGGGGGGGGCATGAAAGCATCCACATTTCTATAGTAGCAAGAGTCCATAACAACAGGAGTTTATTACAGTCATTTCTTTATGCATTTCAGCAGGGGGCTGGCTCTTGTCTGCAATAGTGAGGTGTCAGCAGGGGGAGAATTGACTGTATAGAGAAAGCTTAATAGGAATAGGAGATTGAACATATGACTCTATGGCTTTTATGGAAAATGAAAGTTGGGGTTTTACCAGGTGCATGTGCATGAAATCCAGACTCCTTGAGCCAGTTTTGAAGCTTTCTAAGTACATACACTGTCTTATCCCTAAAGAAAAGGAAAAAAAATGTTAGTAAAAACTCAATACTAAATATTTAGGCTTAGCTTCCATCCTCACTGCAATGTCAGTGTTTACCAGTCCCAGGTGATACTGTAAACAAAGTGGGAGGTTGGCAAACTGCATGAAAACTCAATTAAAACCTGAAAGGTAAGGCAATGAGTGCTTTAATTTTCCCCAAGAAAATGATAGCACATCGGGAGTATACAAAATCGCTAAATATTCTTATATTGCTTTTTGTTCCAACTCACTGTTCAAGTGGCCAAGCCAAAAGTTAGGAGGTAGTAGTGATTTTAGCTCATGCAATGACCAATTGATTACAATGAATCACATTCAGTGGCTATTTTCATAATCCTATTTTCTGAGTTTTTTGTTTCATGGCTACCTTTTTAATTTTATACATTTACCTCCACCCTACATGCCTACATGGTACTCTTACCCCTCCCAATCATATGCCACTGTGGCACACAGTATTTCAAAAAAAAGAAAAAAAAACTTACTGGGGAATGGCCCACTCTGTCACATACTGCTTGAACAGGCAATTAAAGTTAAAAACCTGACAAACACAATAACTTTAAATTAATTGTTATAGTGTGAGTTTCCAACTTTTAAATTTAGGTGAGAACATACAATTATGTGCTATACTCTCCAAATTGTCATTAATAATAATAATAATAATGAACGTTCTTTAATACGCATTTAAGAATCTCAATGCGCTTACAATTTTTACTAAGGTTGAGATCGGACGTCAGCATAATCAGGCGCCTCTGGCAGCCGCTTTAGTCCATGTAACGACCTCACCTTTTCCCCCCCTTCCCACCCCAGGGGAGGACATCCATCACACAGTAATCTCGTGCGTGGGAAATTAACGTCTCCTACCCCTAACCCTGCAGGAGACGGGACCTCCATTTATTCGTCCCTATCCGAGAAGACTAGAATATCTAACCATTTCTTGATGTTGAGAAAGGAAGCATATTCTTCTCAGTTAATTTTAAGACCCTGAGTGTTGGTCCGGCCGGTATTGAACTCTCGACCTCCCGCACAGCAGTCCGGCGCTCTCCCAATTGAGCTAACCAGGCGGCGGTCAATTATATTAATCTCTATAGAGAAATGACACTCACTTAGAGCAGTAACAAGAATGATAAACAATTTACCGTTGTTTCAGCAAGTATCAGCTACTTGCCAAATCTATACTCACAAATGTTTTCAATGTTTTTATATTGTGTTTTACCTGGTACATACATCGTCAATTATTATTATTGACTGTTACTTCACACTACTTTCATGCTACTACAATCCTGAATGAAAATTGTAATTGAGAGTGAGAGGAAAAATTCTGAGAGTGAGTTCCATCCTACCTTGTGGCTTTGATTCACTCTGCTGTGAGGTTTGCAGTGGAAGAGTTTAAAAAGACCCCAGTTCACATATCGTAGGGAAGGTGGCACAAATGAGCTATAAAATTAATGAAAGACAACAAAAAGCTGTTAAATCAAATTCAAATTATCAAAAAGTGTATGTCAATTTGTTAAGTTACATTACAATAATTTGAAAAGTATATTTCAGTATACAAAATATACTTTAACAACTGAAATAAGGTTTGACCTTTTTTAGTCTACAGTAATAGAAAAAAAAATGCCGTGAAGTGTAGCACTGTCACCTTAACCAAAGCACAAGCTCATAGGAGTAATAACCCATAGCATAGTCCCAAAACCAACTTGGATTGTCATCTATGGGCTAAAAGATAATTAACAAGATAGGCACTTTTAGAGCAGCAGATGTGTCAAATGGAGGTTAACCCATTAACTCCTGTGAGTGACCAAGAAAAAGTTTCTCCTTACTTAATATATCCAATATCATGCAGACAAGTGATGAAAATAAAGGAAAATAACAATTATGGAATTACTAATTGATCTGATACCAGATTCTCCTAAAAAACACAATGAGAATCATTTGGCAGACAGTGGTAGGGAATTACTAATGAGATCTTGGGAGTTAAAGGTTTATAAGCAGTTAATATTAAGTTGGAGTTTCAAAATACTAGTTATTTGGCCATGTGCAACATGTAGGCTTTAATTATGAGACACTGTCTGGGAAACAAGCCAAGGGGGTCCTTCCCCAAAACCACAAGGATTGAACTTCTCAGGAGGATAAAAGACCACACCCAGGAACAATGCAGAAATTAAACCCAGCCATTTGTAAGCGTATAGCCTTCTTAAGATCAAAATATATTTAGTTTCATCTTTTCAAAGGACATTTATGATCTACTCTCTATTGTGGACTATTGAAAGATTTAAGTACTTTAAATACAGTATATGATAATCATGGCTTGTGTTTATTTTGGATTAAATTGCTTCTTGTGGAGTTTGATTGATTTGTTTTATTCTTTAATTTCTCATTTTCCATCTATTCAACAGAAACAACAGCAAATCATTTTCATTTCACTGATTTTAAAAATTTTCATCACAAGGCTTGTCTAGATTATAAAAATTTAAGATGGAAGAATGTTCACCTTGGCAGTCCTGTTGACCTCATAGCATTTGACATATCCTGTGTGTGGATACCAATGGAACTTGAAATGATCACTGGATGATATGCTTGTTTCAAGATTTTCTAACATCTGAGAAAATAATTAGCAGTCACATCAAAATTACAATGTATAACGATAAAAAAGAAGAAATAAACATGCTGAGTGAAGTAATCATATTCATTTACAGTCACTGTGACACATACACTAAATTGCTGAAATCAGGTCATTTATGACCAAAAATTTACCCCCTTTGGACAAGAACGTGTTCAAAGGGATTGACTGTGCAACATACACATTCTAGTACAAGGCAAGAGGAGTTTCGTGTTTCATTTCACATCAGTTTTCACTTCGAGTGCACACCAGAGATTGTGTCACCCACCCTCCTACCCTGGATGATTTTGTGTGATGTCATTATAGGGTGGCAGAGAGGTTTATTAAGCATATCATTAGCTTTTGTTTACTGTTGGTTCGTATTCTTAATAAACTTCTCTCTGTGCCAAAAAGCGAATTGTGTTTTATTTGTGTCAGAGGGTGTAGTTGGGGAATTAATATTAATTCTAAGTCATCTATAGAAACTTTAATTCTCTATATATTTCCACAGCTTTCCCTCTTGAGGCTGATTGTTGTAGGCCTGAGGTAGGTTTAATTCAACAATTATTTCAGTCACCAGTCATTCTCTGTGTGCATCCTTATAAATTGAAACAATTGGATCAATATCAGTATCTGGGCAACTGCCCACCTACCCCTCCCCTAACCCAACATTAACCCTAACTTGTTATCAATTGACTGTTGTTGAGTTAGGGGAGGGGTAGGTGGGCAGTTGCCCAGATACTGATATTGATCCAAACAATTTTGTCATTATAGGGTAAAGTTTATCCTTCAAAGAATCAAAATTACATATTAATAAATAACTGCACAACCAGCATTATACCTCCTCCAGCATTAAAGGTTTGCTTGTCTCCTGTAATTTGAAAGCCTCTTCACACTGCCAAGTCAAACTGAGAATTATCCCAACAGCACCAAGACCACAAAGTGCAGCTAGGAATATTTCCTTGTTTTTCTCTCTACTACAGTAGAGGACCTTACCACTGGCTGTCATCAGTTCAAGGGATGCAACCTGTAGAGAAAAAAAATTGCCTTGCTTTAGGCAGGCTTTACTGAAGGATAGTTAAGAGTACTTTGTCTAGTAAATAGTAGTACCTAATTTAGCAGAATATTCTCCTTTTCTGTATGAAAAATTGCCCAAAGGCATCAAAATTTAGGAACATAATTCCCTGATGTACAATGCCATGTAAAATAAACACCAATTTAGTTAACTGTTGAGAATGAAAATAAATAAAATAATAATATTCTGACCCACTGATCATATGCAAAGTACACAACTAAGGAAACAGTCTTCCTGAGAAACCTGCAATAAAAGCAATTGCAGAGAAGAAGTCTGAAAAATTTGACTTCAATGGGATTCAGACTAATGCGCCACCCAGATTCAAGTTGCATAGACACTTCTTCCACCAACTGGGCCACAAAGCCACTTCAGGAGCAGGGCAACTTAATTAAGCAGGTTCTTCTTTCCACAAAGGAATTAGCAACTCAGAAAGGGATAAAAAAAATTTGACCACATTTTGAAATATAATTGATTATCATGTCACAATAATGAAATTTCATGTAGTGGAGGAGCAAGCATACATAATGGACTGTATCAATGCTGTGTATGTGAGAAACTTACTGACATAGCCAAAATGCCAAAGTTTTTTCCTGAACCATGTGTACATGTACCAATGGCACCTGCACATGAAATCTCTGACACTGAACTAAGACTACATACCAAACAAACAAAGAAACAAACAAAGTGTAAGTTTTACAGGTACAGTTCCTGTTAGAAGCATTAACACTGTGCCCATTTTAACAAGTATGTGACCTAAAAGTAGAAACTTGGTTGCTAAAATCATGTTACAATAAAAGGGCACTCAGTTATTGATATTGACAAATCCTTCAATTCCCAGAAGTGATTCACAATTTTCAATTTTAATGAATTGTTCAATTATCAGAAGTGATTAACATGTAACTTCTTCTTTATTACATCTACACATAATCCATCAAACAGGTAATGAAAATACCCAAACTTATAAAAAGTTTGGTTGGCAAAAGTTGTTATCTTGATCAACAGTTGTCACACCAAATTCTTTTAACTAGACATAGTTTGAAGCTACACTGGTTTGCAGATTTAATTCTTCTACCCCTGATGAAGGCACTAGACAGGAGTGTCGAAACGTTGGGTCTATGAATTGTAACTTCTTCGGTTACATTCATTAAATCTGCAAACCAGTGTAGCTTCAAACTATGTCTGATTGTCCACCTGGTTGCCGTGTGAACTTTAATATATTTTCTTTTAACTAGTTTACAAGGAAATGTGTAGTAGCTAGAGGGGAGAATTTAAAATCAGATCTTGGGAGTCAAGGGATTAAGAATACGCCAACTCACCATGACCACCTGAGCTATTTGTGCTACAATGTTTTGGTCACCCTTGAAAATATTTTGGTATCTAAATTTAAAGCGTAAGTTTTCAATTTGGTGACCTTAATGGTTTGCAGTCATGTAATAAACTGTCAGAGATGTGTCTTTTAGTTATAAGTGTTCATGGTCCACAGATAACATCAGATAAACATCTGCATTCAAGACAATGTTTATTCTGATGGTCAAACATTTCCTTGCAAATGACTTGGGAGAATTTGGTTAATGTCTACAAAACATCCTCTAGCTGATATTAACTGAGCTGATAAATAATAGCCTGTCAGTTCTCATAATGTGAGTGTGACTGAAGATAACACTTTTGAATCATGAGTACTTAAATGCTGCTTCAAGTGGTTTCCTCAAGAGATTAACCCTTCCACTCCCAGATCAAATTTTAATTCTCTTTAGTGTCAACCATATAATTCTTATCATGTCAGTGCAGAGAATTTAAAATTGGATCATCTAATTATTCCCAAATTGATATTTTTCTTTATTCTCATCACTTGTCTGCTTGATATTGTATTAACATTGTAAAGAGAAATTCTGTCTTGGTCACTCATGGGAGTTAATTAATTAAAGGGTTAATTTATGTTATAGTTTCAGACATTGTATGAGCCTCTGAATATAATTTATTGCTTGTAATTCAGGTTTCTTTTCTGGCAATACTTAAATGACTAAAGGTTTCCAAATGACAACTTTGAAAAGAATAGAACTGAAAGCCTTGTACCAGCTAACTTTGTCTGTGAATACATGTACCTACCTGGGTAATGCTAAGCCATTGTCAGTTTCCAAATGACAACTTTGAAAAGAATAGAACTGAAAGCCTTGTACCAGCTAACTTTGTCTGTGAATACATGTACCTACCTGGGTAATGCTAAGCCATTGTCAGCCAAAAACTCGTTGAGTTCACTAACCATCAAACCAGCTTCAACTGTCACTTGTTTCTTGTCATGTTCTATCTAAAATAACACTTATTATTGGCATTGTTATCTACTGGCTATCTTTAAGAATAATACATTTCCATTAAATTTTACATCATTCATTGGTAAAAGGAAGAAAAGTAAATTCTATACTGAAGCCTAGTGCCATTGTCATTAAATTATTAGAGAAAAGTTTATCTTTGTTTTATTTCTGTGTTTTGAAATCAATGCTTAGACCTCTGGTTCTTTGCTTTAAGTAGTTTTCAATGAAAACTTGTAATATGTTCAAACAGTATTTTCCCAAAATGGCCATCTTCTTACTTGACTCTTCTGATCAGGCTTTGCCCCATTACACAACATTTTCCCATGAACAACCCCTGACACAATCCTACTTGATTGAAAATAAGCTCACATAGCCTTGAGTGCTTTATTGCTAATCATGTTTCCATGCAATTCTAACAATTTCTTAATTTGCTCTTGGCTGCCTTCAAATTAACCCGATCACATACCAATTCCAAGTAAACAACCTGTATTTTGTCACACAATCTACATTAAAGTCCAGACAGACCACATTATCATGCCAACATCAAAGTCTTTCAGATGTGATCCTTTACCTTTATAGTAACATGTACTTTCACTTGTTTGTAGAAGAAAGGTCCCAAAAGATCTTTGGTTGGGTTCAGTGGGATAAATATTTTGGTTTTGCATCCAAAGTAAAATTATGTTGTATAATATTTAGCAGGCAGTTACAATGTAACTGTAAAATAATTTTTATTTTGACACTGGCAGAGAAATGGCTGTAAGTGTGGAACCAATTCACTCTATTTTTGTTTGAAATTATTCAAGAGAAAAGAGAAAATAGACCCAAAAATTATTAATAATTCACAACAATCAGAGGTGTGTTGATAATGCTAAAGTAAAGTTAAGCAGTTCTTCCGTTGGAATGTTTTTGAAGTCAATATCCTTAAACTTTCTCGTGTAAAGAAGAGAAAACATCAGTTACTCAACTTGTCCCACCCTAAAACATAACTCTTGTATGCGAAGCAGTTGTGTTAGTTGGTGCATGAGCACGCATATGATTATAAACATACTATCTCGTGACTACGTACTTTAAACTTATGCAATCCCAATCAAAGCAATAAAAGATAAATAAATCCCTGGGAGCATCCGTTCATTTCCTATAACTAGCCAAAATATCGAATATAGTAGACAAAACCCCTACGCATGTCCGCTTGATTTCCCAACAGAAACGCTTTGTCAGAGCAAGAGATGCCTGCACTTTACTAAAGTACTCACTAATACAGTGCATACCGGGCTTACAGTAGAAAATCTTCTGCTAGCATGTGCTAGACACTTTTACCCAATCTGGCTAGCGTTCTCGAGCGTGTCTCTTCATGTTTTAGTTAAAGACGTTTACAAGTGGACAGGAAGCCTGCGGGCATTGAAAAATTGTCTTTCACGAACGCACAGGTGTAAAAGATACTTGAAACTTTAAACTGATCGTGAAAGTTATACCTATGTTACATAATACACATGTGCATCGAGATAAGACTGAAGACTCCGAATGAACAAATAGAAAAGCAAGACACGTCAATCGACTCTTACCTCCAAAACCGCTTTCATATTTTTTAAACTAATCATGTACCCATCAGTACAGGCAATATCGGATGGCGAATGTCCTCCGCCCACAACACGGACAGTCTTACATAATTTAGTGGCCACACGAAGGATCTACGTTTTACAAAGAAACAAAATTACATAAATTTTACCAAAATATGTCTTTGTAGACTAAGGATGACCCCAACGATTGTTATAAGAACGAAAAATAGATTAAATGCTAACACTATTCTTCAACTCACTTGTCTGATATCTTCAATAGATTCTGGTACGAAAAATAGCTCTGGTGTACACGAGAACGTTTTCGCCCAGTTTGTAAATAAGTAGCCTCGCTGGCCATTCGATAGAATTTCTTCGACTCCAGTTTCGCCGTCTTGTTCCATGATGATTCAAGCAAGTTTTGAAGATAGCGAAAAGTCCAAAGGAACAAACATCTCAATTATTCCATTCAAGTTCATGGTCGCGGTTATATGTTTTCCGTGTACGTGGGTCACGAAACGTCCGCCGGTTAAAGTGCGCGCCAAACTGGGCTCGTCGCCTGGGAAATCAGGGAAATGCTGGAATTGCAGGAATGGACCATACGATCAGGACTTGGGGCTGTACATCTGTATTCCAAGTGTCTAAAAGGAGTTACGCACGATAAAATGTTTAAAGAAAAGAGAAAACCTTTTTGCATTTCTAAAGAAATTCTTTGGTCAATTACGGAGTTGACTTCATAATTTTGTCACTTTTAAACAAAAAAAGTGTGTCACTGCACTGATGTTCAGAAATAGATTCCACTTGACGTCAAAATGTGATAAAAATGAAAAAATGGCACTCGGTGCAACCGAGTATGGCTCTCGGCCAATGGACGCGCAAGAATTTCTACAGTTACTGTAATATCAAATTTTTGAGAATTCTTATCATAACCGCTGAAAAAATATATTCTACAATTTATGGAATCAATAATCGTAACTGATTTTCATCTTCCACTACCTTTCCAGCGCAAACTATAACCGTTTTCATTGGACAATTGGAATAGCTCTAAAAGGTTGAATCATCGCTCCCTTTATGAAGAGACACAAGGCCGTAAAATTCAAAGTCTTGAAGGCAAAGTAATTACCTCGGTCATTTCATTTAGAATTCTAATTAATTCTTAATTAAGTCGCGACTGCTCACTGCCAACCAACCAAGCGTGGGCAATTGTATTATTCATCGCCTGAGGAGGAGTGGAGAATTTTTGTGGGGTCACATGGTTTTTAGGGAAACGGAAGGGGGATCAGTCGTCGCCAACAGAGTATAAAGGGAGGAATATGAGAATTACTGATAAAGGGGGGAGGGAGGGATCATAAGAGTTTGCAGAGCGTAAGAGGAGGAACAGGTAAATTTCATCGGGACACGACCATGATATTCCCCTCCCCTCCCCCAGGCCATGAATTGATCGGTGCCTTACTACAGCACAACGTGATCCTTAGCACGAATATTACAGGTACTCTGTTTGGAACTAAGATGGGATTCATCTGGAAAATGATCAGAACACAGACTGATGTGATGGTTTATTTAAAACATTGTCTATTCAGCTCCTTAAGATACACTTCTGATGCAAAAAATCCGTCAATGATTGGTTCTATAAATTGCAATCTTACATTTATCCCGTTTCTGACAACCTTAGCATTTTGAATACCGCTTACATCACAAAATCGTAATCAGTTACAAAAAGACACTGATTTTTTTTTCCAGAACTGATTATTAAAATTCATAATAACTTATGAAAAATTGGAGATACTAATACATGTTATAGTTTCGCTGTATTTGATACAACGTGCTTTAAGATTCTAAAATACAAATTAATTACAATGCTTGCAGTGAGAATAATTGAGCAATTCGTTGAACAGTAATACATTGCAATAATCTTTAAATGGTAATCTTAATTTTTCAAAACTCAAATATAAAAATGACGAAGTAAGAATAAAAAGAGCTTACGCGATAAATTGAGTCATAAAAATACATGCGTACGAATTATATGTGGCCCATCAAGTAGGGCGTATTTTGGGCGGGTGCTGAAGACAACATCAAAACCTGATTAAACAATAGATAAGATTCAAATAAACTATCGAAAATCATAAAAATCCAAAATAAATGAGAAATTTAAAAGTTAGCCAATGTTTGAATTAGTACATGGAAGTGTACTGGCCATAAAAAGGTACCGAAGGGTACATGTACATGGAATATCCGGCGCAAGATGGATCGTAAGCAGTTGGCTGTGGCTGAAAATTTTCACAACTTTGAGGCGAAGACGACGAGTAACGCAAATTCAACAGAAGCTGAACTGCGATCTGTTCTTCTTGAAATCTTTGGTAGTAATATTCTTGTAGGGAATTTCCAACGTTGTTCTGTGCTGCTTCAAACGGAGAGTGACTCGAGTGATTGAATTCAGTCGATTCCTCTTCGCTTTCCCTTTCATTGCGCGGTGAAGAACTCGGACTTTCGCTGTAGAAACTGCTTTCGTTTTTTCTTAACTTTCCAGAGACTCTCTCCTCTCCTCCAGGTGACTTGAATTTGTCATGACGCTGTTCTCGAAAAGATGGACTTTCTCTTTTGATGGTAGTCAACGTTCCTTGAGCAACTCTCTTCTTTTTCCTTGAAGGGCAGGTTCGCTTGACCAAATGCATTAGTTCCGGCTTATCTCGTTTAAAATGGACATGTTCAAACTCCATGTTTTTTGAAGGATCACCCTTTCCGTTAACGGGAACTTTTCGGAAACCGTACAGGTTAAGTTGCCTTACAAAGCTGGTAAAGTTCCTGGTTTTGAACATTTCTGCGCTTTCGTCTAGAACCTGGCGTTTGAATACTTCACCGTCGGAAATGAGAATTGCCCCACCATTTTCAGACCACCGGATGGCTTTACGATATTTTTCTTCATTGAGAAGCAGCTTAAGCTTGGAAATAAACGGACTGAGAGGCTTTCCTTTAACAGGAGTGAACAAGGTGTTGGCCATGTCCATTTCTGAGCAGAGTCGTTCTAAACGTTTGTCGTCACTACCTGGAAAACAAAAGTAACGATTTCACAAATTTGACGAGCAGAGAACAAGTCGAAAAGTTGTGAAAGAATAAGTAGTTCAGCCGTCTTTTCTTTTAGAGAGCAAACAATTTCAGTCGACGGTATTCCCTAAAGAACTATTAAAGCAAACGTTGCTTCCGTTATGCTTGAAACCACATTTTTACCGCTCTTTCTTCGTTTCATAGATTTCATTCTAGAAGAAGGAATTCCTCCTAAATTAAAGACAAGCCTTTTCACCAAGAAACATTAAATTCGCCGCTCGACATACGACTCAAAACTCAAAACCTATCCAACCTAAGACGAAACGAAGAAAATTTCAGGAAATAAAAAGAAAACTTACAAAGATAACCCGCACAAACCTTCACAAGTTGTGGTGAAGAAGCCCAGAAAAGATGTAGAACAACTTGGCCAGCAAAAATAATCTTCAGTGAAAGGTTTTCGTGCTGACGCCGTGACAGGCCCTTCAACCAATCAGAATAAAGAACAGACGTTCGACGTGGTTTCCAATTGGTTGAAGTTTGACATGCATGTTTCAAATTTATGTCGACAAAGCTCAGTGTCGAAAGCCCTTGACGACACTGCTCACGATTGTCCTCACGATTCACTTCGTAAGTTCTTCTCTGTTTTGAGGCAAAAATGGTTTTTTCGTTAGAAATTAGAAAGTTAAATGAAAAAAATCTGGTAGCATTTAAGTGAGTCTCAGTCGACAAAGAAATGTTTTACAGTCGCAAAATATCCGGGTCTATAACATAGCCGCAAAAAAATCATTCGTTCCTGTTCTCACTCCTGACGATTGTTCAATTTTTGTTCTAACTAAATGAATTCCAGTATTGGCCGCTGGCTCCTTTCCTGTTGCGTGTGGAGTTGCTGCAAACTCTTCTAGTTTTTTCATTTAGCCAAAACTGAAGAAACAAGAATTTTATCTGTTCTGAGTGAACAGCACCACTGAACGGGCCAGCCTAATTCTCCCTCACCCTACCCTCGAGGAGTCCGTTTTTTTTACAGTGGTTTTTCGTCCAGACGTTTTTGTTTGTCATATTTACATTCAAGAAAGATCTACGAATAGTTTTGAAGTTCAGACATGAAATATCAGGAAAAATAACCAAAAGAACTGTTTTTATAGCTCTGACACTCGCCACTATTATTTCTCAGGCACCAGTGTCTAGGCCTGCATTCGAAATTCGGTGTTAGAGGAGAGGGTACAAGTTCGGTCAGTAACGACCCTCTTCTTTCCTTTCTCATCCCACCCCACTGGGTTCAGTCACACCCCCTCCCCTGTCAGTCAGACCCACGCACGCTCGCCCACGCAGCGACTGCGCGTCGCGTCCAGAAGTGCGCGTCAATAATATTGGATTGCTTGTTTTCGTCACCGCTCAGTAGTTTGATCTACCGTTGATCTCACGGATTTATGCGGTTTAGTCTGCTTCAGTTTGGACTTAAATTCGAAAGTTAGTTCCAGAGAGTCGTGGGTCTGCAATGAGAATGTATGGTAGTGTTTGAAACATAACATGGCAGACTTTGAATACGACGATTCGACCTTTTACAGCTCTCGTCCTTTGGAGGAAAGATGGCCGCCTTTGGGAGCAGCCATCGACAATCCCGCCGAAAACGGTGGAAAGAATTCTGAAATTTCGAGAAAGTAAGTAATTTTTTTCCTCCATAGTTCGTAATGTGATTTTGTTCAATCGTTCATGTTTGGAGCGATTCCAACTTGCAAACAAGTTTTGCACGGTAGATTTGTTTGCGGTCGGTTGCTAGTTCATTTTGCACATCAATCTCTTCGTGTGATCTTTCGTTCTTTCTCGCTTTTTCTGACAATTTTCTTAATAATTTTTGATAATAATACTGCCGAAGCGAAACGACAATAGTTTTGTATCTTACTCGTAACTGTTGGTTTGAAATTAGTCCAAGAAATGTGTTATTAGATAAATCCAATATCGAACATGTATTCGTTCCCCTCATGATCATTTTCGTGGACAGTTCGTTTTTAACCGAAATTCTTTTTTTCCATGCTTATTGTAATTTGAATGTTGTTTTGATGAATTAGTGTAATTTTATGGAGGATAATTTGTCTTTGGATTGTATTTATTGATCACAGGAATGAAGGTACGGAGATTGATTTGTCGAAAAGTTTTGTCAATGAAAATGTCTTTTTCTCTTTGAATAATTTATGAAAATATTAGAGTAAAATCAGCCTTTCATAATTGAATTGACTCATGCTATAAATAAGAACCATTCGGATCCTTCGCGTAATGATGGTTTATTTTACTTCCTGATTCTTTCGTGGTTTGTACGTGTCGACATTTTTCAGAATCTCCGATTTCAATAATGCAGGAAACGTACATGTTTGTCGGGATTTCCCTATGGAAAGACCCGACTATTTTATGAAAATGTCTTTTTCACAGCATGATTAATTCACTTATGTTTTAAGAAAAATGTCTGTAAGAAGAAATTTTTTTTTCAATTTGGCCTATTAGCCATAAAAAAATGTTTGTAGTGATAAAAAGCAGTTTATTTTGCTTTTTTTTTTCAAAGAAAATTAAATTGCTTATCTATGCAAAGCCTTTCTTCACTGGATCCACAATGTTAAAGTGCACAAAATTTCAGTATTGTACTCACTTTATTTGAGAGGATAATGCAGGGTCAATTTTCTTCGTATAAACTCCACATATGCTAAAATAACTTTAGAGACAGGGCTCTTGACATGGTAAGATTATTTTAAAAATTTTTATCCAAGACTGAAAACTACAGAGTGTAACAAAAATTTACCCCTTGTTAGACAGAGTTTCTTTTTTGATCACAAAGGAATTCAGAAAATGTTTCAATTGTACACTTTTTTTGCAGTTGGCTTGCGTACACCTGGGTGATATATTTTATTGTAGCTGGTTAATGTAATTTGAAAAATTTTCACCACCTTCATTTAGTGGCTGTATGATTTGGTCAAAACAGTTTAAGTCTGGCTCTCAGTCAGGTTGTACTCACTTTGCTGCATTGCATGGCACATCCTGACCATGACCCAAATATTTCCATGTCTAGCTGTAGCACTTAGTCAAGAGGGACATAATATTCATGAGAAATAAATGATCTAAGCTCACTTTGCTGGGCCAAGTTTTTTGCTTTGCATGCCATGTATATAACTATCCTTCTTATTTTTTTATGAAGAAGTCCTCAGTGCATGGATAATTGGGTACCCTGTTGATATCCAGATGTATAATATTATAAGCTTGCATAATCTTTACTTATGTATTTTAAGTCGATTCTGTATCAAGATTGAAATAAATAACCAATTTACCAATTGAAAGTAACAGTATAGTTGAAAATCATCCATGGTTAAGTTGGAAGATGGCTCACTATGTACATGTATGCAGCTCATATCATACAATGCATTTTCTTACTTGTTCTTGTGCTTTGAAATCAAAGAGATTTTTCTGGCCTTGATTTTCATAACCTAAAGCTGTTTCATACCTATTCAACCAGCCTTAACTGAGAGAGAAAAAATACAATGTATATTAAATTCTTGGCACATAAGTTTCCCAGAAGTGTTTTTCCACCCACAGATGTGGGATTCTCACGTTGATATTCTAGAGGTGTGAGATTCAATGCAATGCTTGTTTGTTTAGATGACAAAGCAATTTATCTAAGTCTGAAGGTTACTTAATGTTTGAAAGTATAGACAGATTATTAAACAGTAATTTTGGTTACTCTCTGTATTGGATTCTTCAGTTGTTTGTGATTTCCCTCTCCCTGTGAGAGACTATTTCTTCATTATTTGATTCAGGGAAGTGTCACTATCAATTCCCATGGTGATGTTAGTTACCTTAAAGAATTTGTAAATCTGACCATTGATCAAGACAAACAGCTAATGTGAAAATAGATTCTCCGTGACAGAAATTAACATGCACTGAAAACAGTAGGGCTAAGATCTCCTAGGAGCTACCAACTAAAGAGATTTTTGAAAAAGGTTTATTTTATACTCTTTGGGAAGTACCAGGTCAGAGGTGAGTGACATGTAATGTAAAATACAGGACAAGTAAGGGTAAATTAGTTAAAATTGGTACACTATGATATAATTTCTAACTTACCATTTTTGTAGGTCTCAAGGTTAATCAACAGATTTTGAATCAAAGGCACTTATTTTTTAAGAAAGCAGCTACTTCTTTCTCTGATAACACCAGAGAAAAAAATATTCCCACAGATTTGCCAGCCAACAACAGAATATATAGTTTACATAAGTGGTGGTCTTCTTGCTTTTAGCCAATTTTGACAATCCTCCCTTTGGTGAATTTTAAAAGATCATACAGAAAGTTGCAAAAAATTGTATAATTTTACTTGTCATTAGATGCAGAAATATAATTTAATTTCTGAATGTATTTTGTTCATGAGTTACAAAATGATGAAGTTTTAATTTTAACCACTTGGTGGTGTGAAGTTATCAAGATTTGAATGCAACTCTAAGCAGTGTTAAAAAGATTCTTACTGCAATTCTTTTCAAGTGAACTGAAAATATACTTTGCAGCTGCTTGACAATAAATGTAGACAAAATTAAACAAGTAAGGGCTAATTTCTTCATGAAAATCCTTTGTTTTCATTACTGGCAGTTGTTAAAAAAAAGAATATTTTTAACCCAAAATATACTTTGCAGCTGCTTGATGATAAATGATAGACAAAATTAAACAAGTAAGGGCTAATTTCTTCATGAAAATCCTTTTCATTACTGGTGGTTGTTGAAAAAGGATATTTTTAACCCAAAATATACTTCGTAGTCTTGTATTTAGAACAAGCCATTTTTCCCATTTAATGACTGTTGGAAAGAAGCTCATTGTAGATGCTGACCTAGGTTTTGTTTTGTTGTCTTATGTTTGTTTTTTTTGTTTTTTGGCATTGTCTGAAAGCTGAGTTTTTGTGCTACAGCTGTATAACATGTCTTTCGTACTCTTTTGTCACTCTCTGAAGCTATAGTGTATCCATATAGTATTAATAATTATTATGTCTGTAGGATAAAGAGTGTCATCTTTGCAATTTGTTGGGGGAAAAATATATAATTATCAAGGATATCACTTGGATGAATCAACCTTAGAAGTTTCCAGTGCCAGTAGCAACTGGCTTTTTCAAGGCAGGTTCATTAACAAAACCATACACTGTTGAAACACTCAAAAATAAAATTAGAATGACAGACTTAAGCTTGGTACCATCAACACTAGACTGCAGTGTTAAACATGGTCAAAAAAGGGTGAGAGTGACCTCGTAACAACTGTACTGTTAAGTTACGTAATGCTATAAAACAGCTAAAGTGTATTGTATTTTATCCAAGAAGTTCAATGTGCAGACTAACTTAAGTAGAGGTCTTTGTTTGTCAGTTGAGTTCCACATTGATGGACTGTTACACCTTTGTTAATGTCACTTGAGGAGTGATTTTTATTCCTATTTTACTTTCAATTGTAGTTGTAATGGTGACCATACTTTGCTATTTTGTCTTTTAATATTTTCTCATACATTTTGTACATACATGTATCAATTTTGTTGATCCAGTTTAATTTGAGTAGCAGTTTACAGCAACAAAGGTAATTTTTCTGTGTTGTTGGTTAGGTCAGATCCTGAAAAGATCAGAGACCTTGAGGATGAACAAGAGGAGTTGAATGGCTCTCTACTTGCTCTCACAAGCCATTTTGCCCAGGTACATGGCTGTATTTTTTATTATTATTACTTCTTTCTTTGGAGAAGGATGTGTAATGTATTTAAATGGAGTGTGCAAGCTTGGAGCTTCCAAAATTTATAAAAATAATGTCTGGGCTAAGACTCTTGGTGAAAGACTCATTTAATCTAACCCTGGATCATTGATAATAGTTTAAAACAAAGATTGGTAATGGCTGCTGAACCTCACTTTGTTGTGTTCTTTACACATGTACAAATAGGTCCAGTTTCGATTGAAGCAGGTTGTTGCTGCTCCCGCAGAGACTAGAGAGGTTTGTTAAACACACTGAACAAGATGTGCATGTCTAATCAGATATTCAGACCAATCTTTTCTTGTAATGCAGGGGGAGACCAGGGCCCAATTGTTGGAAGGCCGATTAGTGCCAACCCAGGGTGAAATTTTAATCTAGGTTTTTTTATTTCTTTTATCCAAAGCCTTTTTAGGGAAAAATTTCCCTATTCTTTTTTGAACATCCAACGATGAAATTGCACGCAAAAAGATTTTGTGTTAATTTTCTTTGAAAGCTTTAAGACCTGATATGAAATTCCACCCTAACCCTGCATTATCTTAACCCAGCTTTGAACAACTCGGGCCTGGAGTCTAACTGCATGATGTTCAAATATACAAAAAAAGCATTGTGTACAAATTATTCCTTTAAGCCTCCAGGCAAAGTTTTTCTAAAACTTTCATGTGATGTGTTAAATAAATGCAACACTTTTTCATGGTAGTAATACACATGTATGCATTCTTGTCTACTTTTAATTTTTAATTCCATATTAAGCTGTATGTTGTGGGTTAAATTGATATCAAACTAGGTTGAATGTGCTTTTATTTGTTAAAGAATAATGATGGTATAGCTTGAACATAGAAAATTCAAATTTTACTGGTTGAAAATCATCTCACCTAAAGCTAAATTCTTGTGAAGCTGCAATACAAACTATGGAAACCGTAACAATTCACATGTGATACATGTACATGTAAGTACATACAGTACACTATTTGTGCATACTCTCTAGAAATTATACAGTAATATCTAAATTATTTGTGTTTTGTTTCTTTGTTAGCGTTTGTTGATGGAATTGGAAGAGTTTGCTTTCCAAGGATGCCCTGATGTACGTGGTCCAAAAGCAAAGGAAAGTCCAAAGAAGGCATTGAATGATAATGGTGCAGGAGAAAATGTAAGTTTGGAAACATTTGTTTGGAGTGTTGATTGATGGGGCTGCATTAGTTTAGGAATGCCGAGTATGTTCACTTTCAACCTCTAAAGATCCCGTCAAGACTTTCAAAGATTGATATGAGGCCAAAGTGAAGATTATGCAATTATGTAGTCTGATTGTGCAAATAAGAGTAGTCCTGAGAGGGAATTAGGGACTAATGTGTAGACAACCAGAGGGGAGGTGGTCTGATCCAAGGCTAGTAAGAAGTTGCCCATCAGTCAAGTGTTATTTACAAGACTGACCTACAAGTTTATGCAAATCAGGCTTACAGACTACAACTGTAACATTACTATTATAATAATAATTGTTATTTAATTTTTGAAAATCTCTTTCATTTCAAAGCTCACTTAGGGTTTTTTTTCCTTCCAATTGCCTACAACAGCCTCCAAAAGCTCTTAAATTAACTTATAGAGAGTTGCAAATAGCTGTTGTCATTAGTTAAAAATTGGTTCATTTCCAGCAAATTCTTACCTTAACCTTGCAGTTTGCATGTGAATATTTTTTTTATCCAATAATAAGTAACATGAGGGTTTGATGGAACAAAATGCAATTTTTCTACAAATGTAAGCCAAGAAAAACAACCCCTGTAGAATAATGCAAATGTAACCATTATCAATAATAAAATGCCCAAACACAATTACAGTGTACAGTGTACATGTACTTTTTTCTGGCACCAAAGTGTCCTCTCTCCAGAATTCAACAAAAAGTAATGACAGCCCTAGCCATGACATCTGGGATCATCTTTTTACAAATTTATAGATGGCACTAGATTTTCAGTCCACAATTTTTTTACCACATTGATGTCTTGAAATGATTCATTTTATATAACTTATCTTTTTCCTCAAATATTTAGAACTTACAGGAATATGAACTGAAGCTGAGTGTGGAGAAAAGGAAACAAGCTAGCCTGATAGGACAGCTAAAAGATCAGTTAGAAGAAATGGAGAAATGTGTGGCTATGGTAAGATTAACACTTGTGGTGATATTACATGTACTTATAGATTGAAATATTAGAAATTTAAAAAATTAGCAAATTGAAAAATCGGTTTGAATCCAGGATAGTCAGGTTGTAGATGGGTGAGAATACTGTACTTTCTTATCCTTCAACTGCTAAGAGTGCTACTCACATCTTATTTCTCCCTATAATATCACCCCTGAGTCTCATGTTGAGGTCACGAGAATAAAGGAAATGATCACCAACTAAAGAAGCTCTTGATTGTTCAACTAGTTCTCCTTGTCAGAAAGCTAGGAATCATGTAGAGAACAGTAAGGAGATTATGCATACTGATGTTAGGGTGAAAAGGGTTAAAATGTCTCTTTCTCCTTATCACCTTTCTGCATGTAAATTCTTTTGACATTGTGAGGAGAAATTGCTCATTGGTCACCCATGGAATGGACAGGTTTAATAGCAATAGAGAAATTTATTGATAGTCAAAATGTGTTTCCTAACTAGGGAGCTTCTGCAAATGTGAATGAAGAAATAAGCCCTGAAAAGCTTGTGGAGAAGCAACGGATCGTGATTGAGGAATTGAAGTAAGTCCAACTTTGTCAAGTAAACCTTGGGTTTTTAACACAGCAAAACAGTTGATAATTTACATGTATCATTTTTCACAGTGATATGTACATTATTTGATAAATTCTAGACAACATGTTTAATAATCTATGGGAAATTTTTTCCTTCAATTTTAAAAGCCAACAAAATAAATAAATGTTACCGGCAATTAAGGGATAATTTACATGTAGCATGACTTAAACTCAGGATGAAATTATATATTTTTTTCTATTGTAGGCAATTATATTATTTAGTTGATTGTTTTGTATGATTGTTCTGTTATAAAGATTTTCATGAGCATATTGATAATAGTTGACAGAATTAAATATGAAATGCACATAACATATTTTTTAAACTTTTTAATATGTATCTTTAAGTTAAACTGTTTCTTGTTTAAATTTTTAAATTGCTGAAAATAAGGAAATGCTAGTTGTTCAAAACTGACAGTTATAAGATGATATACATTTACACTGTCATTACCTGCATGCAGTAAATTTGTAATCAACTTCAGGTGAAATAGCACAAGCATGTTAACATGGTCACACTTAGTCGATAGGCTTCATAAATCTTTTTTTTATTTATATAATAAAAAATGAGACAAGTACATAACTATTAAATTCTTAATAAGCAGTGCTCAAAGGACGGTGGCCTGTGAACTGGTGTTATTGGGGATGAGACTTGCTGCGGCAGATATACGGTATAAATGACAGTAAACTTTTAAACAAATCTGATAAACTTAATAACTTCATAAATGACCCCAGACTGTTGATTGTGATTGCATGGAAGAGAGAGAGGTGTCATGAAAGAAAGCAGTTGTTAAACTAAAACAGGCATCATAACCAATCTACAGTGTGTGGGGTCATTCTCATCTAAACAATCACACTTAAAGCAATGAATAAATTGTTGGATGTTCAATTTAAAACTTTAAAACTTTGATCTAACCTCTAAACTATTGAAAACAAAAATGTATGAGATATCTAAAATGTTAGAATGAAAGAGTAAAAGGAGACTAAAGATTTGATATGTAAAATAATGTTAAATTTTGTACCTGAGATCAATCTAAGTTGTCACCTCAATTATCATTATATGAAAACAGTCTAAACGAGTGACTATAATTTTAATTTATTCAGTAGATATTGTTTTCTTCTATAAGGTGAAACAAATATTTTTGTTTGAATTTGAAGTAACTGATGATCATGTTTTAAATGCGAAAAAATGTTTATTTTCTTAAGGACAAAAATGGGTCTCAACTTAGATGGAATAGAAAAATTAAGGTGAGGACAAGTTTCATTCATCTTTGAAGAAAGACAAAAGAAACAGGGAAATCACTAGATGAATGCTAGAGCTGTTCTCTAGCAGTGCTGGATCCTTACTTTAGCTCTTGGAAGCCTGGGAAAATCTTATGCAGAAAGCATATATGTTGGGCAGTTTTTCTCCTGGGCAACTAGGGAGCCTTAGTTTTTTTATGTAGAAAGCATATGCCAGACAATTTTAGAGGATGGGCTCCCTTCAATGTTTCCCTAGATCACAACCTTGCATACAAATAAACAACCACTTACCATGTGTAGTTGAATCATGTTTGTTATTTTCAACTTCCAATGACTTCTATGCTTCATATTTAGCATTTTCCACCATTTTTCACTTAGGCCTGGTTTTCAGATGCTGAACTTTTCAGAACCAAATGAAATTTGATTTTAGTTTGACCTAGATAAATGTAAACAAAGCTTCATGTAATGTGTATACCTCAAGTGTTAAGTTAGACATCAAACTTGATTTGATAATTACAATGTGTCTTTTATGTTTTTTTTTTCTATGTTATTGATACATTATTATTCAGATTTAAGCACATTGTAAATCTGTCACAAATTTTAGTCAAACAAATTTACACGTTGTATTTAATAATAACTTGTGGAAGGCAAACAGAATATTATTCATCTTGAGGAATTAGAGTCTGAAGTGAATATTTATTTTAGTATAATTGCTCTGATGCTTTCTTATTCTGTTGTAAATTTGTTTTTTTTTTTAATTTTTTTGATTACTGGTATTGAGATGAGCAGCCAGATTCCACTAGAATTTGACAGGCCTATTTAATTCAATCAGCTAAAACTTCATATCTTTCTTTTGAAAAGTGGTACACCAAACTTAGAAGCATCTTTTGTGCTATTCAGAAATGTTCTGGGCTTATCACTTCCTCTATAACTTTGAGGAAATGGGAGGCAGCCATTGTGAAATTTAGCACCCCTGCTATAATGACCTTGTGCAAGGTGATTACAAGAAGATATGATGCAGTCCTCAACCAATCAGAGTGTGCACATCTTTTTAATCACTGGAGAAATTATACTAAAGCCAAATTATCCCAACAGTATGTGCATTAAAACCTCTCTGTTATTTCTCTCTGTGTTTCAGCAATGATGATGTGCGAAAAAATGTTGACAGTGCTATAGGAGAGGTAAGAAAATTGAAATTAAATGCAGTTCTGATGGAGCCTTATACAAATCATTGTCTTACTTGGAAATGTGTGAAGCATTCTTGACTGTACAAGTTTAATTACTGGAACTAATTATGTTTCATTTTGGTTTTCATGACCAGCTGATGAATCCTGTCAAGACAAAGGTGGGGAGACTATAGCTACTGTTGTAAAAAATTCTATTTGCTTTTAGTATCTTCTTTGTTTTTTTGTGAATCAATAGTTTACTCTTTTCATTTAGGAAGAACTTGTTAAACAACTCACAACTCAAATTGCTGATCTAGAAAGATTTGTCACCTTTTTACAAGGTTTGTGTTTGAAAATATATGTTTGTTTAATTACATGTTTTTTTTAAGCTTTTAGCCACTGGTTTGGTAACCCTTATAATTACATGTAATCCTTTAACCCCCAAGATCTGGTTGATAATTCTCCTCTCTAGCTGCTACACATTTCCTTGTAAATAAGTTACAAGAATTTGTTGTTAAATCAAGGTAACAACTTCTACCTGATAAGTTTGAGTATTTTCATTACCCGTTAGCTGGGTAATGTTTGGATATTATAGGGAAAAGATACATATGAATCGCCTCTGGGAGTGGTTCCCAGGCTTTGTCCTTATCGTGACGTTTTCCTGAGAGGGTTCCAGCGTCAGTTTCTTTTCCTGGTAGTACAGAGAGACATTGTAAGAACGAAGTGTTCTGAACTATCATAGCGACCTGAAATGGCTTAAAAACACGAGCCTTTGGATACAGAGTCTTGTCTATTAACCCTTTGTAATTTGTAATTCTCCTTACTGTCAACCATACGATTCTTATAATGTTAGTTCAGAGAATTTAGTATTGGATCGAGTAATTATCCCCAAATTGATATTTTTCTTTATTCTCATCGCTTATCTGGTTGATATTGTATTGACATTGTAAGGAGAAATTCTGTCTTGGTCACTCATGGGAGTTAAAGGGTTAACCACTTGACTACTGTGTTGCTACACGCGTCTCTTCCTTCATAATTCATTTATTGTCTTACAGGAGAAGTTGAGAATGCAGAGGAGCGCACTGAACGAGCTAAACAATGTCCGTGCCCTGTACACGCCAAAAGAGGCGGAAGAAAGCAAAAAGATCGACTGAGGGTAAATTGTAAATTTCTTTGATTGTAAAACATGGTGGATTATCTTTCTGCTATTTGAAAATTTATCAAAATATGTAGAAGTTGTCTATGAACAAGGAAGAATTCGATGAATAGACATTAACCGATTAAAATTTATCCTTCGCCAACACTAGCATGAAAGTAAAGCCTTTAAAAGACTTCTCAATTTGTAAAAGATGTTTTAATTGTTAGTTCGTTTGATTGTTTACTTATTAAAGGGTAAAGGAGCGCACAGATCAATGGAATATTCATCGGAGAGCGAAAACAAGCTGGATTATCCGTGTGACTACAGCTTACAAGAGGATATGTCTGGCAGTGACGATGGTAATGGGTGCTGTCTTCACGTGCCTCCCGTCCCTGAAACACCAGAGCAGGTCCATAGTAAGGTGAGATATGACTCGTATAGTATTTGTACACCCTGTAGTATTATATACTACTGTAGCTTCAAATTGTAAGTCTTCCTATGTAGCTTTGTGTTTCTCCGCTAAATGTCAGTTCAAGTTTAGTTACTTGCTGCTTGCGAGTATTGATTTTTCATTCCTTGATTAGTTGATAAGCAATATCTCAAATAAACTTTTCTTTTTTTTCTCTTTCAAGCAGAGAATCCGAGATGCAAGCCTGGCCATAATCAAAAGAGCACTGGCAATTTTACAGTTGTTTGCGATAAGGTGAGGCAAACTTTAATGAATGACTCTCTTTTAATTCTTTCTGCAATAAGAAGTGAGGTTTTCAAAAGCTAGAAGCGCGTTTCTCGTTATGCAGCCTGGATTTAAGTTGTGGTAAGGGAGGAGTTGTTTGTCTGTCGAGTGCAATAAATATTATGTTTTGTGAAAATGTGATTGTTCAATTTTACCGTGGTTATTGTCTATAAGACTCGAGAACTATGAGTCAAAAGAAATACCTCTTGAAAGCGGAAAGTCGTGCAATTTACAGTTAGAATTATATTGTACCAAAAAACGAAGAGACGTTTGAAAGTGAGATTCTCTCGTGGGGCTTTCCAGCCGCTCTTCAGGTTTTAGGATAACAAGAGAATCCCAGCCATGGTAAGATCTTGTAAAGGATCGACAAGACTCTTAGATGGCCGGACCCAACAATTATGTGTTAACATTGGTTATCACTGAGGACTTTAAGTAATGACTTGTTATGTTGCTGTGGCTAATTTCCTTTTATTCCTTGTGTCTTAAAGTCAGTTTGGGTGTACTGGGAAACAGATTCAAGACCAGATTATAAGAAAAGCTACTTCAGTAGCCGCACCAGGATACTTGTGAGTAATTCAGATCTGAGTTAGCCAAAAAGGAGCTAAGATACTTTAAGTCGAAGAAAAGTTGTTGGAAGAAGGAGAATTTTCTATGACACATAAGTCTCGATCATGCAAGGAAGAAAAAATTATGAGTTCCCGGGGTGCGAAGACTCGAACCTCAGACCTTCCTTTTTTGCGGTACGATACTCTTCCACTGATCTACAGAGAACCAGTTGGTGCGCTAGATCAATTGCTATTGTATATATGATCAGCGTCCAGCTTAGTCCTGGAATCAGCAGAGTTTACAGCGTCATGGCTTGAAAAAGATTTAAAAGCGAGTTGAAGCTTAATTATAGTCGAAATTGATCAGCTTTAATCATGGTTGTAAAACTAGTCCATCTTTTGTTTACAGCGAAAATCTTGCACAGCTCCAGCAAGCTGTGCTGAAAATTATCGACATCAAATCACGTGAGCCTCCCAGTGATGGCGAAGAGTCTGGCTCTAATTCTCCTCAGTCTCCGATGGCCGTGCAAAGACGGTCTCGAATTCGCACCAGTTCGATGTCTTCTGATACCACAGAAAGCAGTGACAGGGTAAAATAATAAGTAAATAAGACTAAAGTAATAACAGTGAGCCATCAGAACAAAGGATGATAACACAACAGTATAATAAGAACTTGAACCTAGCATATGTACACCGGTTGAAACGCGGGAAAACGTTAGTGACCAAGTCACGATTGGTTTTTTCTTAGCATGTGATTGGCCTAATAGGAAGCGTGCTTTTTTTTTTAAGCCGATTACTCAGTAAAGTTAAAATGAAACTGTTGATATCCCGAATTACTTGAATCGATCCTCAGTTGAGAATTTCTCGAAACTCTGACGGCTATTTTGATTTCATTCCAACCCGTTGTACTCAAAGGCAATCTTTAGTTATTACCAGATGCAATTATTCTATTTATCTCCTTCTTATTTTGTTCATTTATTTTTTAGTTTGATTACGCCAGAGATGCTGAACTGGTGAATGTCGTTAGAAAAGATCTGGCCATGGCATTGAAGGCTTTGTTTCAACATGGACTAGTGAGGGTGAGGCACTACTGACTGAGCTTTAGACCCTCTCTGTATTTCTATATCTTCTTCTTTTCCTTTTTTTTCATTTTTTAGTTATTTATTTAAGTTGTAAAGTCCTTTAGCCGAAATAGATAGTCGAAAACAAAGCGAATTGGGACTGAACATTCGCGAAATTTCAACCAGGTTCAGATCTTCAGTCTATTGTCATACGTTCATTATTTTAGTTGCCAAGCCCCAAAAATCTGCTCTGCTAAAGTTATCCTTCAAACTAGCATAGCTATTGGACATTATTGATACGATTTGTTTGTTCAAGTTTACATTTATGTTTTCAGTCTGTCGACAATCGTCTCATATCTTCCAAGTCACTCGTGGCATGTATTGTACCAACAACAAGGTCTTCCTTTCCCAAGAGAATGCATATATGGGAACTTTTCAATGAATATTACGGAATGAAGGTTGGTTTCTCTATGTTAGTTACAGCCATTTAGTTCCACTTGTTGACCTTCCCTGCCGAAACTGTACGAGTTCTTCAACGTACTTTATACAGAATCCATGAACATGTACACTACAACAGAACACATTCTGAAGCCTTGGAGCCATGTTACGACTGACCACGTGTCGTCGGCCAGTTCTTCTCCAGGCTTAGCTCTTTTTTTTGTTCATTTGTGGTCTATTGGCAGTCTTGTTAGGTACCGTAGTTATCTCTGGCTCGTTAGGTTACCCCCTATGGTCAGTAATGTTGAAACTCACTGTTTTTTTTTTCATCAATATTTGTTAGCATGGTAGAGAATATAATTCTACGCCTGCTAGACGGCTCTCTGAGGCGTTTGGTATCGAAGTTCAAGGTACAAACATCGTCACAGCCAAACAGGTGAGTGTATGTTTCCGAAATATTCATCCTGTCTTTTTTTTTTTCTTTTTTTTCTTCTTTCATCAACGAACCCCTCAAATTCTTTAAGCCTACCATTCTCTTTCCCTTAGGAAATTAATATTGACCATTAAACTGATTCACACGTTAGGCCAATAATAAGTGAGCTCAGGAAGTATTTTCAGCCTCCTGATGTTGACACACCCGTAATTCGGTATTCTGGTGCCTGTCTGATATGCCAGTATTTGTTGCCTCCTACAAAAAAGACTTACACACACCTTTACTCAAGGTTTTTTTTAAATATTGCAATTTATCTTTTTAGACCCTGTTGAGAACACTGCATAGAATAAAAACAACACACGAACCCTGTAGGAGAAGCATGGATGCAATGGTAAGCTGTTAGCTGGAACACCCAGGGCCCAGTTTTTCGAAAGCCGATTAGCGCTAACCATGGGTTAAATTTTAATCTGGGTTTCTATACTTCTTTGTTCGATAGCGTTTTTGAGATCATTTTCCTCTACTCTATATGGAGCATCTAAACATCAAATTGTTGACAAAAAGAATTCTACTGAATTTTCCTTTAAAGCTTCCAGAGCTGAAATCCGATTTCACACTAACCCTGGGTTATCTAAACCCAGCTTTGAACAACCCAGCCCAGTTCTGTAAATAGATACATATCTTTCTCTGCAAGACTCTAGTTGCAATGAAACATTTTGAGGTAAAATCTCTCTTCTGTAGCATTGATGCTTCTTTATTCGTATCATTTTACAGTCGTCTGAATTTGTGGAAATTGTTTGTGTTCTTTACATCTCACTTTTCGCGTAACGACTCTTCTTCTAATTATTTGTTTTGTTTTTTATTTCTTTTCCAGTTCAAATCTTTGGTGTGCGCTGGAATAAAGTAAGTTGCGTCTAGCGGTTTCTTAGCGTCATAAGAGTTCTCTAATCACAGCCAATCTGTTTTTAAAAACTTCAAGGCTGTTGATAGTTTTCACTTCATTGATGTTGATTATGAGTATATCATAGGAAAGTAATGCAAGTGGGTGTTTTTCCCTGACGAGGGAACTGACCCCAAAGGTTTTTTTACTGATTACAGAAGAAGAATTTACTCTATTAGATATATTACGATAATATTCTTAACCCTTTAACTCCCAAGATTTAATTAGTAATTCTCCTTACTCTCTGCCATACAATTCATGTGATGTTAGTTTGGAGAATTTGCAATTGGATTAACCAATAATCCCCTAATTGATATTTTTCTTTATTCTCATTACTTCTCTGCTTGATATTATACTGATAGTGTACGGAGAAATTCTGTCTAGGTCACCAGGGGGGCTTAAAGGGTTAATTTTTGAAAAAAAAAACATGTTCATGATTCCTTGCCATAATAGGGCCATTACACTTAAAGTATCGATACTCTACCGGCCAATAGAAATATAAGGCTCTTAGGTTCACTTTCTTTCACTGAGCTTTGTCGCCATTAACGGAGTGTGTGTGGGGTGTGGGTTACCTAAGTCCCCCCCCATTTCTTCTCCCAACCTTTTATTTATTTCTCGAGGGTCTGACTTCTTTCGTTAAATATTTTTCAGTCAAAAAAGACTGACCCACTGGTGTCGTCTCATCGTGAAGAGTTCGTCACTCTTGGAAGAACATTACCAATCATGGTCGTACGTTTTAAAAACGGGTAAGACTTGTTTTATAACAGGTTAAACTTGTTCTAACGTTTAAGCCGAGGCTTTCTTTTATGGGTATTTTTGGCTGTGGGGACATTTCTCCATCCATAAGCTACAAAGGTTTTGGCAAACGACCGAGTTTTTCCACGTCCATAACGTAGGCGTAGCTGACCTGATAAACCCTGCGTTTGTTAACAAAACTTCACATTTATGGAAAAGAAAAGTGATTACATAGAGACTGCGACTTCAAGATAAAGTCTCCTACAGCCTTCTTCGCCCTCTTCAAGTGGTTGAAAACGAGGCAAAGCTAATAAACCCCGAAGCAAAGTAAAGTGCCTCTTTAAAACTATGCTGAGAGTTTGACCTACTCATCTCACTAGTTGTAAGTGTATAATCAGATTCGTTATATGAGGGAGAAATATACTATATTTTTTATTCGATTCTCTGTTATGATCATCATCTGACTCAACTGTTTACTATTTTCCAGGAATGAATGAGGCTTTAGAACACTTGGATCGTCTCAATGAGTATAATTTCCATATCCCTGAAGATTTGGCCATAAGACATCTAACCAAGATAAATGACGCCTTTGGAGACACTTGACTACTGACTGAATGTACATGAATCAGTTCACTTGATCTGAGAATAGAAAAAAATATTAAAAGGCAATTTTCTTTAAGAACTCTGGTAACGTTTGACTGAGAAAATTGATGAGCTTATATAATGGTATTATTTTGAGATCCAGTTTATTTAATTTGCTATCAAACAAATCTGCTATGAAACTCCGGTTGAAAATATTGTTTTTCTTGGGATAATAACTCTATGTACATATTTATTTTGCAGTATAGAAATCTGCTTTTGTACGTTTTACCTTTTTATGTATGTTTTGTTCACGATTATTGTCTTTGATTCAATGCTACTATTTTTCTTTACTTTCGCTCACCAAAAAATGGTGCGTTTATTCAACAGAAAATTATCGTCATGAACAATTACCCTTTTGTTTCTAAGAAGGCTGTTGGCAAATTGAAAGATGCACAAATAAATAACTATAATTAAGCTTATGTTTATATCTTTAAAGAGAAACTATTTAAATCATTGACTCAACCGTAAAACTTTCCTCTTAAATTATTATGGATTGCTGAAGAACGGGGTATTTTAAAATAAATTCATATATATCAATAGAATGTACAGTAATACTGTTGGTAGTAAATATAATTGATGTAACATTAATGACAAATCGCTTTCCTGAGAGGAGAAATTCACATCCTAAAGTGCAATAATATGCCAGGAAAATACAGTTGGAATACAGATATGGACTCATGATATTGCTTCTTGTACAGTAAACGTAGAAGCTGCTAAAATCTCTCTCAGCGTTTGTGTTTTTGTGGCTATTTATGAAAGTTCACTAACATTCCCGCGAAGATCCCGCTAACATTCCCTCGAACGAAATAAGAGTTTTGTTCTTTAAGGGCAATGAAAAATCTAAAGTAAGACTGTGCTCGCAATTGGAATTTTTTTTTTTTGCGAAACTAAGTTGATTTCAACGATTTAATTTTCAACTCGTGAATTATGGTATCAAGAAAAGGTCGCGTTTACCTACTCAGTTGGCCATCATGTGGACAATCTTATCAAACCCTACAGTTGCTTCTCAAAATCGTATCCTTGGTTGATGACATATCGATTACTTAAGCTCGGGCCTCTTCAAACCAATCGCGCTGTCTAGTCCAACTCAATTTTTCTTTCTTTAACTTTGATTGGGCTTTGTTATTTGCGCCTCCATTATGACAACGCTTTTTGGTGTGAACGACTTGTTTTCTAACGCGAACGAAATAAGAGATTTTGAATGAATTAAGAACAATTAATATCTTAGCAGATGACGATATTTTACGGTAGTGGTTGACGTACATAAAAAAGGCATTAAGGAGAAGGCTGTAAAATGTATACCACTGGCGTAGATTTTGATATTGGTATTTGCACATAGCCACCCTGTGTGGGAGATCATTAAAATTACAACTACCAATGAGTGGGGTCACTATGATAGAATAAAGAGAGGATCAGGGATATTTTAATGTGACAAGACTAAAATCCTCTGGACCTCCTGGCCTCCCTCCCGGCCTGCCCTCCGCCGATGAATACAGAAGTTCCTTTACAATCAAGAATAAAGTGAGACCGATAAGGTCAACTAGAACATCGATATCGCCAAGTGAATAGACCCAATATGGCCGAAGACTATGATCCATGTTGCTTAAGGTTATTATAGATAACGACAGCGGGTCGCAAATGCAATTTTGGGGGGTGATGTATGTAGACATCTCCACTAAACTCTGTTTGGAAACTTAAGCTAACAGAGGAAACAAATTTATCCTGGCAGAACGAAATACGAGACCCCTTTCAGGGATGGATGTTTAATTAGTTTTTTTCTATTTATCTATTGGTTAAAAGTTTCGGGTCATTCGAGATAAACTTTGTTTGGCAGAGAACATATGACTTAAACCAAAAACTTGCGCAATAAGTGAACATTTTATTTTATTTTATTTTTTTATTTCTTTTTAAATATAGTCAATTACTACCAATTCACGTCAATGTAAATGTAACAAAACGAATTGAATGATATAATTTACACAGAAAAATGTTTAAAAAACTCGGTATTTTACTTTCTGGTTAAACCGTGTTTGTCTAGTTCAACTCGGACTGGCCACAGCGAGGATAAATGTCTTCAGTTCGATTACTTACGTTGACTGGTTGAATGTTTGGACAAGTTGTAGGAGTAGGACTTATCCACGCCGAATCCAACAGGCCTACTGGCCGCCGTAAAACACATCAAGGTATTTGCTCCAGCTGGCACGCCTTCCTGTCGAACTCTTTTTTCACTATGCGAAACGCAACCAAGGGGAACAGTGCTTTCTTTGTCTGTGGTGTTTTTCCTCATCCCTGGCATCAAAGGATATGCAGTGAACAATGGCTTTAAAAGAGTAGTGCTCCCTTCGTCTTTGGGGCAGTTGCGAAGAGAATTTCTCCATGAAGGTTTAGGGTTTGATGATGCAGTTGACTCGCTCTTCATAGTTTCTTCATCCTGAGATATCTGTGATGAGACAAGCCATCTGTACTCTGGTACGTTGGATGAACGTTTCAAAACGCTTCGAGACTGATGTTGAAATTTATCGGACGAGGACAACTTCTCAGGAGTTTTCGAACTTTGGTTCGGAGCGCAGCTATCTTCGTCGCTTCTTGGACATTTTTCTTCATTTTCCACTGAACCACCATGCTCTTTCCGCTCCCTTACGTTTTTAGCATTTGTTTTTGACGCATGGATTGCCGTTTGGTCCTTTATCGATGCTACTTTCGAGTTGAACGAGCCCATTCTGTATCGGACTGTTAACAGCTCAGGGCGGACTTGTGTTATGGCACTTGGTAATTCTCTGTATGTGGAGTAATTATCATCCCTTTGAGATACCGTCCACGTGTTTGATTACTGCATAAACGCTTTTGAGATGAGCGCAAATTAAAAGGTTCTTCCGACGTCAAACTGCTCCAAATTGTTATTTTGCATCGGTAAACATAAGCTCAATAGAACGGTAACTAAGTTTAATTTGTGCACGATAATGAACTAGACAGAGATGTTTTTCGGTCTTGTCACGAGCGTAGAACAGAAAATAATTCTGAGTACTCATGAGGAATAGACCTTCAGACCTTCGGATACCATGAAGAAAAAAATCATTACATCCTCCCCAAACATCAACAGCAACTTCCTCCAACCATGGGCTAAGTTTTGTAATGTCCACCAAAGCAATAGTACGAAAAAAGAAAATAACTTTTGAAATAACAATGATAATCGAGAAAATTTACTGATTCATGTAACTGGAGAAGATATTATATCAAGAAATTGGAATTTTTAATTCGAAAAGAACTCTCCGCTCTACTTCATGACGTAGTTCAATTTGCTGCGTAAGAGAGGTGTTAGTGTCGGCGAGTTCAGAAGTAGACAGCGCTGCGCAACTTTGCGCGACATGCTTTTATTGGGGATAGAATCACGATCAGTTCTTTAGCTGTTTCAGATAAGCAAATACTTGTGTGGCCTGCCATGAACTAGGTAATAAAACTGTTGAATGCAACTGAATTGGCGTTACCAGCAAGAGCCGTATGAGAAATCGTACTACTGGTGCTATGCATGTCCACGATACACACACAAAAAAAAGAAGGGTACGAGATAGATTCTGGAAATGAATCGTAATGTAAGGCGCATAAATCCAACCATTACGAGAGAGTCATTTCGTGAGACCAGATGTGCCCTTCCCTGACAGTTTGCTGCACATGATTGTCCCAGTGTCGTACCATTTTCCATACTGATTCGCCATAAAGACGTTAACTTTCAGCCTTTGGAAATGGCCTAAATAGTAAGCAGGGAGAACGACACAAGATTTCTATCAGCGGGGTCTTTGCACCTTGCCCAGTTCATTAACTCGGTCCTAATCTCCAACATAGGGTGAGTGCAGGCGATTTGCAATTAATCAGGCAAGATTCCACCACTATCTGGGACTTTCTAAAATTAAAATTGTAGATTTCGCGGCACGAGCATCATTGATGGAAAACAAAGAGTCACTGTCAAGGGTTGTTTCAGAGTGCCAGTTCTGATCACTGGAGATGGAAAGTACTGACTTAAATAAACGATTAAATGATGAAGCGAAAGACGTCACATTTACAACGTAAATCTTTTTATTTTAGAGCTGAGCTAGTTCATTTAGTTATTTTCGATCAAAGTAAATACTTGAGAGTGAAAGTCCCTTTCGTTAGGATAACATCAGAATTTTTGTTTGTTAGATATAAATAAACAAGATACCGTTCGTGTTTATTTTTCTGTTCATTCATGCATCAGATTAAAAAAAAATTGCTTCACAACACGTGTGCAACTTACAATTAAATGAACTTAAAAGTACCTTTTAAACATTACATACAAACAATTTATTCAAAGAAATTGAACCGATATTTTTGCCTTCCTCCGTGTTACTTTGAAGTTTTAAAAATTGGATCTAGACCTCAACACTCGTACTCAACCCTTTCATAGACATTAGCGCGTTAAGTTCGCACTTTTCTATGGAAACATACACTTTCTCTCTTCATTTTTCTCCTTTGTGGTGCGAACTGTCTGCCATGGACTAGAAGAATCATTTTGGTGAGAAATTTGCTTCTCGATTACACCAAACCCGACTGGAAGATTTCCACCACGGGATGAAGAAGCGTCTCCGTTATTTGCCTGTTTTGTGCTTCTATTCTCTGTCTTCTCGTAACTATTGACGCATGTTTTGGGATGTTTGGTCAGATTACTGTTTTTCGCTTCAATGGCTGAACAAGAAGAAGCGTTGTTTTGCTGTTTTCGTTTCATACTGGTTGATGGTAACTCAATAGGTTGTTGCCAGGAATTCAGATATTTTGCATGACTGTATTTCCGAATGCAATTGGTATTTCGTGTCTCTTTTTGCCGCTTGCCCTTTGCTTTCAGATCTTTTGTTGTGGTGTTCAAAACAACTGGTGACGAAGCTAGCCATGAAAATGATTGACCCACCTTCGGAGCCCCTTGTTGTTCATGGTTTGTGGCAGTTGTGTTTGATTCCGTGGCTCTATTCGCGGCGTTTGCTTGTCCTGAAGCTGGGGAGTTCTCGCATGTTTCCCCATTATTAGTTATCGAGTGATGTTCGTCCTCGATTCCTCGACTCGTTTCTTCTTGGGACGTTTTGCGAAAATTGCCACCATCACGAATCAATCGCATTTTGGTGCTAAATGATCCCATTTTTTGCAATTCTTTCAACTGCGACTGAATTTTGTTATCTGAGTAATTCTGAGTAATGATTTGAACCAAAGAGATCTTTTGACGCAAACTGACAAATGACGTCACTTTACAGGACGGGTGATTTCATAGCCTCAATTTTAGTCCCTCGCTATCCTTCCACTAGAGAGTGACTCCAAAATTTAAGAAACTGGGTTCAAGAGAGGACAGAATTCTGACTCAGAATTGACAGCTCAGCTTAGTTAAGTACTGAGCTACCTCAAAAATTGTCTGCGTAGCCCTAACACTGGCCACTGATTGATAGGTTCGGTTTAAAAGATCAAGTGCTCCGACTACCCAGCCTTACGGAGATACTGGCATGAGCCTCGGCACGTGACTACTTGAGAACAAAAGAGTGACGAAAAATGTTGATTGCACTGGTCACGTTGTTGAACATCATTTACTTTCAAAATATAATTTTATCGTTACTCTTTTGGATGATTTACTCACAGCACCTACGAACCCTTTCTTTTTGAAAGCTGGTTAACTGACTCAGATCAGATTCCTCTCAAATAACCTCTGGTGCCTTATAGACGAATTATTCACAACGTACACGTAACCAACAAAATGAAGAGATCAGCCTGGCATTGCCAACAGACGGAAAATGACATTAAAACTGACGAACGCCTTCCTGAATCTTATGTCACATAGCATTACAGCAAACTAACTAATCGATTTTCAGTCTTGTCGTTTCACCTTTGAACGTCGACTGACACAATTCTCTCCGACTCTAATGATGACCTCTGCTCACTTCGAAATCTCAGTAAGTTTTCTTTCACCCTTTAACAGCCAAGATGTGATCATTTAATTCTCCTATCTAGCCGTTATGCATTTTCTTGTAAATTAGTTACGAAAATTTGGTGTTAGATCAAGAGAACAACTGTTACCTGATAGGTTTGAGTGTTCTCATTACTTGTTGGCTGGATAATGTATGTGTATCAGAGGGAGAGATTACATATTAATCACTTCTGGGAGCTTAAGGGTTCAGAACCATGGCTACAGGACTGCACCGACCTAAAAGTTTACCCTACTCTACAAACCACCACTCAAAAATTCAGAAAAAGCGATTTGACAACAGATCTCTTTCTCAATCACAACTTAAAGCTGTTTTTTTAATGACCCTTATAAAATTTCTCTTAAGGTAACCTTTACTTGTTTAAAGAGTTGATCGTTTTTATCATCGAGCCACTTCTTATTTCCATATATTTGCTCGTTGAAATGATCGTAAATTCAAAGTTCTATCCAGCTACGTCGTAAGTTGGTAACCGAAAGTAGGAGACTGGAAGTTACTAAGCTTGCAGTTTAAGTCCACAGATTTTTCAGAGCAATAACTTACGACAGGTCTATCTTCTGAAAAAACCTACATAATCACGTGAATCCACTGGTATCAACTGGATATTCCCATCATTCAAGATTAAAAGATGTAAAAATATAGTGCTTTTGTCTCCAAAACAATTGACGTTGACTTAAGTTCCATATAATGAGAAGCGGGTGGAGAGGGAGGATGAAGTGTGGGTCTCAATGGACCTTCACCACCCCCGTAAGGAGCACTGCGGCTAAGTTTAAGGAGCTCGATCGCTTTCCATCCGGCCAAAAATTTGATGCGCCCGGCCCGAAATTCAAGGGAACAAGAAAGATTTCGGCATAATTTTATGAAAATTCAGGAAAACGTATGGCGCATTGCTCGTTTCCGGGAATAAAAAATTTTCGGAAATATTTTTCCATTGGATTTTTTCTTGGTGCTAGTTTTTTCGGCTACTGTCTTGAAACGAATGATTTAAAAGTTCTTGGACCTGCTCTCTTTGGCCATCAAGATCTCCCTCAGCTCAGGGAAAGGAACTTTGTTGGATGGAAAGCGCCCCTAATACTTAACAAAGCTTGTTCACAAAGATAACTACCTATGGCTTTATACGTGTGTTGTAATTGTGCTTGTAATTCCTCTTTACTTCGTTAATACTGAGGAATGTAACTGGCATTGAATGACCTGTTGGATACATCTATATGTTAGGTGATAATATCTCCACCTCAACAAAACTCCTACTATCGAAATTTATGTAACGATTCAGTAGTGTTCAGCATACATTTAAGTGGATCACAAAGCATTGTAGAGATAAACCTTTCCAAAAAAATCACACTCCCAGAGCACATAAGCGGAAATAGCTCTTGCAAAGTGGCAAAGACAAATGGAGAGCCACGGTAAATTCAAACTACTGAATCCGAATTATTCGGGATTTCTACGCTGCCTCATACGCCTACTCTATGAGAAACCTAGTTCTAATTCCTTCAGCCAAGAGCTTTTATTTCTAAGCCGGAACGCTTATCCTTTCCAAGGGAACTCCTGCGGCACTATTTTACTATCATAGCAACAATCTAAGTTACTTTTCTACATTAGTATCTGCTGCAAGTTCAGCAGCCACTCCTTGATCATTGGAAGATTTTTCCTCTTGTATTGAAGCTTTAACACCATCTTTTCCAGCAGCTGTTTCACTGTTCATTACGACTGATTTTCCACTTTGCATAACATCTGCTTGTTGATTTGACGCAATAATAAACGGCGAAACTTCCGATTCCTGAGCAACCGGAGGTGTATCACCTTCCGTCACATCATGTGTTGATACAAACCTTGTGTCACTATTTTCTGTTGGTGCCTCGATCTCTGTGGCAACAGATACACGCACCATTGTGACGTCACTAGGCTCAGGACTCATGGGATCAACTGTTACGTCATCTTGCTCTGAACCTCTGATTTCCTCCTCGCCTTGCGCTTCATCTGACGTAGCTGTCATGCCTTCGCTAGTCATGCAATATTTTTCTGGGTTAAGCTGATCAGTTTCCATCGATTCAGAAACAGGTTCTGTACGTTTAGAGTCGTCTCCTTGCCCCGAAATGTTTGCTAATTCATTAGTAAGAGTATTGACATCATCAACATTACTCTTAATCTTACTTTGGTTGCTTTCAATGTGACTTACATCTTGATTTGTTTCCATATTTTCGTTTTCCTGGTCTGTAACGCGCACCACCTCTGTTTCATCAGCTGTCACGCGCGTCATTTCCGCTTCCTCTACCGTTCCGCTCACTTCATCTGTTTTCGGTAAAGCCATGTTCACCTCTACTCTTTCGACCCTTCCATCACTCCTAAGCTGTGTAGTGCTTTCTTGTTCTACTTGTGGCTGATCCACATCAATAGCATCCTGTGCTGCAGCAGGACTCTCCACAAGCATTTCTTGCATATTTTCCTCCTTTTCCACATCTCCCTGGGTGTCCATGGCCTCTGAAGGCAGATTTGTTTCTTCTTCCACATCTTTAACATTCTCCCCTTGCCCGGGTCGCGGTTGCTGTTGTTCCAACACAGTAGTAGAGCTAGAGGTGTTTGTCTGAGAAGATCGGGGATCGGTCAGTAGGATCCTTGATGGAGATGTCTATGGAAAAAGATGATAAACATCAAAACTTCAAAAACCACATTCCTATGATTTACTAAGTTGATCTCAGTGCTGGCTGCCTTGACGCGCAGTTGACACCCGCCTCTATTACCCCGCCCCCTAAAAAAAAACAGCCAACTACATGTTTCTGGGCAGGGCATTCACTGATTAAAGTTCTAGCCAGTATAAAATCCTTAATATAAAATGCATCTTAACCACCATGTAATTAAATCTGCGAATATAACAATCAAAGAGATAGGGACATAATGCATGATATACTAGGAGAAAGATGGCCGATGTATCAAGGATGGGAGGGGGCCCTTTCATCAATCTCAACAGAAGATATTACCTCAGCAGTTTGTTTCTGAGCTGATTGCGCACCAGCAAGAGTCCGTCCCTGGCCTGAAAATGCCATCCGAGCATGGGATGTATCTCTTGGTGCAATGGCGCCACTGAAGCTTGCCTCGCTAAACAGACCCTTCCCACCCGTACCACTGCTGCTGCTCGTTTCCTCTACAGGTGCTTGACTTGAACGAGAGTGAGCCTGCAATAATGTTTCGTCGTCCAGTGGTTGCACTTGGATGTGCCGTTTACCAAGACACAGGTCCAATCGATCTTTTTCAGCATTGTAAGCAAACACCTTCATTTGTAATGAGAAAAAATAGACAATAACTGTGAAACATAATGCTTTTCAATCAGCGACGCAGACATGCATGTATATGTCATCAAAAGGAAACTTTCCCTTGCACTGCTCTAAAGACCTTCCCCATAACAGTAGTAACCTACCGAGCTGCAAGTAAAGGAACCCCGTAACAAAGGTAGCAACAGCACCCCATTAAATGCACAAAATAAGAGCCGAAAACAATTAAGAATAACTTGCTCACTACTAGTGATTACTTTGCTTTGTTTTGTCTTGGTTTTTAATAAGATAAAAGTACATGTATTCGGTGAGTAGGAAGCAAAATGCATGATATATACTTTGGTGATTCCTAGATACTACAAATTGCATGGCTATTGTCAAAACATGAACAAGTCTTAATAAGATGTGTGTCCCCTTGAGGACACTAGTTAGACATCATCCAACCAAGATTTCAAAAAACATGAGTTAAACTCCCATTTAGAAGACCCAGAAATTTTCTTTCAGGATATTTAGAGTGGAATGTTTCAACTTTTTCCATGAATTCATCTTCCTCTCATTCTCTTAAACACATAACATTGTTCTGAAACTTTACTGATTCATCAAAACTGATATCAGCATTGGTTTGGACTTGAGAAGAAAATTTGGATCAACGTCAGTGTCTCAGCAACTGTGCACCTACACACCCCTCCCCCCAACCCAATAACAGCCAACAGATAACAAGTAAGGGTCAATGTTGGGTTAGGGGAGGGGAGGGGAGGGGAGGGGAGGGGTAGGGATGCAGTTGCTCAGATACTGACATTGATCTTAAATTTTTTACTATAGATTTGACTTAACCCTCCAACTCCCAGAATTGATGAACATGTAACTTCTCCCTAAGGTATCCATACATTGTCTAGCAAACAGGTAGTGAGAATACTCAAACTCATCAGGTACAACTTATTGTCTTGATTGAGTACCAAATTCTCATAACCAATTTACAAGGAAATGTGTAGTAGCTTAAAGGGGGAATTAACAATCAGATCTTGGGAGCTAAAGTTTAAAATCACTGACCTTGTTTGGAAAGAAGGATAAAGTACAATGTTGATTTGGCTTAAGCTGACCCAGATCATTCATGACCTTGTTATAAAAATACCCTCCTTTGTCAAACATTTCATAACAGTTCTGTACTGCTTCCCACATATCACCACCAGCGAGTGTACCAAGAGCCACAAGGGCTGATGCCATGGCAGCTGTGTTTTCAGCTGAAAGTAGTAAAACAACAACAAAAAATGAATCACAATTACTTTATCGAATTATCACTCCTAAAATTTAGTGTTACAACAAGACCAAATTCAATATTTATTTCCATCTGTTTGACAATCTATTGTTTAACAGTTACAGTGCAGTACATTTGCATTGCAAGTGAATATACTAGTACATTCAAGTATCAATATGATATACACAAAATATGAATATACATGTAAAAATTATGAGCATATAGTGTGCACAAGTGCAAAGTTGTAACATGAGTGCAAACTACAAATAGCGCATGCCAAAGATACATCTGTCTTGACTTAATCTGTAAGGCTTTTCTCATGAAAATTATTAACAAAATGATTTCTCATGCACCTTCCTATGAACAAGAACTTGTAAAAATTTTCAAAGACTGTAAATTGCCCTACAGGCTCATGCAATTTTGATGTCTTTGGAAAATTTACTCATGGTCATCATCATTGCATGCAAAATCATGTCGTTACCTATACTTATTTGCAAGGAAATGTGTAGCAGCTGGAGAAGAGAGTTAACAATCAGATCTTGGGTCAGATAGTGTTATACATGTACCTTGTGCCTGTCCTTCTTCCCCAATCTCTCTTGTTGTAGGTGTAACTCCCTCACCCCCCTCGTTTTTTACTTCTGACATAACAACATCAGGAGGGTGCTCCTCAGGGACAACAGGCTTTAAGTGTTCCACCATCACACGGTCACCATGCTGCAAGGGAACAGGGTCATCCACATGACCTTCATCAGGAGGGTGCAGTTCACGGGGTGGAAATCCATACCTGAGAAAAATTATAAAACAGAGACATTTGAGAGAACAGCCTAAAAAGAGCAGGAATGGTTACATGTCTACTACACATGCACATGTTAGGACAGTGGAGTTCATATGATAGAAATCCATACCTGGATATTAAAATGTTACGAGGAATCCGTGAGACTACAGATCAGAAACACTTGTCATGTACAAACCTTCATGAAGTACTGGCTCCATGAAGCTCACCATGCAAATTCACTGAAGCTCAATGGTGAAGCATTGGGGCAGAACAGCTATAGAGTACAATTCCTTTGGGAGGAGTCAAAATCTTTTCTCTGTCTTATGCTTATGGCAAAATGAAAACACTTTTCTTTCACAACCAAAATAAAAAATTAACCTTTTTCCAAATTCAGACCCACTTATTTTAAGCCACCGTTTTGTGATTGGCAGCTTTGAGAAAAAGTCAGCCAGGGATCTGTGCACATAGCTTTACAAGTAATACCTTAAATCCCAAACAACATTTTTTACCTGATTCGCAGCTCTGTGTGAGGAATACCAAGTTCTTTTTCAATCAAAAGTAGAAGCTGTTGGAAAGTCGTGTCCATGGCAAGTGTCAACATGCTCTGTTTTCCATCTGATGTGGACAGTCGCACTTTCTTCTCTGTTCGTTTCACAACTGGTTGGGTCTCGTTCCCTTTAGCAGGGCTTGTTTGCTGGGCAGATTGTTGAGGTTTGACACTTGTCTGTATACATGCACGAGTGAGCTATTCATCAGTCATGTTACTATTAATAGGTATACAACATTTTTTATAGTGCCTTTTGGTAAAAAGATAAGGGTTAGCCTAGCATCTAATTTCTCCTTACAGTATCAGCCCTGAATCACATATAAAGGTCATGAGAATAAAGAAAATGATCATCAACTAAAGATGCTCTTGATTGTTAAAACAACTCTCCTTGTCAATACCTTAATGTATGGACACCAGTATAGAGAATATGCATAATGATTGGCATAACGGGTGAAAACAAGTATTTTCCATAATCAGAGAGGTAAATGTAGCACTGTTTACCTGCTGTTTTTGCACTTTAGCTTCTTTGTTTGCCGTTTTCTTTGTGCCTTCTCCACTTCTTCTCTTCTGCATAACAGAAGCATGGTGTTCTGTACGTGTCTTTAACACTCTCTCTGTGTCGCTCATGGTTAGTTCTTCTTTATGAAAAGTCTTCTTCTTTTCTCCAGTCAGAATAATCTTACTTGGTGAGTAGGAGCTAACACTGCTGACATCTTGATCACTGTTTGCGCCAGAGGCATTTTGTGAAGTAATGGAAGGCCGTGCTCCTTTAGGTGTTAATAAAAACAAAAGTTGAAAAATTGTAAATCAAAAAACATCAGGACAAACAAATCATATTTGTAAACCATGTAATGGCAATACAGATTTTAGCCTTTTAATCCTTTAACTCCCAAGATCAAATTATTAATTCTCCCCTCAAGCTGCTAAACATTTCCTTGTACAGTAGTCATGAGAATTTGGTGTTAGATCAAGATAACAACTAGCTGATAAGTTTGAATATTCTTATTACTTATTTGCTGGATAATGTAAGGATATTATGGGGAGAAGTTTCATGTTGATCACGTCTGGGAGTTAAAGGGTTAAAGCTAAATAGATTGATGTTCTCAGTTTACTACAAGTGGATTTCAACCCTTAATAATGTGAATCTATATTCAAATCAGCACAGCAAACCTTTGTTTTCTCCTTCCTTTCTTGCCGTTTGTCGCAAAATTATGTCTACCACTTTCTGTACAAGTCTCTCACTGCCAAATTCACCAGGAAAGTGTTTCTGCACCAGCTTTGATGCAACATCATACACATTGGAATTGAGAGATGGGTCCAGTTCATATTGGAACCAAAACACAGTGTCTTTCACAGTTGTCCCATTCCACTCCAAGCTTATTGGGAAACTAATAGCAGAGAAAGAAACAATAAAATATATCTCACCGTTAGAAGGTGAGAGATTTGACATTTTGAAAAGGCTGCTGCATTTAAAGATTTCAATCATTAGACCTTCATTCTGAAAAAGGGCTAACAGTAGAAAGATCAGTTAATCAAAAATTTGCTTTGGCTGCCATGATTACATGTACATGCCACTTGCCTGCTACTAAAACACCACAGTTTTGTTAAAAACTAAAACACTGCATTTTTAGTAATGGAATATAGATTTACATAATGACATCTTCCCTTTCACAAAAACACTTCCTTGTAACCCATTAACTCCCAGATCTCATCAATAAATCTCCTTGCTGTCTACCATACAACTGTCGTGATGTTAGTGTGGAAAAATTGGTATTGGTAATAATGTCTTAATTCACTTGGATTTTAATCTCATCTCTTGTCTGTTTGATTTTGTTATTGTATGGAGAAATTCTGTCTCCATAACTCATGAAAGTAAAGGGATTAAAAAGTATAAAAGCACTTTCTTTTACAGGAAAATTCAAGTAAAATGACAGAAAAAAGGTGACATCATGCTCCAAATGAAAGATCACCTTTGACAATTTCAAATAAAAAGTATTCATGGTTAAATCCAGCCATGGTACATTACAACATCATCATGTAAGTATTATAAGTAATAATGTGTATATTCAAATAAAAATTTAAGGAAAAAAAATATATATTATAATTATATCAATTGCTAATCAAAATATAGTCCAAACAAAATATGCCATATTCAATTAACATCCATTTCATACTTATTTCATTTTATGATACAAATGACCTATACATGATTTGTGCACAAATTCTACATCTTTATAGCACACTGGGACTTGCTGCACCTCTCAGGGTTGTTATCATATTCCCTTCCATTCCAGAAATGCTTGAATCCACATCCACAGCGACTGTTACCTTCGACCGGTGTTGTTGTGCGATCACCATTAACGTAGACTGCAGTTCCATCTGACTTGACTCGGCGCAAGGGGCCATGGCAGAGATGGCACTCAAGCAAAGTCGAATTCTGTAGACAGTGACTTATATCAGTTAATAAATTCTGTTGACCTACATCTTTGCAGTTGTCTTTCTTACCATAAACTTTGTAGCTGATCTTTGATGTTCAATTATCAAGCAAAATAAATAGATGTCCTTGAACAATAAGCTAGTTATTGTAACATCATAGTGCATCTTCATTGTCACACAATGGCTTCACTATTTTATCACAATAATTGTATTTTTATTTCACACTGTTTATTTCTCATGAGACTACCATTTTAGCAAGGTCACACTCATCCCTCCCAGAATACCTCTCACTCTTTTTCTTTAGGGTTTCAACATATCTATCCCCATCACAAAGACATACTCTAATTTTCTAACATCATGCAATACAACATCAGAACAAGTGAGTGTTCCACAACACAAAACAAGGAAGTAATGGCTGTATCATGCCATGGCAAACTTTGTTCCTTACTCTACACACATCATTTGTTACACATTCACAGGAAGCCAAGAGCCAAGATGTCATAATACATTCACAAAGAAAGAACAGACAAAAAGCTTTATATCAAGAAGGTAACGCACATCTACCTTGTATTTAACTGCCACCAATGAGTTCCGTTCTGCATCAAAAACACAAACCAGTTCATAAGCAGGAAAAGAATAGCTAAGGCCTTCCTCTAGGGGTCCATGAGTTTTTACAGCTATTTCATAGAGTTCTCCTCCTGGTTTAAGATCATCAGAGGAAACATCAAAATGTACTTCACACAATGCATTGCAAGACAGACATCGATGGAGACGACCATCAGCAATAGCTGATTTGGCTGCCACAGTAACATTTTCTGGTTTAACACCCACCATTCCAGATGGTTTGTAAACAAATTGGTGCACTTCAGTGACCAGCTGTGCACTAATATTGTTTTTTTTCACAAAAAGTTCATCCATTGCTTTAACAAGTCTTTGTATATATTTTTCTTGAAGGCAGCGATCTCCACCAATGAGACAGTGACCATCTTTGTCAAATTCAACATACGTCTTGACCACCTCATTGGGTATACCCCAGGCCTTAGGAATCAACCAATGTGGAAGCCTGGGCAAAGGTCTTCCTTTTATTCCAACAAGAGGAATGAAATGATTACGTCCTGGGCTACTCCAAGCAACTGCCAGTGGTTTGTTGAGCAAGTTGTCTTTGCTTCTGCACAAGTCTTCTGGGATCAAAGCAGGAAGAAATATTCCAGTGTAATCACCACTAGATTGCATTCCTGTGACACTGTCAAGGAGAATGATAGGCCTGTGCAGCACATTCGCAAGGCCAAAGAGATGAATGTTTCTTAACCCCAGCCCTTCGGCAGAGGTTGGAGGGGGTTCAAAATAAGGGTCAGCCTCAGCAATAATATCCTTCCATTCATCATCATGGATGAAGTCTCTAAACAACCCTTTGTATTTGTGCAATTCCGTTTGCAAATGCCTCTTTAGGTTTGCTCTGAGTGCGTGCCAGAAGATTTCTCTTCCAACAAGGGCGCGAGAGATGGCATGAACCAAACAATGGCCGTCCCCATCAACATGAACTGGGACAAGTCGTTCTTCGTTATCATTGACAACTTTAATGGCCTGTAATGTTTGCTCGAGATATGACTGTGATCCTGTATTATCCCGTCCATAGCCAGCTGTGTCCACGTGTTCTAATTCAATTTGAAATGCGCGATCTCCAAGCAGAGCGCAATCGAAGATGTCTCCTTGTCCCATTTCCCTCAACAGTTTTCCTTCACCGGTTCGTTTATCCATACCATAAGTCGTCAACAGCGGTGACAAGAGTTTACAGTGATAGTTTGAATATCCCTTAACCTTCACCAGATCTGGTGTTGTCTTAGAGGATGTATGACCAAGTAACACTGAACGCAGAAGACTGCGAAGAGCAATCTCTGGGTCTTGGATATCTTCTAAGTTGAATAGGCTGTCTTTCGCGTGGTGTTGCCCGCATCCTGTACACTCTACACTCGAAGAAGCATAAGATGGAAAATAAAGTTTTGTGCGACACTCAGGGTCCGGGCAGATCCCACTGTACACTCTAAAGCCTCGCCACATTATACACAGAAACAACCACTACTCGCTTCCGTTTTCTCTCTCTTACTTCTTTGTTGACCTTGCGCATGGCAAGAGGAGGCCTGGTAACCAGTTGGAGGAGGAATAGCATTGACGACGTTGTCCGAATAACACTTTTTTCAGATTGAAAAAATTTAATCGATAATAATAATAATAATAATGATAATAATAATAATAATAATGATAATAATAATAATAATAATGATAATGATAATAATAATAATAATAATAATAATAATGACAATAATAATAATAATAATAATAATATGATTTTCGAGATGGGTCGGCGAAAATGCATAGTACTTGAACAAGAATGAAAATTCAAAGGCTTGAAAATTCAAATCCTCGATGTTAAACTAAGGCTAGAGGTATCGCTCGGTTAGACATTCCACTGAGAAGCTTTGTTACCCTGAAAAAAATTCCCATGTTCCAAAATTAGATGGCCTTTTCAAACGCAAGGAAGTCGGGGTTGGAAATGGATTCACCTGACCTTCGAGACTCGCGACTCCTGCCTTTCTGAGCCCAATGATACATGAATAATTGAATTTTTTCGAAAATCATGATTCATTTTCATCTCATCTCAATAATCTTTCTCTTTTAACTGCTTCCACCCCGAGAGGAATCATGTTTAAGGAATCATACGCTGGTTTCGCTGTGAGTGTTTGACCAACCTTGGCATTTGAATGTGAAATATTCTTTTAAAACAACTGAATAATAATCTCAAGGTGCTATATGAACACAGACAGACAGACAGATATGATTTAACAAGCTTTTCTGACACACTCTGCATCGATCTATCACTATAACGTGTGAATGAGAGACAAATCCTGACCGTCTTTGATATAAATTGGCAGACTGCAATTTTTCGTGTTAAAAACTCAGTTGAAAACGTAAATGGGCCACCGTAAAGAGTTTAAAGGCTGACGTTTCGAGCATTAATCCTTAGTCAATCGCTCTGACTTTAACTCTTTACGGTGGCCCATTTACGTTTTCAACTTATTTGTTAACGCTAAATTACCTGTTCTATTCTCTCACCGACGCAGCACCACAATTTCCTTAGAAACTTACCCCCTTTATTCAGATTGCAGTTTTTTCTTGCCACTGAAATCTTGTTTCCGTGGTTATTTTACCCAGAGGCCACCCTGCTACCTTCGACTTGAATGTAAAGGATCAATGTGAGTGTCTGAGCAACTGCGCACCCACCCCTCCCCCTGACCCAATATCAACCTTAGCCTTAGCTCAGTTGACTGTTGTTTGGTAATTTAGTGTTAACAACTGAGTTGAAAACATGACTTGGCCACCATAAAGAGTAAAAAGCTAACGTTTCGAGCATTAGCACTTCGTCGAAACGTCAGCTTTTTACCATTTACGGTGGCTACATTTACTAATGTACGTTTTCAACTCAATTGTTAACACTTAATTACCTGCTATGCTCTCCCACAAGAAATATGGTATATTTTTTGAAATTCGGTCGTCCAATAAAGAAAGGCCTCACGAGTTTTGTCACGTAAGTTGGACAAAGAAAATGTCTGACTCCCCTTTCGAAGAATCGAACCCACTCCCCCGATGCTCTACCACTGAGCGTTAGAGAGCTCGATGGAGAGTCAAGAAAAGCGTTCTGCTGTATTTCAAGTAGGAATTATCAGAAATGTGATTTCTTTGTGTTCACCAGGTTTTCGTCGATGGCTCGAGACTTTGGCTAATTTCGTTTGTTTCACTTTTCATGTGAATAATGTATCATTATTTATTTCAGCAGTAACTACAAAGCTGTCTGTTAGCCAAGAACCGTGAACCATCAGCACAACATATCGGAGATGAACAAAAAATTATGAAAAATGGTTCCGCGTTTCCATCATCAGCCGTTGACAACTTACACACTCCTTTTGTAAATAAACATGTGTATCAATGCGAGTATTAGTAACTACGCTCCTACCCCTCCCCCAACCCAACATGAACCCTAACTCATGCAGTTGATTATTGTTGGGTTAGTGGAAGGGGTAGGTGCAAATTTACTCAGATACTGACATTGGTACCCGCTGTCCTCGTTTTTCCTTTGATTTCCACACCGTTTATTGAGGAGAAATTTCAAAAGACAACTGTCTTTGTTCAAAATTTCGAGTTAGGTGGAGCTTCGGAGTATTAACGAGAGTCTGGTTCTTTGACCATAAATCTCTAGTCCTAAGTCGTTTAGTGCGCGAAGTGGAAATAAAAGAAAGACGAAGACGAGTCATTCACGCGCGCAACGAAGGGGTAGACTGGCAGGCAGTAGGGAAAGTAGACAATACCTTTTTCGGTTTTTGCTTCTTACCAATTTCCACACGTCGTTCTTCAGAGATAAACTAACCGAAGACTTCAATAAAGGGGTAAGTCACAAAGATATTCTCAGAATCATTCGTCTACACTACGAAAGGAATGACAAAGATGCATCCAAACCAGTAGCTAGACACTCCCAAGTCATTCTAAGCCCATTACAGCTTTTCCCTGGATAAAAAAAATAATCGTTCAAATCAGCACTCTTAATGCTTACGACATCATCCGACGCTTTTCATCCAACTAATTTATTCATGTAAGCTTTACGTTACCGCGTTCACGCCATATTTTTCTGCAAAAAAAACCACACACGACCCACAATTCCTCCATTCGCTCCGAAGAAGCGCTAACGCTCAAAATATGAATGGATAAATGAATGAACTTTATCAAACGAGGTGCATATAAAAGTATGAAATAATAAACTAATGGCACTCAAAAAGAATTAGCTCAAAGAAAACAAAGAAAGATCGGCCAAGCAACTCTTTGCACTGGCCGATTTACACTATCAACTCAGTTGATAAACCAAATTACACCACAACAAGGGGAAGCAGTAGTCTTGTCCGTGATTCTTTAACTGCATGACATGTTTACGTTTTTGACTTGTATCCTTTGTGACTAAGTCCAAAACGATCCGATGGAAAGTGAAGTGATCCACGCTTTTCTTGGGAAAGTGCCCATTCTTTGTAAGATGCCCTAGTTGTGTTAGTTTCGTAAGCAGTATTAAAGTGTTATGGTTACGTTCAGTTAGACGGTTTATGTCGTTCACATGGACGCCAGTACCAGGAACACTCCGTCAAAACATCCTCCTGCTTCGGCCATATTTTTTGTACAGTTGACTTTTGTACTTACTGACTTTCAAAACTCCTTCCAAATGCGATAAAACTAAAACAGTTATTAATGAATGCAGCTTTCAAATTACGACATTCACGAAAGAAATGTAGTCCTTAATTATTCCCTATCTGAGTTCGGCAGCAATGAAATAAGGTAACGAAGTATTTTCGAGAGCAATTTAGTGAAAACAAGCACAAAAACTTTTTTCATAATCAAAAACATTTGAACGTTTGTGTCAACAGAATTTCATTTTCTGCGGATCTTCAAGAGTTCTTATCATTTTAATTTGCACGCAAAATATCTGATTGCTTGTTTATCATGGTCTGTGATCTATCGATTTGATGGCAGTCTTCTTCATTCTTTTTATACTTGATGTGTTCCCAGCCAATAAGTGTGCCAAACTTTTAGCATTCATGTTATTATCGAGAAATCGCACATTTTGCTTCATCACATCAGAGATGAACTCACCTGCGCGTTGTTCTGAAGTGTAATAACTGCGCTTGATTAAAGAAATATTTTAGTATAGCCACCAAAATTGAAACTATCGGTAGAATGCATATATGTCTGCTGGGCGCGGGCGTACTAATTCAACTTACAAAGTGGAATCGGTAATTAAAAGTACTGAAGTTTGAAATTGACTATCTTTAACGTCTCTTCTTAATTACTTTCTTGAGCTTTCATCCTGGAAAAGCTAAACATAAAACAGACAGGGATTTATTTTTTTCAGCCTCACCTTAGCTTTTCTCTTAGCCTTTCTGTCTTGCTTGTTGTCCATCCATTACTAATATGCAAATTTTGAATTTGATTTGGCGCTTTTTTACAGAAGTTGAACACGCAACCAGGGGAACTGCAATCATTTTTGTTAGAATTCCTAACTTGCAATGCACTTTATCACTTGTGTTGTTTAGGGTGAAATATAATTCTAAATAAATTGTCATCATGTACTCTAGGCCGCTTAGAAAACAAACACGCAAACTGCATTCTTATTTGGATGGCATTTTAACAAAACCTGAAGTCAATTAGTATAATGATTATAGAGCCAGGTTAAAATATTGAAACATGATTGAGGTAAAAATTTAATATTTTGACTGAGACGGAAGAGCAAAAAATGTTTGGATAGACGTCCTGTTTTGCTGTTTAAAAAGAAGACAAAACAAGCGTGAAGTACAAAAGCAACTGAACTGTGAATTGCACAAACGAGTTAATATACCGAGTATTAAGGCTGAAATGGATAAGAAAAACGAGTGAAGTTTGTCAAGTAAACAGAAACAAATATGGTTTGTTTTAGTGCCTCAAAAGCATCTCGCGCTTTATTGAAAAACGAAAGGCCAGGGGAAACAGTTTGCCAGTAAATTTATACTCTCTTCTGCCGCGCTTAGCTTTGAAAATTGGCTTTTTTTTGTCGCCTTTGCCTTTGCTGCAGATGTATTTTGAGAAGCTCTGTTGACATATGACAGCTAAGGAGAAAAAGGCCGAATAAGCTAAACACCCACGCACTGCTAGACTGTATGCATTTTAGCTCAATTGCAACCATCTTAACAGTCCTACAGCCGCGAGGATGGTGCACGCTATTCCACGAAAAAGGTTTTATCAAAAAGAAATGCTTTTTTTGTAAGGGAAAAGCTTTCTGCTCTGAACACAAGCCGGTTTGTGCATGAGTAAGTAGAAATTGGTTATCCCCGAAGACTTTGCATGTGAGTTATCGAGATAGATATTCATTGCATTTTGGCGAGTGCTTTCGATGATGTGCGCAGGTGACCAAAATTTAGTTTCTTTTTTAGAAAGAAGATCTCGCTATCGCAAACTCAGCTTGAACCAGAGTTTAAATTCACAAAGTTTCTTTAGGCAGCACTGTTTTGTTCCACCG